GCCCTCACCTTTGTTGCTCTCGCCGCTGCTGGCGCTGAAGCTGGCCGTGGACGTCCCGGCCGTCCATCCCGCCCACCCACGCCACCAACCTACCAGTCAATCTCTTGCTCCTCCGGCGATGCCTTCTGCTGCGCTCCCTCTGAGGCCATCGGAACCACCTGCTCCAAGCTCGCTGGCAGCTCTGTCAGCTGCAACAGCCTCATCGTCTGCTGCAACAACAGCAACGGCGTGAGTACTCCCTGGACAGCATTATCTGGTAAAGACGGATGAAAGGATACTAACAAGCGGCTGCACTGATAGTCCCAATACTGCTCTGCCAACATGGAGCAGCCCATCCAATTTGTTGGCTTGTAAATGCCTTCAACGAGTTCGCCTCTTCCGACATGACACCAAACCCCTTTCGCCTGCAGCGGTTCTAAGATTTTACTACGGCGAAACGACTGAAACTTTTCTCGCGGGGCTCTCAGCAAGCTTTCGGAAGAGATATGCGATATAAACCTGATCGATGGCGATGGATATCTGGAGGAATCGGGGGAGGAATTGGTGGCGGTTGATATTTCCTACAGTCGCTCCTTAGTCGATTTGATTCTTCTTTTCTTTCGGAGTGGAGGATGGATGGTGGGTTGGAGAGTGCTGGTTTTAATGCGGAGAGTCTTGCGATGAAAAGCCGCTGGTGTGCTCAAGCATCTGTTTGTTATCTATTTCTAACTTTAAAACAATCGAGGATGTTTCACCGGCAATCTACGCTCCTTCTACAATCCACTAAAGCTTGATCTCAGTTCAATTTCTCCTCATCTTAGGTGAGTTGTTTGATAATCTAGTAGTTGCTGTCTGTATTATTGTGGTTAACAGTCAGGTAGTTATTGCATGCGCAGTCGTTCAACAACTTGCTAGTATACAGATATGGCTTATATGTATATGTATACGGAGTACACGCATCGGTTAAACGGATACTCTCTACTCCGTACTACTGCGATGTTTACATACACTGTCAAGAACATATGTGTGAATACCTGGTATAGCTCCAAGCATTGACATGGGGTAAATCTCCTCTTCGCTTCGCAGTGTGAAAACGTCGAGCGACTTGAAGATATAACTCCTTTCTGCCCCCTTTCGCAGGGCTATAGGTGAGATCTCCCGTATTCAGCTGTCAAAAGAACCCGCGGCCCCGAAGATGGGTGGCAGTGACGGCGTTCGTGTAACGTTAAAGCGGTTTAACCTATGTGGATCCCTTTTTAATCATGACCAGCCGCTCTGCGACCTCAGATCTTTCCTCTCTGCGTCTTCCCAGTAGTAAGTTCCACTGCTCACCGGAGGCGGTGCTATGGTGGCTAATGATGTACGCTTTTACATACATTCAAACTCCATACCTGCGCACATCGTTTTCCAGTCGATCGTTAGACCTCGTCGCGGCGGTGTGCTCGTCTAGGACAAAGGTCGACGGCCGTGGAAAGGACAAGCCACAAACGATCGCGCGAATGGCCTAAAGTCGTACAGAAGCACGCATGCATTTAACGCGTGAGTTGGTGTAACGCAGATCTTGACAGGTTAGGAATTTCTGAGGCAGACTGTCAGTGACGTCAAGGCACTGGTTTACATAGGTATCTCGACTGATGGGAAACATAGCAAAAGGAAGCTCAAGCAAGAAGCGCAGGGCCGGGAAACAGAACCCTGGAACAAAAAGGCGCGCTTCCGAACTTCCCGCCAGCCGCCTATTACGTCCCACTGTCCAAGACCAGGAGCGATGAACTGGCAAGAGGCTTCCAGGCGCGGTTGAGTTGGGCATGGCGGTGCATGCTGATGGGAGGGCATCCTGCATGATGCAGCTGCTCACCGTCCTTTTCAAAGGAAGTGCTGATGAGCTGTTGCGTTCTTTCACCTCGGGAAACGGGTGCTGACAGCGCACACGGTTGGAGCGTCGTTGATGCTGGCGGCGATCACACCGCAGGGATGGGCTTGGCGTCGGTCTTGGCGGCATGAATTGGGGCTGTGCAAGGCCGCTTCAAGCACGTTTTGTGACCGGACTGTTGCTGTGTTTGCCTGGTGTGGTTGGTACAAACAATAAGTTGCTCGCCGTCCCTGAAAGCGTCTTCATGATTCATCTGCCTGCGAGCACGTCGTATTCTCCTGATCGCAGGCCCTGGAAACCCCGCAATCTCAACCGTCGCATTCCGCAATTCCCCTCCCCGAGTGCTATCCTTGACGACTGTCCCCCCAGTGCACCGCCTCTGAGTCCATCACACCTCCCGACCCACTCCGCCTTTGCTCACGCAGTCAAGCCTGGAGCTGCTGGAGAGCCAAGCTGCGACCGCTGCAAGCTCGTCTTGTCTTGTTCGCGATTTGGGCTTTAAGCTCTGGGTGACAGAAGACTAGCCAGATCGCACCATCAGCGCTTGACCTCCTGAAGGGAGCCGAGACATAGAGAGCGCCTTGAGCTAGTGGAGTTATTACCTGGTTTGAGCGCAACCACCAACCACCGGCCACCGCACCCACAACCTCGTGGTCCAACTCACAGCTGCGCTTTTTCCCTCAAAATCCATCTTCTGTCCCGAATCATGGGTATGTCCATACCGTTATTCTCTTTCCTATTCACCGCTGCTGCCTTGACTGTGGGCGTCAAGTCTACTACTCCTTAATCCTGCTCTCCCAACCAGTCTCAGTTACGTCATACCACAGGCTTCAAACAGTCGTTGGCGTTGCGGACAACACCGGCTGTTACTCCTTCATATTTCTTTTTTTGTTATCAATCTCGAAGACTGTCGTGAAAAGCTGTGCCTGAGAGGTCCTCGTTTTGCGTCCTGGGAAATAAGCGCTGGAGAAGACTCAAGCATCGCTGTCAAAAGCTAACACTTGTGCTTGCGTCGTTGTGTCGACTGATAGTTGTTGGACCGAATTATCAATCTCAATTTCGCCGCCATACAACCCGTCGTTCTACTTCCTCGATGCCGTCCCACGGTGACCATGATCCCGGGAGCGGTAACGGGTCGATTGGCCCGAATGAACACACCGGCCTCCTTAACCGCCGGGGTTCGAGCCCTCCCCGATCGGTTTTTAATAAATTAATGTGGTACCGGAGTGATCGTCGAGTTTGGGTGCGCGTGCCATCCGAGGCATTCTATCTCAGCTATGCTACCCTCGTTAGCAACTATGTGAATATCCTATTGATCTTCGTACCGCTGGGTATCGTGTCGGGCACCGTTGGCTGGAATCCCACCACTACCTTTGTTCTCAACTTTTTGGCAATTATCCCCCTGGCCTCCCTACTGAGCTTCGCGACGGAAGAGCTCGCCGCTACTCTTGGTGAAACTCTTGGTGGACTGCTGAATGCCACGTTTGGCAATGCCGTGGAGCTCATTGTACGTTTCCAATTGCGTTCTCCGATGTTCCCAAGCGCTTGGAAGTTTCTAACGAGTATTCTTTTGGCTGAAAATAGGTGAGCATTATCGCGCTTCAAAAGAATGAGATTAGAATTGTCCAAGCCAGTATGCTGGGTAGCATCCTGTCCAACATCCTTCTTGTCCTGGGTTGTTGTTTCTTCATTGGTGGCCTCAAGCACCATGAGCAGACCTTCAACTCCACCGTCGCTTCGACAATGTCATCACTCATGGCCGTCGCATCGGCATCGCTGATCATCCCAGCAACACTCTATGCGGCCTTGGCCACATCAAAATCCGATCCGCAACGCAATATCCTGGTCCTATCGCACGGAACTTCAATTATCTTACTAATTGTATACATCATGTATCTGTACTTCCAACTGAAATCCCACTCGGATCTGTTTGAAAGTCAATCTGGAGCTGCCCTGGAAGGGCAGAATCATAACGTGGAGGGGTCGCACGAAGATGAATCTCGAATTCTCAACCCATGGGCCGCTGGTGTCGCTTTACTGGTGGTCACTCTGGCTGTTGCAGTCTGTGCAGATCTCCTCGTTGGCACTATTGATAGCATCGTTGAATCGGCACATATCAGCAGGACGTTCATCGGCCTTATCCTTATCCCAATTGTAGGCAATGCTGCCGAGCACGTCACTGCGATCGTGGTGGCATATAAAAACAAGATGGACCTTGCCATCGGCGTCGCGATTGGTAGCAGCTTACAAATTGCGCTGTTCGTCACACCGTTTCTCGTCATTCTCGGCTGGATCCTCAATCGCGATATGACACTGCATTTTCAGATGTTCGAGACGGTGGCATTTTTCGTGTCCGGGCTTGTGGTTACGTTACTCATTCAGGATGGAAAATCCAATTATCTCGAAGGAGGCTTGTGCCTTGGAATGTAAGACCCCTTGCTCCTGCTCCAGTTTCCCTATATTACCAGACGGTCAGGATTAAGTGGCTAACTGTATGGGAACAGGTACGTGATTATTGCTCTCGCCTTCTATGTTTATCCAGACGATGCCCAGGACCTTCCATCTTTGATCCGTATGCTCACTTCGTCCTCTTCTTCGCTTTGAACTCAAGTTTAATACGTTGCACAACACACTCTTTTTCCTTTCTGAGATATACGTCCAGCTGCTTGCAGAAAGCTGGAACCCGCTGTTTTGGGCGCACAACTGCTAGGCAGAGCCTAACAACATTTCATATGTGAAATTTATTTTTTGACTGGCGAGGATATCTGGTTTCCCATTTGGTTTTTGTTGCATGTGTGTACCTATATCGTGGGCGATTTTAAGTCCATAACCCGGCGGTTATTTTCTTTTGGTTGCTCGGTGGATTGGGACTCGGTTTGCGCTGGTATTAAAATGAAAAGAATTCTAATCTCTAATAGCGATTGGCCTGATATTCAAAACGTATGATGTCGTCGGACTGGGGATGTGCTAACCTTAGGAAATGATGGGAAGGGGGCGGGCTCCCATTGGGTGGATGTCTTGATTCTTTATTGGCTTGTTTATGAAGATATTTTGATTTCATTGGACAAATATCTCATTTTGAAAGTCAATTTGCAATCACGTGATACATGAACTTTTTGATGGCGGAGAGAAAGCCAGAATGCGGCAAGAAACACACTTCCATTTCGCGACGCTCTTACATTGAGTGGCCCCATCATTCGCCATTGAAAGGAGTGAGACAATTATTTGACGTGTCCCACAGGACCGGGAACCTGGATTGGGAGAGATATTGGCCTGGACCAGTTTCTCTCTGAGCTTCGGCCACAAACTCGAGCAACCGAGCATATAAGACCATGCCGCCGCGAATCAACCTGCTAGCGGCAATTCGCCGTGTGCAAATATCCTCCATTTCGAAAACCGGCGCTGTTCGGGCTTACGATGGCGCCTTTCAAGGTTGCACAACTCCCCGCGTGGGTTTGGTGTCTAGGATTGGTGCGCGGCCGTGTCAGATCCGGATGAATTCTACGTCGAGCGGTAGTGGAGAAGGGAAGGATGGGAAGGATGTGGCTGATGAAGCTCGGGGGCCGAATCAGGATCAGCTATCTTCCGTTAGTGAAGAAGCGGCGGAGACCGCGAGGATATTGGAGAAGAGATGTGGTGAAGTTGGGGGACCGGAGCTGGAGCAGGGAACACCGGTAGGAGAGGTGAGTGCTGACTTATTTATTTTTGCCCTTGGTTTGATTTTGAGGGAATTTCTTGTGCCTATCCTCCTTTTCTTGCATTTGCCGGGATTGTTTGCTGATGGGTTCGCGCGAAATGTTAGATTTTAAAACGGGATAAGGACGCTTTGAAGAACATGCCCAAAGTTTTGCGGGACCAAATTGCATCCCAAAATAACGGTGGATCTCGCTCATTTTCGACGTCTGCCCGGCTGAGACAGGAGGAGGTGCAGAATATGCGGGCCGCACAGGAACTGACTGTGGAGCCATCCGTTGCTGCAGTAGCTGAGATGATTGCAGCCGCTGAAAGCAATGTAGATCCTGAAATCAAACAGGGTTATAAATTTGAGCCGCCGACGACGAAATTACCCAAAACGGAGCATGTTAAAAAACGATATGAGGATATCGTAGAGCAGTTTACGAAAATGCTTATGAAGGATGGCAAGTTGGGACTCGCTCAAAAGGTGTGTACCTATACTTGTATATGCACTGCTTTCTCCGCTCTTGGAGCTCTAACATGATATTTGAACTAACTCGATGCGCAGAACATGAACTCGATTTTACATCACCTCCGCACCTCTCCTCCACCAGCTGTCAATCCTATGCGCCCTCTCCTCCCGGGACCGCCGGCCCCTCAATTGCCGCTTAATCCAATCTTGTATCTTACTCTAATCGTCGACTCAGTTGCTCCGATTATCAAAATCCGTCAATTCAAAGGAATGGCAGGTGGTGGTATGACACTGCCTATTCCGCGGCCACTCAAGCAGCGTCAAAGACGACGAGCTGCTATCAAGTGGATTCTCGACGCTTCGGAAAAGAGGAAGAATTCGCAGTTTGCGGTAAGAGTCGCAAACGAGCTGGTTGCCGTTGCGGAAGGTAGGAGTTCGGTGTGGGAGAGGAGATCACAAATTCACAAGTCGGGTGCGACTGCGAGAGCAAATATTCGGTACGCTGTTCGGAAGTAGAATATGGTGTTTCCATTTTCTACGAAGGTGTTTGGGGTGACACTTGAGATATGTATATTATTAGTTCCTCTGAGCATTGGTTTGGCTTTAGGGCTCAATTGCGAGGCCACAGTTCTCGTAGTGGCAATCATCAGTATCTTGATACTTCCTTTCGCGGCGACTCTGGTAGATCATGATCGACACAGATCTCGGGGCTGAATTTCACTTGTCATTGATGATCCGCCGAGACCTCGATACTGTTGTAATCTATCCCTGTTTCCATACATACAAAACATGACGTTCCGTGACAAGGGCTCCGTCCCACCCCGCAGAACCTTAGCCGCACCAGCATAAAAGGGAGAACCTCCGCCCTTCTGTCCTCGACTCTCCTTCAACACTCCAAAGGCGCCTGTTCTCTCACACGCCCATCAAGGGCTTCTTCCCCCCGCACCCCAACTATTTCCTCTGGCCTGCCACAATGGGATCTGCAGACGTTGCTTCTAGATCGTTCCGCCCAGTCGTCCGGGCGGTTGAACGCCTCGGCGCTCTCAAACCGCCATGGTGAAGGGCGCTGTTCGTCGTACCAGGGGTGGAGCGGGGGAGTTGGTACGACTGGAGGAGGACTGCATAGCGAAGTATTATTGGATTCGAATCATTTGCACGGTTACGTTCAAGACCTGCCGGATGGGTTGTTTGCGAGTGATGGAGGGGGGTTTACGGAGCAGAATTGCGTACCGGCGTTGGGCTATGGATCGTCGGAGCATTCTGTCACGTCGACGCCTTCGTGGGCGGAGTTTTTGAATTTTGATGGTGGAGAGAGACAGATTATTTCAGGCCTTGAGGCTTCGGGGCCTTTGGGCACTTCGGTCGACCTTGCGGGGTTGGATGATTTGATTGATGGTGAAGCCTATCATCATCGCTTCGAACCGAAGCATGCATTGGATTTTCAGCAAGGTGAGTCAAAAAGTTATTCATTTCAATAAACGAATTCGGTTTGCTAATAGTTTACTAGACTATCTACGAGGCCTTTCAAACAATGACCCGATATCTAAGTCAATGAGCTATACTTATTCACCCGCTTCATTGGGTCCTTCAAATTCGCGTCAGCAGACTAGGGCTCAGCGCCCTTTGTCAAACCTGCAACCTATTCAGCCTACACCTGCTCACGTTTCTTCCGATACAGTAGTGCCGCCCAAGTCGGGCTCACCGTCGTCGTCTATGACACAGAGTCCGGTAGAATATGCAACGCGTTCATCGAGCTTGCGCCGGAAAAGACCACAGTCCGATTCATCCGATCAGGTCGACGCTGCAGCTGATAAACGACGGCGGAATACACTTGCTGCCAGGCGATTCAGACAGAGACAGCAAGATCGAATTGCACAGTTAGAGCGGGCGTTAGAAGAAGTCGGTCGAGAACGGGATGACTTGAAAGTGCGGGTTGCGAAGTGTGAAGGTGAAGTTACGGCGCTGAGGGGGATGCTTGGGAAGAAGTCGAGGATGTAGCTAGTCGTTTGGGGATGTCGCCCTACATTGAGTTTGCAAGTGGAAAGTTAGCACGGCCGGGTAATAGTTAAACTGAGAATCAAGATTGTTTCGAGATCGTGACAGAGACTGTGTGCCCGGAGGAACAAGGATCAGATGATGTCGGCTCCTATTGTAAATCCCCAAATTGGTGCTCTTCCTATTTTTACACCTCTGCTGGAGACCGCGTCATAGGATTGGGATCTGTCCACGCCTATATTCCTTTTTTCCTGAGAATAGAATATAGGAGAAGACGAGTCCATATCTATCAGCTGGGAGATGGTATCCTCATATCCTTCTAGTATTGTAAAGTGTACCTGGGGAATATTGGACAGAGTGCAACTTGCCTTCTCAAACGAATTCGCTTGCAATTCTCGCTACATGCAATAGAGTCTTATCGGCTTCGCTACAACGGCTTCTACCATGGTTTTGGACTACTTGAAGCCGATTTATACATACGTTGTCTACTCGATCAAAACAGTATCCTCTACTTCAAGCCATGCGATTACTGAGGGTGAGAGAGGGTTAGCAAGCGGTTGTCATGGATGAGTATAGATGACTCATGTTGAGTGCTGGCTCTACGCTCTCATTCCGTTCAAGAAGACTGCTAACTCTCCTGTCGATGCGTCCTTTCAGCTCGATCTACAGTATATGTCCAGATGCTGGTGTTGAATACATAGTTACGGAAATTACATGACCAAACCGGCCTCTGTGTAATGCGCGGAAGGCGGAGGGCTGGCCAATAGGTGCTCGCTGCTAGATCCACTTATGCGCAATGAGTAATTCTTGCTAATTCTTGGCATACCTCTCAATTCTGATTGGATGGATTCGAAACGCTTGGGCCTTCTCTAGCTCGGTCGTCCGCAAGAGGCAATCCCGGAGCTTGTTGGGCGTGCTGCCGTCAAAACATATATTCAGCTTTCACCGCAACAGACGACCACGCTCTCCTTCGTCCGGAGTAAATGCGACAAACACGCATTGAAATTGGCCCGCATGCAAACCGCATGCCAGATGATGAAGCTGGGCTTCTAAGCTCCTCCGGCCCCGGGGAGATCCGCCTTTCAATGGCACCAAAAGCGTTTGCAGTTGGCCTTTACAATTCTGCTGGGCTGGCAAACGATGCGCAGGTTTTAGTCCACAAAATGGGCCTGTAGCCAAAACAATCCAGACTCGAGTGCATACAGGTTATTGCTAACTCGCCGCGCTTCTGTTTGACACGGAGATTCCTCTCGAGCACCCAAAGGCCAGGATGCAAAAGCTCAACACGGATGCCCGCTTATGAACGGCCATCGTTATCGGGGAGCAGAAACTACCTTTTGAAGCGGTTTTCCGAGACTACTAATTCATAAACCGGCCTGATGTGAGAAGCGACTGCAAAACAACAGCGGAATCACTTGATGCGCCGTTTGAATGCTTCCTCGGCTGCGGAAATTCGCTGTGCCGCCTCCCGTTAGTCGTCACTAACTAAATTGACAAACAAGATCCACAAACTTCGGATTGCAGCGTTTCGATTGTTTTTGGGAATTTCATCTATTAGCGCTTTTCACGTTAATTTTCCGTGGGGATCCTCTCTGCGCAATCTCACTCGGCGCAATCCTGGGCCGAGATATCAAATGGTGCCCTCAACTCCTCTGGCATCCGTGCAGTGTTCTGGAACGGTTCTCACTTCGCTCGTAAACGCAGGGATACCCCAACTTTCAAGCTTACCGCTGTCAAGGTCACCCGTCACTTTTGTTGCTGCTTTCTGGCTGCCTGCACGCTTCTTGCGCTGAAAAGTGCGCTGCTGTGCAACAGCAAAAGCCCCGAAAGACCAATGACGGCAACTGCTTGATGGCAGTCTGCCAAAGTGCGTTTGCAAAGACGGCAGACGCAAGGGTGATCGACATGCCAATTGTGCGATAGCGCCATGGCGAAAATGCTTGGAACCTACTCGATTCAGCTTAGTGCACGGATTGGGTCGGTTCTGTGAGGATTCCAGGTCAACTCATCCCCGAGTGTCCAGGGGCATCGGAAAACGAATTCCCCAAACAACACTCGCTTTTTCTGCAAAGATCGTCCCCAGTGCTACCCTGGTGGATCCCCGTCAGTCACTGAACCCAGAATAAAAATGCATGGCAAACTGCGCCGTGAGCCCGTTTTCTAGGGTCTGTTGGCGAGGTGAGAGTCGGCGGCGAGGTGAGAGTCGGCGGCGAGATGGGGTTACCTCGAATGACATCGTATTCACTGCCGACAGTACTTAAACTGGTTGGCTCCCTGGCCCTCACATCTAGCGGGGTTTGCTGGAGTCGCAGTTCCCAGGCAGCTGTGTCGTTATACTCTCTGTCGCCGCCATGGTGTTCAAAATCGGGGCTTGCTTGCTGTTGTGGGCGGCTACAATTCAAGCTCGCCCACCTGTCGTTCCAATCGGTGAATATGGATTATTTGTATGTTTCGCTACTTTTCCTGGCTAAATACCTGCGAGTGACGGAGAGCAGAGGCTAATCATGCAATTTAGACCGAGTCTTCATCTGATTACGGTTTGGCAAAGCGCGACTTGACGGACCTATATCCAGAACAGACAATATCAATTCCTCTGGATCACTTCCAGAACGAGGATAGATATGAGCCTCATTCAAATGCGACGTTCAAACTCCGCTACTGGTACGATGCGAGCCACTATAAGAAGGGCGGCCCCGTGATCATTTTGCATGGCGGAGAGACTAGCGGCCAAGGTCATATCATATATCCGAATTTCTTAATTGTTACTGGACTGACTCTTCCTAGGCCGTTTGCCGTTCCTGCAGAAAGGAATGTTGGCCCAGCTCGCTAAGGCCACAAACGGTGTTGGCGTTGTGTTGGAACACCGCTATTATGGAACCAGTATCCCGACAAAGGACTTTTCCACCAAAAATTTGCGATTCTTGACAACCGAGCAGGCTATGGCCGACTCGGCGTACTTCTCCAAGAATGTCGTGTTCAAAGGTCTCGAGGATAAGGATTTGACGGCCCCAAAGACTCCGCACATTCTATACGGTGGATCCTATGCCGGCGCGCAAGTTGTAAGTTAAAAACCTCATACTAGTACCATATCCCCGTTGACAATTGCTTTATTAGGCTCTGCTTCGCGTTGAGTACCCAGAGATCTTCTGGGGAGCAATCTCATCTTCTGGTGTGACCAAAGCCATCTGGCACTACTGGCAATACTATGAGCCCACCCGCCAACATGCTCCACAGCACTGCGTCAAACAAACTCAGACTTTCGTCGACCTGGTGGATAACATTGCTCTCCGCGGCAGAAACCGCGAGACCACCCAAAAACTCAAGGAATTCTTCAGTCTTGGTGATTTAACCCACACTGACGACTTCGCGAATGTCCTTTCCTTCGGCATCTCCGGCTGGCAAAGCACCAACTGGGATCCCGCTATTTCCGGAAAGAATTTCTTCAGGTATTGCGATACAATCACCACCGATCGCTTGCTCTACCCGGTATCAGACGAGCAGCAGAAGCTTGCCACCGAATTGATCAAAGCAGGTAAATATGGTCGCCATGGAAGACAGCTTAAGAACCGCCTCCTCAACTATGCTGCCTATGTTAATGCCACTTACGTCGCTCCTTGCCGTCGCCGAGGAAGCACTCTTGACACTTGCTTCGGCACTCATGATCCAGCGTTCTACAAGCGGGACGACACCAGACAGGAGTGGAGATTGTGGAACTACCAGGTCTGCACTGAGTGAGTACATTTGCATCCTTGCTTGGCGATCAAGGGGGTTCGTTGAATGCTAATATCTTCCACTCAGATGGGGATTCCTCCAAACCGGAAGCGGTGTTCCAAAATTCATTAAGCCTTTGGTTTCTCGACTGATCGACCTCAAGTACACAACCACCACCTGCCGTGAAGCTTACAACCTCCACGGTGAGGCCGATGTCAGACGCATCAATAAATACGGTGGCTTCAACATCGAATACCCGCGCCTCGCTATCATTGACGGAGAGGCCGACCCGTGGAAGGAGGCTTCACCACACGCAACCTTTGCCCGGCCTCGTAGAAGCACCCTCGATAAGCCATTCATCCTGATCCCCGACGCCGTTCACCACTGTAAGTTTCATCCACAACTCATATCTCAGCGCTGGAATACATTCTAACACTCTTCACCAGGGGATGAGAACGGTGTATTCCCCAAATGAAACCACCCCAGACTTCCCACCAGATCGGATCAAAGAAAGGTCCCAGGCCCAAGAGATCGAGTTTGTGAAGAAATGGTTGAAAGGTAAGTCCCAGCTCCTGTGGTCCTAGCTACTACCACTTTGGCAATTGCGGCCCGCTTTTAGGGAAATGATGACACTAACTAATCCTCATCAGATTGGGATCGCGAGCATGGGCGTGATTAGACGGCAGTCTCATTGTCTACGAACTATGTGTTGTAGTAAGGAGGTTTGTAGTCGAATTGTGTGTACGTATATACGTGCTTTGAGGAAACGAATATATGCCATAATGTTACATTCCATATATGCACTATTTACAAATTAGACGCTACTAGCTAGTCGTGCATTCCAAAGGCTCTAGACTAGGAAGCTTCAAATAGCGCTTCCTACAGGAGACACCCAAAGGCTTCTGCTTTCATTTCATGCTGAATGTATAAACACGATATCAATCACTTTTGTGGGAAGGTAACGCGTCCGCTCCAACCTGGACGTTACTCTAAACAATCTCGTCACTCCCGCCAGACAGCTTCAATCACCACAAAGAATGTCAATGGGTTAGCCTCCAGACGCACAATCTCAAACCGCTCATCCGCAGCACGGAAGATGTCCCTCCAAGCCTCAACAGGACGCTCTTTCGCATTAAACAGCGCCATCATCCTCAGATCCGTCGCCGTGCCCATCTGCTGTATGGAGCGGGGCAGCGGTGAGCCTTCCGTCTCGCCCTGCTTGCCGACATAGTCGATGAAAAGCACACGAGAACCGGGCTTCAGGGCTGGCCGTAGAGCCTGCAATATCTGAACGGACTCGTGGTCTGGCCAGTCGTGGAGAATAAGTTTGAGCATGTAGATGTCTGCTTGGACGGGTTGGGGTTTGAAAAAGTCGTGTTCCATGAATGATACGCGGGATTTGAGGTCTGCGGGGACTGTTGCTTCAAATGTGGGCTTGACTTCGGGTAAGTCCTGAACTGTGATGGTGAGGTCGGGGAAGGCTTGCGCTAACGCGATATCGTCATGGCCTCCCGAGCCGCCAAGCTAGGTGACTACCATTAGTGAAAAAGTTTCGCAGGGATTTCAGAAGTAAAGGTAGCCTGGGTACGGAAGTAACCGTTTTTCAGTTGCTCCAGGGTACTCACATCGACCACAGTGATTTTCCCTGCCGCCTTCCAGTCATAAGAGTCCAATACTGCTTTTTCGAGGTGGAAGATCTCCTTGAGATAGCGCATAAATTCAACAAAGTTCCTCTGTCGCCACCCCTTTTTCTCTCCCTCGCCATCGTTCTCGATAAAGTCCCAAGAGTTCGCAAAGTTGCCGAATGCTCCGCCGCTGTGAAGCAAGGCAAAGGACGTCTCGCTCATATCTTTGGTCAAGGCAGGCTTCCCGCAACTGTATTTCTCCAGAGCCTGGTTCATAACCATCATAGGAGGGCCGGCGTCGTCCAGAATCGTGGAAACGAGAGCTTTCAGCCCAGGGGAGCGGGCCAGCGCAGCCGATCTGGACGTATGCTGAATGCGTGACGTTGACTTGCCAGGCTCCGTTTCCGAAAACAAGCGTAGAGTTGTGGCATGCGCCAAGACGCGTTCAACGACATCCTGTGGAAGAGAGGTGTGTTTTGCAATGTCTGCATACGAAGCGGAGCCATCTAGAGGAACAGCAGACCAAAAATCAAAATAGTTCATGATATTAAGAGCCGCAGCATCAGGCATGCACTTTGGACGTCAGAATAGGTCAAAACAGGGCTTGGGCGATCTTACAGTATGAACATAATTGAAAATGCTCTCGCTTGGCCCCTGTGTGAGATACCACATATCCATCAGCGCATCCGCTAGCATCTGGCGAATATAAAACATTTCTGGTGTCAATTTGCTGTAGCTGATGGGGCTATTAGCCGCAAACGTTGGGGGTTGAACGTCATTCTCGCGGAGATGGCGAGTGAAAGTCTCGGAAAGCTCGGTAATCTTAGCTGCGAGATCACTGAGTGTTGGCTGTGTATCTGCCATGGTGTCAAATAGTCCACTGTAAAAGTTTTAATAGAATGCGAAGTGAACAGAAACAGACATCCGAAGAAAAGAAAGGAGGCCCTTTTTATGTTCACTTTGAGGGGCAGATTCAATCAGCCCACCATCCTTCAAAGAAGCCCCGCAGCGGAGGAACATCTGAATCTTGCTCATTTGCCAATTCACCCGACCTGCATCCTGGGATCCTGGCAGACAAGGTCGAAATCGGAGCTGTTGACCGGGGAGCCTGAGGGAGGACCTGCATCAGATAAGATCATCTTATCAATCAGATAACGATCTGCAGCAAGGCCCACCGCGCCAAGCCTCTAAGAAGCCGGGATTCTCTTGGCAACGTCTCAATCGAGAAGGAAAGACACACACAGCAAAAGGATGAGATCGACCCCTGCTGGCGTGAAAAGATTTTCTATCACCCCACTTGAATTGCTTCCCATGTGAGTTTGAATGTTGGTGATTATCATCCTTTGACTGGAGGCTTTGGTGCGCCAGAGGATTGAAGCCAGCTGTAGATCAAGTTTGCCAGCTTGGCATCAGGGTGGGTCGTCCACTGAATCACTGAATCAATTCCCAACTGCTCTTCTCGCGGAGTTGGAAAGGAACGTAGTCGTGTGCCGGGTGTTGTTGGGACGAGAAGAAAATGATGGAAGCCTTGTACTGCGTATAAAAGGACCATACATGGCCAGACCACGAAAAACTGGTACCACGAGCGTTGTAGCACTCAAAGTGATCAAGCAGGGTATCATTATCGGACGGCAATTCAAAGTAAGGGTAATCGTTGAAGGCTATCGAAAAGTACTTATCGCGTGTTATAACTTTCATCCACATCATGTACTATGGCTTTTGCTGCCGTTCTGTTGTGTCAGAATTCCGTCCTTATATTGAGGAATCCCAGGTCCGTGGGCTGGTGAGTTGAAGTGCAAATAGCATTGGGCGGCCTCAGGCATCACTGGACACACGTGACTGACTGTGTGTGCGTCGAGTTTGCAGCGGCTGTGCGTGCGCAGACCAGCTCTCGTCCGTGGCCCGTGGGAATGATGGAAAAAACAATCCTGTCGCCACGACCATTAGTTGTCGCTATTCCACATCCCAATCAGCACGTCCCAGCGCAGCACGGGCGGTGGTGCGAATCCAGGCGGCCAGCCGGACAGGCAGGCTCACACCCAATTCCTCCCGAGAAACCGCACATGCGCAGATCAGCCGGGCTATGATCCTTGCAAAACTCCTTCAGCAACCAGGGATCTGACGTCTGTGTTGGGCCAGACTTCGATTCCGCAGACTGGCAGCGACACAGCCAGAGCAGTGTCCATGGTTTGTGAAGAGATCACAAGGCCTCTGAAGCAAAAGAAATTCGAGTCGATCGAGCGCGCGAACTGGATTTCTATTCTCGAACCAAGGACCAAGCCCAAGACCCGGTTCCCACCAACGGCGATCCAGACAAATCCTGCTGACCTCACCCGAACCCTGAGCCGTCAAAGCACCACCCTAAGCAAAAACGCCCGACTACGGATTGGTCCAACCCAACCCGTCGCTTCTGCTTGCTTTTTGAGTAACGCAACCCGTGTATAGCCATCCAGCGTGAAATACCCCCGTGGGGACATCGTCGTGCTTTGACCCGCAACCCTGGCTCCAGCGCGGAGGAGTATCGAGCTCGTCGAATTTGATCGCAATACCGCCAAACCTCCTCGTCGGAGCTCTTCGCCTCACCTCAACGGAAATAAGGCACACGACAAAGACTTCCCGGATCGTCTGGGGTGGCTCGTTCAGCTGCCGAGGAAGTGGACGGGGAACAGCCGTGGAAAACCCAGGCCTACAAGGGACGACCGAGGGCAGAAACGAAGTGTGCTCAATGATTTCGGCGGAGGAGACGGAGCGGAGGATAAAGATTCTTTGAATCGAAGAAGCCGTCTTCGAGACCTGTTTGGACGCCAGTCGTTGGCAAGACTAGCAACAGAGGAAGAAATCATGAAGTTCTCGCACAGCATCCAGTTCAACGCTGTGCCGGATTGGAGCGAGAATTATATTGCGTACAGCAATTTGAAGAAATTGTGCGTATGGCGTCAACTAATTCCTATACTTTCTCGTTTATCTGGCTTCATGCTGACTTTTACAATCTGCGTAGAATATATTCTCTCGAGAAGCAAGTTAACCACCCAGAACTCCAAGAAGATGGGGAAGTCGAGCGCGCTCCCTTACTCGATAGGCCTCTTGACACGGACTCTATATTCAAACGAATGTTAGACAGCGAGCTGGAGAAAGTATGTTCTTTTTACCATGCGAAGGAACAGGATCTATTCCATGAGGTGGAAGATGTGATTGGACAAGCAGAGTCCTACATGGCCGACAGTGTTGGATATAATATGGATTACCTCGCCGACTCTATGGTGAAATCAAGAACCCTTAGTTTTGGCCGAATGCCTAGCACCGTTCGCGGCGCAGGTTCCAGTGAACACAGGGCAAGTGCGGCGACCGACTCAGTTGGCGATGGAAATACATACAGAGACGACGACGATAGCGAAGATGACGACGATACAACTGAACTCCCTTCTCGTGATATTCGAAGACGCTCAATGTCGCTAAGAGACCCTGAAGGACGAGAGGCGCTAGATGGCCACGCAATAAGCGATATGAGTGATTCTAGGTTCTTAGGGGTAGCTTCTGATCACGGACACCCTCAAGATCATGATCCTCATCTGTTAGCCCTCTACAATGCTGCTGTCAGTTTGAAAAAGCATATCATCAGCCTTTATGTCTCGCTTTGTGGGCTCAAATCCTTCATCCAGTTGAATCGCACTGGCTTTTCAAAGGCGTTGAAAAAGTACGACAAAATTCTCGATCGAAATTTGAGGCGGGGCTACATGAACACCTCTGTTTCTACTGCGTATCCATTTACGAATTCTACAATTAATCACCTGGATGACAAAATTGCTAGAATCGAGCAGCTTTATGCGAACACCGTCACCAAAGGTGATATTTCCCTTGCGAGACGAGAACTCCGACTACATCTTCGCGAACATGTCGTTTGGGAGAGAAATACCGTTTGGCGGGAAATGATTGGGATTGAACGAAAAGCGCAAGCTGCGAATATGGGCATCCGACGAACACTGCTTGGAGGAGCTCAAGATGCGGAGGCTGCTCGTCGACAAGGCGACGAGCAAGAGCCTTCAACGAAAGAAATCGTCACTCCCGTCGGCAGATGTCCAGTTCCAAGGTGGATGCTGACATCAAATTTTGTAACTTTGGTTGCGATACTAATTGTCTTCATTGTTCTCTTATCTGTACCAATTATGGCCGAACCCGAACAACAAAACTGCCTTGCGATGCTAATATTTGTGAGTTTATTATGGGCAACAGAGGTATGCGCGCTTATCCCGAATCTTTTTCCTATAATCGCCCGTTAACCAGGTCTTCAGGTTATTCCACTCTTCGTGACCTCCATCTTGATCCCCTTTCTTGCTGTTATCCTTCAGGTGATGAGATCCGAAGAGGATAACTCACGCTTACTGCCCAAAGATGCTGCAAAATCCGTTTTTGCTTCCATGTGGACCTCTGTTATCATGTTACTCCTGGGCGGCTTTACAATTGCCGCCGCTCTATCCAAACATGATATCGCTCGCCGCATGGCTACTTTTGTCTTAAGCAAAGCTGGGACCAAGCCCCGGACGGTATTGGTGACGAATATGTTCGTCAGTATGTTTTTGAGTATGTGGATTAGCAATGTGGCGGCTCCTGTCCTTTGCTACTCGATTATTCAGGTTTGTTGTGATGATAATCTCAACCTGCTGCATTTCATGCTGATTCCTATTAATAGCCCATGCTTCGAAATCTCCCACCTGATTCGCGCTTCTCCAAAGCACTAGTGCTGGGGATTGCGTTGGCGTCCAACGTGGGTGGTGCTGCTTCTCCCATTGCGTCGCCTCAAAATATCATTGCATTGCAGAATATGTACCCCCCTATCAGCTGGGGAACATGGTTTTTCATTTCGATACCCGTCTGCGTCATCTGCATCATGCTCATTTGGATCCTTCTTGTTGTTACCTTTCACCCTGGTCGAGGCACAACTATCGTACCTATTCGCGCAGTCAAAGATAAATTCACCGGTGTCCAGTGGTTTATCACGATCGTCACACTCGCCACCATCGTTTTATGGTGTGTGAGCCATCAAATGGAGAGCACTTTTGGTGATATGGGTGTCATCGCCATCATCCCATTGGTCCTTTTCTTTGGTACTGGCGTTTTGAATAAGGAAGACTTCAACAATTTTTTGTGGACAATCATCATTCTCGCATCTGGTGGCTTGTGTCTCGGAAAAGCAGTCACTTCTTCGGGCCTTTTGCATACTATTGCTCGCGGCATCACAAGCCAGGTCCAGGGATTTAGCTTGTATGGAGTTATGCTGACCTTTGCATCGTTAATTCTGGTCATCGCCACTTTTATCTCACATACTGTGGCTGCCCTGATTCTTCTCCCTCTAGTCCAAGAAGTTGGTGCCGCCATGGAGCATCCGCATCCCAATCTGTTGGTAATGGGAGCTGCACTAATGTGCTCTATTGCGATGGGATTGCCCACCAGTGGCTTCCCAAATATGAGTAAGTGGTCTCTATCCTGGCCTGCTTTCGCATCAAGCTAACAACGCGTTATAGCTGCTATCATGATGGAAGTGCCAGAAACTGGACAGCGGTATCTTCGGGTAAAACACTTCATTTCTCGAGGCGTCCCGGCCAGTTTGATATCCTTCGCTGTCGTGGTCACCCTTGGATACGCCTTGATGTTGGTTGCCGGATTGTAGTTCTCCGTCAATTGTGTCTCTCCAATTTATTCCCCTGTTGGAATTCAAGCTATTTGTTTTTTCATTTCGTCACTTTTTTCGAAAGGCTCCGGTCATTAGAATCTTTCGTTATTCGGTTGCATGATGGGAGGAGTAGACCATTGACAAGATAGCCATGCGAATATTCTTATTATTTTTAGTCTGGATATCCGGTGCAAGTTGTCTGCCTATCTTATGATTTAACGTACATACAGTGTATATGTGGGTATTTAGACATCCAAACATATTAACCCCGATTTGGGACCACCTTTGGTGAGACGTCAACTAAACTACTTTTCAACGCGGTCTGCAGCCTTGTAGAAACGGCCAGATCTTAATCCGCCAACCGCCTGCCAACCGGTCCCTAAAACGTGCAGATTAGTGGACATGGGGTCCACGAATCGGCAGGCATTTGAGTTGAGTGGCGATACCTGGGGCCGTCCATGGCGAAGAGCCAGCAAATCATCACTCTGGCACAAGATGACCCAGCCGGGAATGAAGAAACGAGTTGATTTGGCTTTGACCACCTGCAAAATTATTGAGGCAAGATGGGATAAAACACTTCCAGCAGACGCCCCGTGAGGCTTGAGGGTCTCGTGATCCAGGTCAGCCCGTTGTACAGCATCTTCGTTCGACCCCGGATTTATCAACGAACTATATAGCCCTCCAGATCACCTCGTCACTCGTTGAATAATTTGCTTGTCAGCAAAAGCAAAATCAATTAATCACGCACGCAAGCCATCAAGCCAAAATTAGTTACTGGAAAAGACCGGAAACCATGAGGTTGGCCGTCGCAGCCTTGCTGCTAACCTCATCATTCCACGCCATCGCTACGTCCGTTGATTCTCAGATTCCCTTGAGGGATGCAGGCAGCAGTTCGAAACAGTGTCCTGCAGATGTCGAGTTAAGCTGCCATAATACCCGCCCCGTGAAGGATGCTTGCTGCTTCAACACCCCGGGCGGCTTACTCCTCCTAACTCAATTCTGGGACGCGCATCCCGCGACTGGCCCGGAGGATGCGTGGACTCTCCACGGATTGTGGTGCGTCAATTAATATACCTTCCGGTTTGCGTTTTCTCGTTGACTCTGCCGAAGAAGAGGCGGTGCTAAAAGCTTGTGAAATAGGCCCGATAACTGCGATGGTTCTTTTGAGCAGTACTGTGACCGGAGCAGACAGTATAACAATATCACAGATATCCTGCAAGCTCATGGGAAGACGGAGCTCCTTGAGTATATGAGCACGTATTGGAAGGATTGGAAAGGTAACGATGCAGACCTCTGGGAGCATGAGTGGAACAAACATGGGACTTGTATCAGCACTCTGGAAACTAGCTGCTATTCAGATTACCGGCCGCAGGCAGAAGTGGTTGACTATCTTGAAAAAGCAACGGAGGTGTTTAAGGGGCTGGATACTTACAAGGTCAGTATTAGTTATTAGTTCATTGGCGAGTTCTGTTTCTGGGCCCCCGTCTACAGCGATTAATGCACATTTTAGGTCTTAGCTGCGGCGGGAATCAAACCTGATCCATCAAAAACATACACACTGAAAGAGCTCCAGGATACCTTGACAAAACTTCACGGAGTGGAGGTCACACTACGGTGCCGAAACTCCCAATTGAATGAAGTTTGGTACTTTTTCAATGTCAAAGGTAGCCTGCAGACGGGAAAATATGTGTCTGCCAAACCAGGTTCGTACCCCATTACCGTAAACCGGGCAATATCTTTGGAGGTCCTTTGGTTACTCTCTTGCCTAACTCTTTTATCAGGTGGCTCGCCATCAAATTGCCCCGCTAGGGGAATAAAGTATCTCCCTAAAAGGCGAAAATCCCGTCCAACTTCATCGAGACGTCCAGGACCTACATCGACTAGAAGCTCCCCCTCACCCACGGGGACCGGCAACCCTTTCTCTGGTAGAGGGCACCTTGAGGTTATCACCGGAGGTAGGAAGACTGGGTGCCTGATCAGCTATGGAACATGGTACAGCACAGGCACTTGCGCCACATTCACTGCAACTCCCTCCGGAGATGGTTTCACTCTCAGCTCCAGCAAAGGCGACTGTGGAATATTAGAATCTGTTTTCGAATGTGACACGGAAATGAAGCCTAGTGTTTTTACGGTAAGAGTCTTTTTGATGCTCTTGTTGATTTGGTCTCTAACTGTTTTCTTCTTGGATAGGCGATTGACGGCATGCTTGCTATTGGGGGGAAAACGACCTTTTCTGCGGACAAGGTCCCAAGGGGTACAGCGCAGGTCCCTATTTTCACCAACGGTCACTCAATAGAGCTGACGATAGGGTGGAAGCAAGTTTAACTATTATGTACTCCGTATTCGAGCTGATATATACCAATTTGTGGGACAAGATAAATGGGCGACCCACTAATAAAGTCTTTGTACTAACTAGCTGAGCTTATATAAACCCCAGCAAAACCAGCATGCTGGTGGAATTGAATTGGCAAAATACTCCGTACAAGAAACAACTGAAGATGGAGGCCTCCAGCAGTGAATATGAGTTCCATAGTGCTCTCAGCGAATTTGATGCCTTAAAGAGTGAAATCTCAGAGCTCAACCACCGAATGAACCCCCAAGCGAGCCCCCAAATACTCCGAATTCCATGCCTCCACCCCCTTATAAGAAGCTCGTGGAAGAGGTCATGGTAGTCTCCTGATTTGTTATCCGTAGTATTGAATGCATGAGCTGCTTTCGTAGGTAATAGAAGGTGAAAGAATATCGCCTGTCTGCTAGGATCGTTTAAAGCAGTCTGATAGTACGGAGTAGACCGAGCGTAAATGTAACTTAGCTTTGCCGTCCGGGACGCGGCTCCTTGGATTCAAATGCACTATTGATAGGGCCTCATTTCCACGAATGTCCCGAATTTATGAAATAGATTTCGAGATCTATTGACCGAATTGTGGCTGACGAACTACCGACAACAGAACCCTCCAGAATGGCTGTGAATACGGCTATCAAGGGGTTTTGGCTGCGTTTTGCCCCCCACCCACATACGGAGTAGGCACCGATGTATTCATTAACCCGTCAAGCATCGCCTATGTCCATGGGACACACTCATCACAATGGTCAGATAAACGACTGGAGCAATCTGGCTGAGATATTCCGTCGTAAGGGAAATTCGAGAGGTATTGCGCGGAGTCCCTAATTATTAGTGTAGCAAATCCTCGCGTCAGGAGGATGAATTGCAAGGCTTTAACGCACGAGAGCTCGCTCGGCTGGTGTTCGCGTTAGATGGTTGAGATGATGAAGTGGAGAGTGTTTGGGAAGCCCCAGCAATGTGCCCTAATCCCGACTAGGACTAGCGTGTTTTTAGGGTAGGGCAATTTCGAACAAGCGAGCCACTGTGCGAAATTCTGTCTCAACTGTTGTCGACGACAAGCTTCAATCAACACGACAATCCCTCGACATTGCCCACCGCGTTGCTTTGGCGAAGGACTGCAAGATAAGAGGTGAGGGACTATTTCTGCTCCGTTTCCCGGGGGTTTTCTCGTTGTGTCTACCTAGAAGGATTGGGGGTTTGGAGAAAGGGAGCTTTGCCTGGTTTCGACCTGCAATTATTTGACCATACAGGCGCGCGATCGATCCCGTTTTCTTTGGAATCCATACTAGGAGAGAAAATTTTCAACATTCTGGCCGTGCGCGCTGACCTTTGAATTTGGCTGTTTAGAGTAGTCCAGTCCAGAAACCGCAATCATGGGTATCTCCAGAGATTCACGCCATAAGCGTTCAGCCACCGGTGCGAAGCGGGCATACTACCGAAAGAAGAGGTACGAACGATCCTAGCGTTTTACTCCGCTTCGGTTTTGATCGCTACTCTCCTTTGAAACCGCAATAATCTTACATATATGTCCCACAATTAGAGCTTTCGAGAAGGGCCGCCAGCCAGCCAACACCCGTATCGGTACCAAGAGAATTCACCTTGTCCGCACCCGTGGTGGAAACCAAAAGTTCCGTGCTCTCCGTCTCGAATCCGGCAACTTTTCATGGGGATCTGAGGGAATCGCTCGCAAAGTCCGTGTGATCGTTGTCGCCTACCACCCCTCGAACAACGAACTCGTCCGCACCAACACCCTCACCAAGTCAGCCGTTGTCCAGGTCGACGCAGCTCCTTTCAGACAATGGTACGAAGCACACTACGGACAGGCTTTGGGCCGAAGACGCCAGACCAAGGCTGCCGAGGTTGAGGAAGCCAAGAAGTCCAAGAGCGTTGAGAAGAAGCAGGCTGCTCGATTTGCCGCCCACGGAAAGGTCGAGTCAGCTCTCGAAAGGCAGTTTGAGGCTGGTCGTTTGTATGCGGTTATTTCTTCCAGACCTGGACAGAGTGGCCGGGTAGATGGCTACATTCTTGAGGGTGAAGAGTTGGCTTTCTACCAACGTGCTATCAGAAAGTAAAGCGCTTTTTGATGGGGATGGATGGGGGTTTACGGTCGGAGTTCCTGCATTTACTCGCTAAAATTATGTTGATGAGCAGCACCAATGCATGGATGTTTGTAGAACTCTGGGCTACCTTGAATTACCAATCGGAATGAAATTTTCCTCGTTAATGAAAAATGGCCATTTCGCTGTAGCCTGTTGATAAGATACCAATATCAATCCATTCCTGTGGCTGCCCGTGCGCTGCGGAGGTTTTCGGAGCTGGACCACGGCTACACGCCAAGAACTAGCCCCGGCCAACTTCACTCCATCAGATCCTCATCAGCTCAATGATATAACCTGTAAAACGGATTCTTTTCTAATGAGTCGTTTATTGACAAGACCGAATACGCACTTGCGAACATTATCAGCTAGTGTTTAGCCTGCGGAATCAAGTGTGTGTGACATCGACCCTTGCTCTCTATTCCCATCCCAAACATGGCAACAAACATGGAGGAAGAACTTGTGAAAACCCGCATCTGTATGATTTCTGATACCCACACATGTGCGCCGCTTCCTCCAGTAGAGATGTCTACGCCGTACAGACGCCCCTTGCCTTCGGCTGACGTCCTGCTTCACGCTGGCGATTTAACGTTCATCGGCTTGCAAAAGGAACATCAGTGTATGGTCGACATGCTGAAAGAGGCCGACGCAGAGCTGAAGATTGTAATCGCCGGGAATCATGACATAACTCTTGATCAAGAATACTACAACACCTATGGAGAAGCACGACACCGAGGGTCTATTGAAGACGTTGCCAGGATCCGAGATTTATACTGCGGGGAAGAAGCGAGGAGGCACGGCATCGTTTACATGGACGAGGGACTGCGGACATTCAAACTGAAGAATGGAGCTCAGTTTACAGTGTATGCAAGTCCATACCAGCCAGCCTTCTGCAACTGGGCATTTGGATACGAACACCATGTTGATCGTTTCAACACTTCCGCCGCTGATGCCCCCTTCCAGGCTCCGAATCCGGTTCCATCTTTTCCTAACGTGCATATAATGTTGACCCATGGGCCGCCAGAGGGTATCTTGGATCTGGTTTCTGGAAATATGAACGTGGGTTGCAGACATCTTGCCGCAGCAGTCCAGCGGGTGAAGCCCCTGATCCATTGCTTTGGGCATATTCATGAAGGCCATGGAGCTGTGCGCAAAAACTGGAATAGCGGATTAGCAGAAACTGTTCCACAGGATCGAGACGCAGAGCTTAAGGCTCGCTGTGCTTTCCTAGATTTCAGCCATTATACTGATAACCCTTTGAAATTTGGGACTGAAACATTGTTTGTGAATGCTTCTATCATGACAATGAGATACCACCCGCAGAATGCTCCTTGGGTAATAGATGTGGACCTTCCGCTGGCGCCAAAGGAGGAGCTTGACAAATAAACTGAAAGAACTTGGCGATTATTCACGTAAAGTGATAAAACCACTTTTCACGTTTATTTACGTTACTGGTGGCATTTCCCGTATTCTATTTTCTCTTGACATATTGAACGGAATCACAGATGGAAATCTCAACCATCACAACATTCGTACCGATCAATGCCCATCAACGATGGAGGGAACCCTGCTAGAAGCTGTGGAAGAGGCCTGGGACACATATTTGAACCGTTGCACCGAAAATGTATCGATGCTTACGCCCAACATGAAAATCAACGAAAGGGCTTTTAGCCTTGTGCCATGTTTTGAGCATGTGGAACGTTATCCGGGGGATCCTCTCAGAAATCCAGAATCGTTTTTACTCGCCATCTACGATCAAACGACGGCAGCGAACCCTCCGACCGGAGACATTGAAATATCCGCCGAGTCAGGAGAGCCGGGAGTGATATTCAATTATCTGGCGATCCAAAGGAAGGTCTACCGTCTTCGTCGGACATTGTCCCTGGAGCATAAGCGCGTTTTCGACGATCTTACCATGCTACGGACGCGATACTTTGCGGCTTTCCTGAAACTAATCATATGCCTTCCGCAGTACTACGACACGCGCGCAGAAAGAATAATGTTGGAAGAGGAGCAGAGAATGTTGATGGAATCCACTGAAGCGGACCCGACTTGTCGACTCCAGGAAATTGCGCGGCGACTGGAAGTCAACGGGAATGGGCTAATGGAAATTACGCTCCATATGCAAGTTGCCTATCAGCGGGTTGGGATGTACACTCGCGACCTTTACGAAATTAAACAGAGGACCGAATTTCTATTATCCCTGTTGTAGGGCGTTGGACAAAACGGCCTCCCTCCAATTTGACTTCTACCCATCGACGCAAAGGAGTGATATCTACTTGCTTTCAGCTATTTCTGATGCGGAAAACGCGGTCCACACGGTGCTTCTATTCTCTTTTTCTCTGTTTTAATCGCGAATTCTTTATACGCCTCACAATTTAGCTTGCAGACCTCAAACATACTTGAATGTGTTGAATGTCTTGCTGATCGAACGGGAAGCACGGGCTCAATCTATGCTAAAACTCAACATGAAGGAGTGGACAAGATATGAAGTATATTTACTTCTCCAAACTTGTGAGATATCTTTTATTGGGCATTGCTCCCTTTTGTCGTGAATGCAGAGACCATTCTACTTAATCGCATCGTCTATTTATTCCTCTTCCAGGTCATTCCAGAATCATTCTCTATCTATTAATACTGTTCTTAGCTAGGCTTAAAAATGGTCTTAAGACCGTAACTATGCCTAAACCCCCTGACGCTGTGAAGCTTTGGATCTCCTTCATAAAGCATCTGATTCGGATTCTTCCTCGGCTCTATTGCCAGGTTCCTGTTTGCTCTTGACCCACTGGCTGACCCCTGCCACGGCCGCGTCCGGAGTTTCGCGGTGGATAAAAAAATAATTTTGAATTTCCGCAGGAGTAAACTCGCCAGCAGGAACTTGCTTTGCAAACTGCACAGCAAGCGATCTGATTTTACTCTCATCGTGCTCTGTGACGAAGTCCGCGTCATCATTGTCCGAACGGCTACTTTTGACGGAAAGGGAACTTTCGGTGCGCTGGCCATCGTCCGGGATCCCATAAAAGGCAAGGAAAAGCTTTTGAATGATGGGCTCCTCCGCATACCCAAAGCTGACTTCCATGTCAACGCGGCCTGGTCGAAGCAGCGCGGCATCAAGGACGTTCTTATGGTTGGTGGTCATGATTAAAATGCGGCCTTCCTGGGCACCAACGCCGTCAATGGCATTGAGGAGTGCAGAGAGGGAGATTCCACGCCGCCCGGAGCCTCTGTCCCGGCCATCGACGGATGACTCTTCGTCTTCGTCATATGAGCGTTTTTTAATCCCTGCGCTATCGATATCTTCAATCAAAAGTACGCATCGTTTTGGAAGCTCTTGTAGGAGAGAAGCCAGGGTGTCCTCATCCAGGTTTTTCGAATTGAAACTGACGGTATAGATATCAAGACGCAAAAGACTGGCGATTGCGAAGCACATGCTCGATTTTCCTGTTCCTGGTGGGCCGTGGAAGAGAAATCCTCGCCGGTAGGGATAACAACGGGATCGATACCAGTTGCGGCTTTTGGGAGAGAGGAAGATTTTGATATCGTTCACGACGGCGGTTTTGATCTTTTCATCAAGGATCACCGTTGAGAGGTCTCTGGGGAGCATTGACGGGCCGGATTCCCAAAACATCTCATCGCCCACGCTCCTCCCTCTATGGACGGTGACGTGATTGCACTCGCGCTGGAGAGATAGCTCTTGAATCTCATACAATAGCTCCCGTAAGCGTCGTTGGTTCCACGGAGCGGCGTAGAATCGCAGACTCTCTGCATGGGCAAGGTCGGAGTTGTATCGACTGGGCTGAGGGTCACGGTGAAGGGCGACCAGAGACCCTTTGTATGTGAAGACATGGAGTTTCTCTTGCGTTGGCGTGCAGCGGATCGGCTTTACTCTGTTCATATAGCTCAACTGCTGCCAAAATCGCGGCGAGTTGCTGTCCACCTGGTCTTGGGCTGTGACCTTTTCTTCCTCCGCTTTCTTCTCCATTTCTTCGTCGTCGTACTTGTAGCTTGTTCTGATCCCGGCAATTGAATGGCGGGTTCGGCTTAGCGAGTCGTGATCCGAGACCCATTGTAGAATCTGCCTGTAGAGCGGGTCGTGGTACTTGACCTCGAGCGACGCGGCGAAAAAAAGGAGAAACTGGCGAAGATGATCGAGGAGCACGGGAACCACGAATAGGGCAAAGGCCAATAAAGTAGCGAAAAGGAGGATATAGACTGAATACAATGAGATATCAATCCCAGTGTATAGAGAGACCATCCGAGAAAAGAGAGAGTAGCCGGGTATGAGAGCCTCGAGCAACATGTCGGGCGGCGGGCCGGATGAACTGGAGGAGGCCATCTCGTCTGTTTCTCTCCTCTGGATCTGTTCACGCGAAGGGATGTAAAGACAGAAAGGGAGAAGCCAGGTATTTGTACTCTGACGGCTGTCGAGCACAAAGCAAATCGGAGTCCTAAAGGGGACGTTGTGCTCCTTCGCGTCTTCTGTTTGCTGCCTATTCTCCGCCGATCAATTCAGGCACGGGTGGCGAGGTTGTTTAAGAAAGCAAAGCCTTGCTGAATCCTTCGCGGGAGTCATCGTGAGGCGGAGGAAGAGTCATCATGTTGTCGAGTTTTCTGGTCTGAGTGTTTCCTATGATCTCAGCTAAAAGGATGAGAAGAGTACTTTAATGCATGGCTTGTATTTGACATTATCTAGACTTGTACCATAGATATCAGAAAAAGGCTCAAATCCATCGGCAATTCAGGCAGACTCTGACATGCAGCAAGTTCTGTTTCCATAGCAATTATCCCCATACTGTTCTGCATCATCCACGAAAACAAGACCGGCAACAACAAGCCCATATTTAACGGCCCATGATATTCTCCATTTCAGCTCCTAGTCTCGGTCATAGCCGTAGGGTTAGGTATGCGCCCGTCGGAGGATTAGGGATGGTAAAAGAAGCCGTAAACGTCGAAACGCTGGCCGCAATAAAGCACACTAGGAAGCTGTCAGTCAAGATGTTTTGAGAGGAGTTGCTTCGTGAATGCCTGGCATCTTTGTAGATACGAGATCGATGGCCAGAGCGCACGAGAGAGACGTAGTTGCATGAGGTCAGATGCTGGCTTTATGAGAAACTTCTGCTCGCCCGTGGGAGTCTCCCGAACTGTCCGTCAACCCGAGAGCTTGTAGTCACGCAGCGGCAGAGCGTGTTCGCTAAGGCGCCATCGACGTCGACGACTTGACGATCCTCGGCGATGCGAGAACCAGAAGCACAAGCATGGGCGGCAGGGATGCGATGTCGAGGCAACCCTGTCCTGATCCCCGCATTGTGGGAATTCCTCCGGATGAGCGGGAACAACCACCATCGTCAACTTCATCCAGATAACTAGACAGATGTGCTTTCGCTTCTGCCGATCGCGCTGCTGTGATAACGTTACATGGATGGATGCCACACTCGCAACGCCTCTGGGCCAGCTGACATGCGATCTGACAAGTCAGTTTCTGCACTTCTGCATGCACGTCTTCGTCTCCGTCTGCAGCACTGGCCATTGAACATGCAGCGGTTCAGCCTCTTCGCACCGTTGCGCCCGGGCTCGCCCATGTTACATCTTCACAGCTGCGAGGGAGCTTCTGCTGCTTGGTGCTCTTTGATGCAAATCGCAGAGGAATCTTCCGCTGCGCTGAGTTGGTGTGGCAACGTTGCACATCACAAAAGCAACTTGAGGAACACTTCATGATACCTCCCTCCATCAAAGCTTCACTTGCTCGCATGTGCCTCTTTGTCTCTTTGTCTCTTTGTTCTCTGCAGAGCTCTGACCACCATCCCGGCTCTGGTTGTCGGTGACGGCTAACTAGCTATCAAGGCGTACCTTGATAAAGACACATTCTTCTCTCCTTTATCTTGTTGATCATTTACCCAAACCATAAGAACTGCAACATTCTGCCCCGTTGTTCTGGTTGCCGTGTGTCTGGGTAACCAGTTAGTTTGTGCCGACAACCATGCGGTTCTTCCATCTCACTGCATTGGCGTATCTGCTGGTGGAACGAGGACACGCAGTTCAAGTCAACCCGCTACCTGCTCCGCGAGAAATCGAATGGGGAACCTCTGGACCACGATACCTCGATTGGCATGTCCGATTCAACGGCCCCGGTGACCATACAATTCAAGCTGCATGGCGTCGGGCATGGAATACCATTACACGACTGCGATGGACACCGGCAGTGACAGAAGCCCCTATACCAACCTTTGCGCCTTTCCCAAGTGACAACGAGAAACGCGATGCTCTTCATAGCCGTGGCACCGTCCGCAATGTCAACGTGAAGGTCGACGACACCGACACCGAGTTGCAACATGGCGTCGATGAATCATATACCTTGCAGATCTCCGAAGACTCAGACAAGATTGAAATCACCGCGAAGACCACCTGGGGGGCTCTCCACGCCTTTACTACTCTTCAACAGATTGTCATTGCACATCACGGACAGCTGCTGGTTGAACAACCCGTGAAGATTACAGACTCTCCGCTCTACTCCGTTCGTGGCGTTATGGTTGACACCGCTCGCAACTTTATCAGTGTGAGAAAGATATTCGAGCAGATTGACGGAATGGCCCTATCCAAACTTAATATGCTCCATTGGCATCTTTCAGATACCCAGTCATGGCCACTAGAAGTCCGCTCGTACCCTCAGATGACAAAAGATGCCTACTCTCACAGGGAAACTCTCTCGCCTCACGATGTCCGTCAGGTTATCGAATATGGTCGCGCTCGTGGTGTCCGTGTCGTCCCAGAAATCAGCATGCCCAGCCACTCTGCTTCTGGCTGGAAACAAGTCGACCCTGATATAGTGGCGTGCGAGGACTCATGGTGGTCGAATGACGTCTGGGAGAAGCATACTTCGGTCGAGCCGAATCCCGGCCAACTGGATATCGCCAACGATAAGACTTACCATGTCGCCGAGACAGTCTACAGGGATGTCAGTCGGCTCTTCACTGACCACTGGTTTCACATCGGTGGTGACGAGCTCCGGACTAACTGCTACAAGACGAGCAAGCATGTCAGAGCATGGCTCCAAGAGGATTCTTCTCGCACTTTTGACTCTCTTCTCCAACACTGGGTCGACAAGATCGTTCCTAGGCTGAAGAAAGTGAACAAAAACCACCGTCTCATCATGTGGGAAGACATCCTTCTCTCTCAAGTCATGCATGCCGACGAGCTCCCCAAAGACGTCATCATGCAGGCCTGGAATGGCGGTCTCAGCCACATCAAGAATCTCACCAGCAGGGGCCACGACGTGATCGTTTCCTCGGCTGACTTTATGTATCTCGACTGCGGCTACGGCGGCTGGGTCGGCAATGATCCTCGCTACAACGAGATGGAGAACCCGGACCCAAGCAAACCCACCTTCAACTACCTTGGTCCCGGAGGCTCCTGGTGCGCTCCATACAAGACCTGGCAACGCATCTACGACTACGACTTCACCGACGGCCTCACAGACGACGAAAAGAAGCGCGTTCTCGGCGCAGTGGCTCCCCTGTGGTCCGAACAAGTCGACGACGTTGTCATTTCGTACAAGATGTGGCCTCGCGCCGCCGCGTTGGCCGAGCTTGTTTGGTCTGGCAACGTGGACAAAAACGGCCAGAAGCGGACGACGCTTATGACTCAACGGATTCTGAATTTCCGCGAGTATCTCGTCGCTAATGGTATCCCGGCGGCTCCTCTACAGCCAAAGTACTGTCTGCAGCATCCGCACCACTGCGATCTTTTTTATAACCAGACAGCAGTGGTGTGAAATGATTTTGTGGTCCTTTTTGTTTCATACCTCCTCCCCAAGGTGTTTTCTTTCTTTTTTTTCCTATTTTTCCTTTTTTTCCTTTTTTTCCTTTTTTTTCCCTTACTGCCATTATTGCTGCTCTGGAAAACATAGGAAATTCCATGTCCTCTTTCATCCGTGACCACTTTGGTTCTACCCCAACGTCTTCTTCCCTTTTAAACTTGGATGACACAATTGTTCTAGCATTTCAGGTGAACTTTCTGTTTTAACAATGCCGCTGAACGTTTGCTACTTTGATATTATGACTGTAATAGCTGTTTACTGGCCCAAGCAAATAAATATCAAAAACCGAGATAATACAGGACCAACTAATTTGAACAAGCAAAATGTCTGGATGTTTAATTAAAAACTAACCATTACTACTGTACTCAGTGTGATGCGCAGCATAGCTATGGGTTACACATGCATGGAAAGTTTTCAACAAAAAGGTCCCCAAAACCCTGGATTAAAAAGAAAAGGGAGAGAAAACAGCTGGCACCCGTAGGCCTGTCCAAATGCAACAACAACGAGAGAAACAAAAGTGATAGATCAAAGAGAGGAAACGGTGCAAGGTAAATAATGTACTCGGACTTTGTCAAAATCTCTGCCAAAGTTTGATCAAACCAGATTCAAGGGGGTTAAAAAGTCCATAAAATTGGAAATATCAAAGAAATCAACATGAGTTAGGAAAAGTTGCATTTCAAACACAAGATATACTAAAAGAAAAGAGATTAGATTAGAAATAAAACCAACCACATCCTCCACCAGGAGGTGCTATATGCAATGAATGTCCCAAGAATTAACAAATCCCTCCCCTGCATCTGCTCCTTGGAAGAGACGGCAAAATTATTTAAAAGAAAGAAAAAAGGAGTGAAGACAGGCACATCTTATTCCTCTCTCAAGACACCACCCAAGGGTTTCTCATGGAAGTTAGCTTTGCTACCTTTCCGGCCGACCTTTAACAAGCTGAATCGCTTCATCATCGAATCTCGAACACCACTACCGGTGTGGTCACTGACAGAGCTATGACCAGTTTTCGGTCGCGGTGGATTCTTATCCGATGCCACGAGGCGGTGGTCAATTGCATTGCTTGGTGGTGTTTGCCGCTGGCCAGCACTATTAGGAATTGAATTGGGCGTTCGGGGTTCTTTGTGACTCTGTTGTGCTCGGGACTTATTTGCCCGCTCCATTATCCTTTGTTGCGTTGTGCGCATGTCTTCCGTGGGCGGACTTGCTGGCGGAACTGAGTGAGCACCTCTTTGCGGGTCACTTGTGCCAACGGCGAACTTTTCACTGCCTCCGAAGAAGCTTCGCCGTTTCCGGCTTGTATCGCTTTTTCCTCCGCGCGATTGACTGCGCGCCCTACTGACAGTATCCGAAGGTTCACGGTCTTGCTCTAATTTCACACCGGCTGGTTGTGGAGCCCTGGTCACTTGGTCAGTAGGAACACCGTTTGGTTTCACAATGCTTTGTTGACTTTGATCTTTTTGGGCAGAGACAGCAGTATTGACAGCCGTAATGGTCGCATTTGAGCCAGATGCCACATGATTCGAGCGTTTGAATGGGTTAAGGCTAAGGCGGTTGCTAGCTGGCGGCTTGTCCATCAAAGGCCTAGCTATACTATCACGGGAGGGCCGTCCAGGGTCCGATTTAAGGCTAGCCAAACGAGGCTGGGAAGTTGAAGACGCGCCTTGCATACTTCCATTTGTAAATTGCTCTTGTCGAGAACCGAATTGGATTGAAGGCTCGGATGGCAAGTGCTGAGAAGGTGATATCGCAAGAGTTGCAAGCTCAGGAGCAAACACAGTCTCTAGCCGCTGAGCAAGCTCGGCTTGCGTAGCCTGATATGCTGGGCGCGAATATAACGCTATACATCGCTTCAGCGAAATCGCATGGTCAACCAAAGCAACTGCGAGGGCATTGTTGAGCGGATCTACTGGTATTATATCAAGGTCTTCCCCGAGCGCAGAATGATCATTCAATTCATCGCCCGTCAAGAATGCTCGATATTGGGCGACACAGGTTGGCACCGAGGATTCAACGTCGAGCATTTGGCCTAGGACATCCGTCAGGCTATTGAGGTTAGTATCGTCCCCGGATGCAATCCTTTTCTCAAGCATCAGTAGCTCTTGCGTTTTCCTGGACGTCCGTTCAATAGCCGTTTGCAAAGGCGTCAAGACAACTTCTTCAGTTGCAACAATTTCACTTCGCCTCAGGACATTAGGGAAAGGTTCTGCCGTCGTGAACACTGACTTCGTGATATATTGTTCTTTGACTTGATTACTGCTCAAATGCTTTTTGGATGTGATGGAGAAGTTCGAAGCCACTGCTGTTAAAAGATGCTCTCGGACGGATTGCGGGACCTTTGGCCGCTGGTACACTGGATGGCTTACATCTTTGTGTACGCTTACCGGAGCGATTTGCAGAAATTGCCCTTCAAGGTCTTCAATTTCACCGTAGTGGACAAGCTGAGCGGTTGGGTATTGTTTTTGCATGCGATCAGTGAAAGTAGTCATACGGTCTGACTGTGAGCCTTCGAAAATGTATTGTTTGTCTCGTAAAGTCGGCGGGAAACCGAGTCCTTTGAAGGTGACACGGAAGTACCTGGGAATCAAAATGTCTTCTTTGACAATTGCTTCGTATATTCGAGCCATGGACGCTTGGGTCCTCGAGAGTTTCGAGAAGTCAATTATCGTATGTTCGTAATGATCCGCCAGCTCCCGATAGCATGATAGTGCGTGAGCCCATGCTTTCCCGTCCTCGAAATGTTGAATGATCTCGAAATACAAAGTCTCCTTCCGTTCGAATGCTGTTTGCTCCGGATATGTAGGGTTGGAAAGTGCTTCAACAGTTTTCGAGATATCCCATTCGTAAAGATCGGCGTGGAATTGAAGCGCAAGGCCGGCTTCTGTGTAATTGCGCGCCGCAGCCTGCCCATGCGCCAGCTCGTGGACATATCGAATAAAGATGTCTCCACGCTCCATATCTTTCATAAATTCCATTAGTTTTATCGTATTAAGACTTTCCGTGATATTCCCATTGTGCGAAGCGACCAGAAGATCTAATAGTTCGTCGACTGTTGCGATTAACTCTTTCAACGTGACCAGTAATTCTGCATCAGGGGAGGTTGAGCTCGTTTCAAACAATTCAAGCAGTTCATTTATAAATAACTTTTGGGTAATGCTTTCGGTGAGATTTTTAGTCTTGAACAGCTCGTCGAGGCTGGATATTATCTCCGCTTCAACCACGGATAGGTCTTCATTCAATTGCCATTCGCTCACGATCATGGTCTGCAAAATCTCTACAGCGACACGTCGAGGGCCCTCATGAACGCTAAGGCAGAGTTCGATGATGGGCGGCACCAAGCCCGGGACGTATTGCACTTGGTAGCCTCCGAGTTTAACCAGCCCATACCGTGCTCGCTCTTCGACAGTTGTATCCCAGCCGATAGAACGCCAGGTTTTTTGAAGTAATTCAGCGCCCTGCTCACGGACATCTCCCGCAATTTTCCATACAGCCCGCCGTCTTTGCTCAGGAAAGGTCTCGAGCGCCAAAGCGTCACTGGACACCAGCTTGAGCAATGTAACGAAGAACAGCTTCCATAATTCCATATCAAAAGTATCCGCCTCATCTGGAGCAGGGAGGAACGACTGAATTAAAATAGATGAGAGATCTTCCAAGCTTTTCATGATAGATTGGTGGTGATATATGTGCAAACTTAGCCAGGTCGCGGGATAAGCCTCATTATCAAGAACAGATTTATGGGCATTGAATATGTGAGAGAGGAAGATCGCTAGCTCGTCATGCGAAAGGGGTAAATCCTTTGGCATCTGTAACTTTGACATCGCGGCAATGATTGCGGAAAGCTCAACTAACGCTTCGTCAAACCTCTGCTTCGTTTTCGATTGCTTGAGTTGGAAGGGAAAGGATTTGCTGAAAAGCAAGGAGAGCCATTCGGTCTCCTCCACGCCGTCGGCCACGATAGCGCAATATGACGCCACTGCCATTGGCATGTACCCGAAAAGTCCTGATTCAGGGGTTTTAAGCTGTTCTGCTACCACAGACGAGCAAAGGCGAACCTGGTCTCTATACTGGTCGGTGATATCCTGGGTTTCTCCCCAGTAGGGCGAAAGCCATTCAATACTCTTTGAGATTAGACGGCTCCTCTCAGCCGATTCTCCAAACAAGGGGAGCCTCGTATAATTCAGAATTAGCAAGATTTTGTAGAGCACCAGCATTTTCTTGACGTCTTTGCATGCATCCATGAAGCTGAACGCAATATTGACGACTTCTTCTTTATCTACCGCATTCAAGAGTTCGGGAAGCCAGGTATGGAAGTGCTGCACAGCCAGCGTCTTGCTACCAACCAAAGTGGGGGCAGGGTTCTGCATGAGTGCCTCAACCGACTTGAAAATAGAATGCAGATCTCGATTAAAAGTTGACTGAATGTTTGTGATGCCAATGCATTCTTCTTTGGCTTTCTGCTGACCTCTCGCATTGATTATAAATTTTAATAAGTGTCTGCCAACTTTCAAAGCTGCTCGAAGATTCCGAGCTTGCTGTGAGTCGGCGGTGGCCTGAAGAAGGCGTAAGAAACTCCGTATCAGACATGGAGTCGCAAACGGAAAGTTGAATTCTTGTTCGGCATATCTATCAACCAAAGGCCCTAAGTTGAACCGACGATCATGCACAATACCGAGTACGGTAACAAGGTCCCTGAAAATAAGGTCTTCGAATTCCTCATTGCCCGCCTGTTCAACCATAATGCCAAACAAAGCATCAAAAACATCTCGAAGGTGCTTGACGATTTCGATCTCGGGGACGAAGACAATTGTCCGCAGGAGTTCCAAAAGCTGCGTGGCTGGCTTCTCCTTCCAGTTCACAAGCCCCAGTAGAGCTTGATCTTGAGAGTATTGGGTGCTGCAAAGTTCCGTCTCGAGAGTCAAAGTTGCAAGTGGACCTGTTAAGGCTTCATCTTTCGTTGATTCATTTTTTCCGAGTGCACTCCATGGTAACGATAGATAGGAGCCTCTTCCATTCTCCACGCTGGAAGTGGATTTATCATACGCATGTAGCAACAAACTATGGCGACCGTCCCTAATAAATGCTTGCTGGTCCCAGAGCGGCAGCCAGCTCAATGCAAATGGAAACTCTGGCGCGTCTGCTACGCTCATAATCAAATGAGAGCCCTGCACTTCGTCGGAGGGAATGTTTAATCGAATTATCTGGTTCCACGCCGAGCCTCGTTCAGCAACTGTCGTTCTCCAGGCGGTCACCCCTGAAGCGTTTGAGGATGGATAGATACAATGCTCGATCCTAGCTCCAGACGCGTTTCGGGCTTCTAGAGTAAGTTGTAAGTTCCGCAAGCCGGTAACCTGAGGCACAGCAACCTGGCCGTTGATGGGATGAGAAAGCAACGCATCCTGCGAAATATTGACCTTGGACAAGTTAACATAGATGTCCGATCGAGGTTTCGTTGGAGCTGCTGGAAAACCGATTCTTCTTGTCTGCGTAACATTATGAAGCAAAGTCGGATTATTTCGGATGAGTGTTTCTGTATCCTCACTTGCAAAAGGGCTAAGATGTGCATGTAGTCTCGATGCGCGATAACATCTACCGTATCTACCGGTAGGGCTAGGTAATAACGAGCGAACTATGTCATCGAATCCTTCTGTGTAATTGTCTTCCTCGTCGGTTGGACCCAAGGGAGACCAAATACTGACCACCTGATCCACGTCTTTGTCGCTTTTGAGAATCGAACCAATTTCTAAAACGCCAATGCCGGCTGTACGCAAGACAGATATTTCTTTAACTGGTCTTTCAGGATGTGTAGAAACACTAGTTGACGATCCACTCGATTGTGGAAGGCGCGAAATTTCATTCTGGTCAAGGTGCGGCAATCCTCTAGTCTTTTGGCCCCAGATCATGCTTCGCCTTGATTTCAGACTTCCCTTTCCCACATTATTCAGGGCCGGGGTAGATTTGTTGCCTGAGGGTCCGTCGCGCGAGGACGTCCGCGATTTGGCAACAAAGCTAGGTCTGGCGGACTCAGGCCCAAGCACTCGAACAACGAGGTAGAGCTTTGAATCGGATGCAGAACTATCCCCAATATCTGCGGCGTTCAAATCGGTGAAAAGAGTTTTCAAACTTCCGTTTTGAGACATTGCAACGAAAGTTTCTGCAGAGGGAATGTCTAGAGCATACGATTCGGTCAACTGTTTGATTTCCCCTTTTGCGGATTGAAGCCAAAGGCTTATTGAGAGAGGAGCGGAGCCTGCTTTGGTTCCTGTAACTGCGTTCACCTCAAATAGCAAATGGTGTAACGAGACGTTGTCAATATGCGGCTTCGTTTCACCGTCAAGCATGCTCATCTCAGATTGTAGCTTTGCCATCTCGATAGCCGAGTCATCACCAGTCAGTAATCGTCCCCGTTGCTTCGGGTCGCGCACGATAACATCTCCGCTCAATGTTTTGTTTCCTCGCACCAAATTCCACACCGTTGCTTCTCGTAATGACGCTCTTTCTTGAGCGGTCAAAACATTGTGGAGGAATTGCCGGCGTGCAAGGTCTAATTCTAAAACAATATTTGACATGTTTTCCAATGCCGTATATTGCCTTGTCAACAGGAGTTCGTGAATGTTTGTCGAGTGCCATTCTCGTAAACAGGAAGCAATTTCGTCTACCAGAGGTTCTGACAAGGACGTGGGCGTTTCATCTCCGATTTTGAGCATGGGAACTGGTGCAGGTGGTTTGGGGGCGTTCGGATCTCTGGAGCCCGTCGATCGAGGTGTTAACGCCATGGAGGGCGATTGTAAAGGGGATCCGGAACGACGTTTCTTGACATCGTCTTCCAATTTAATGACCGTGATCTGTGACGTTTTGCGAGAAGATTTTAAATCCGCTAAGCCAATAAAACTGTTTGTTTTGCTGCCATCAGCTGCCTTGCCGTCGATGGGCTTCAAATTCCCGTTGGAAAGCGCCAGTTCCGCACTTCCATTCTCTTTGTTCCTATTAGTTTCCCCAAGAACTTCGCGTACTTCAACACAGTTTTTGGGGAAGATCCCAGAGAACACCCGAGCTTCTAGGGCCTGCCCTTTGACGCTGGTGAGCCCTGCCAATAGCGAGGGGGGCGCAACAAGGTATCCTCTGTACCATGCCCCATCCTTTCCTCCTTGCTCAATAATATACAACTCATCTCCAAGCTCGAGAGGCAGATCTGCGGGCGATGATGGCTGGAACGGATAAACCGCAACCGCAAAAGCGATCCGAGGCAATGGCCGCCACGGCATGGTTATTGTCGAGTCTCAAGAAAGCACGGCCCGATAGGTCTTGCCGTTCGCGTCGATGGGTGGAAAAACGCGAAAAAGAGTCAGGGGACAGGCGTCAAATGTACATACATAGCCTGCAGGTCGACCGAAGACGAAAGAAAGTGTCCCTTTACGGCAAAAGGTATCGAATCTCGAACACAGGGATTCTAGCAAATGCAATTGCGCATCTAGAGCGCAAATTAGAAGACACGTTAGTTTCCCCTTCATCAATTGATGAGCTAGGTTACCTTTACAGGCTGAGATGTTGCTCTGTCAAACGTTCTGAATCCCCTCAAAACAATGGAACATACATTAGCCGATCAATGGCTGCACAAATTCACCAACTCCGTTTCCGCTAAGCACACAATGGCGGACGCTTGCATGGCTTTGTTCCTCAGGGTCCCAGGGAAAAGTTCTGAGCCCGAGGTTCAATCCCAGGGACTCAGTCCGCAGAGCAAGGGAACCTCTCCGGGGGGGTTGGCGGGAGACAAGTGATGGACGGATAGTGACAAAAGGGGCAAACTGTCCACAGTCTGTTGTGGGACAGAACCAAAGAACGGATTTCGCTCGACTGTGGATTCGCGAACCAATGCTGAATCCTTCGGGAGGCAAAGGAGGAAATATTAATGTTGCGGGACGGGATAGGAGTTGAATTTGGCCTCAGGGCTCGCGCTGGGGGTTTGGGCGCGCCAAGAAATGCCGCAGCGCTAAGCAGCTAGCGGTGTTTTAGCGGCCACTCGGGCCATCTTGCAAGGCCGGGGATGCTTAACATGCAGAGCAATATAACAATGAGCACGACAAACCAAACTCTGCTAGCTACATCACGTATGTACACATATGAGCATAATCAATATAGCCTAATCAACAGCTAAATATTGGCCAAAGCAAGATATGTACTCTCCAAAAAAGAATCAGTAGAAGTCCGTGTGCGCCAGCCCCAGGAAGAGGGCAGTCAAGTCTAACCAACGGACGCCATTGATCATGAACCTCATACGCATTGCGGCCTACCTCGGAAGAATCCGTCCGTGATTACTCCGTTGAAAGAAAGGGAACAACGCGCCAATGCCATGACAAACCAAACCCCTAGCACGAATTGTATGAAGAGCATTTACTCGAAGGTCATGCTCACTTGGCCCTCTCTGGGGCTTGGAGTAAGCTCTGGAGTTCCGCCTGTAACAGTTTTTGGTTTGAAACCTTGACCTGGAGGCCCTCTGCCTGGCCTTCAATATATGCGACGTCATCGGTCAGTGTCTATTGGGAGCCATGTCAGTACCGCTATACAAGGTAATGCTCTGAATTGGGCCACATACACTGAGCTCATGGGAATATAATGTCAAAAGTCCGTCCAATTCCTCGCATTCCTCAATTGTTCGATCAAAGAGACGCGCTAGCTCATTCACCTGGTCTTCCTGAAACTCGAGATGGCCCAGCCAGCTACTAGCCTGGACCCTACCGATTTCTCTTCGAATATCGGCTTCAAAATCGTCGGCAGTTTTATCATCTTTAAGTTTACCATCCCAACCCAAGTCGGTAAGTAGATGGTCAAAGTCTATGCCCCTACCCTGGAGAAAACTAGAATCGATCCCAAGCGCATCGCAGTATTGAACACTATTATCTTCTCGTGGCTCTGGATGACGCGTGGACGAGACAGCTTGCTTTCTCCGAGGCATGCTTTCAATGGATCTTCTTTTTTCCGAAAATGACTTTTTGACTTGAAGTCTGGGAATTTCCTGAGATCCTGCAGCTTCGTTTGCAGGGCTACCCCGTCCAGCTTCATTAGGCTGTGCGCGTAAAGACGGCGCCGGGACAACGCTCGTAATGCCATCAGGTTCATTACCAGACTTGTCCTTCGCTGCCATTAGTCGTTCTGCCGCGCCCCCTGCTCTGGGTTTAAAGGCACCGTAAGCTGTAGCAGCCTTTCGGAAGGTGTTAGCAAGGTCCTTCCCTGGTTTTTTCTTAACCATCGGGCCGAGACCAGGCCTGTGTCCTTCCTCTTCTTCTGCTGGAGGAGACACTGGGGATTTTTTGAGGCCAATCTGTAGCGGAGCCGGTTCCGCAGACTCTCGTCTGCGGGACGTATCGGAATCTGCGACTGATGGTGTCGGTTCGATATCCAACGCTGGAACAGAAATTGAAGGGAGAGTAGGCGCAGTATCCACTTCACGTGATTTGGGCAAGGTCGCTAACGGCTCTGCGTGGAACCCTTTATTGGAATTGACACTTTCGCTTGATTGAGGCCGTACCTCTATCCGTGGAGGGCCGGGGGTAGAGAGGGGAGTGACGAAATTATCATCAGTATCGGCCCGAAGACTCCTCTGGTCAATACTTCCCTTAGAGCCTCCCGGCGAAGGGTTCACCATTGCTAGTGAACCATCGCTCGTTTTGTTTTGCAGCGATTGCCTCTGCTTTAGCGATTCCAGCGGAGATACGCCATCGAAATCTAGGTTAAGTTGCAGCCTGTCCCGTGCAGCAGCCTGTTCACTTTCAGCTGGAGGGACGGGGCGAGAACTGCTGCCAGTCTCATTTGGCGGTGGCACCTTAACTGGCAAGTCTACCATTTGGTTCGATTTCCCATCAGGGGGAAGTTGCCCAGCTCGCTTCCTGGAGGTTGACTCAGCCGAGAATGAAGTTGGAGGGGAATATTCGGCAAGCGTTGGGGTCTCTCCGGCTTTGGCGGAGAGCCCATCTCTTGATGGTGGGGTTGGCAAAGGTTGAGAAGGAGAGAACGGAGGTCGCATTCTTTGCATTTGCTCTTGGCTAGGTTGAGGCCGCATAAACTGTTCTCTAGACGGTTGCCTCCGGGTTTCGCGAGGGCCATCACGACTCGGAGCGCGATTGGAATGTGGTGATTGCGGTATGGTACGTTGAGTGGAAGGGGACCTCGAGCGAGGCACCCGTGGATCTGGCCTACCAGGACCCGATTCCGGAATCTTTGGCGGTTTGAGAGGTAGGGGGCCGCCCGGTGAGCTCCCGGTAAGTATTTCCCTATCCCGGGAATCGAAGCCTACCAACGCTGGTAGCTTACCACCAGTATACTTTTTATAGATCTTAACCAAACTGCCAATAAAGAAGTCCCTCTCCTTTGGAGTATCTGACTGCCAGTAGTATGGCTTGGTGATCGTCACCACAAACCCGATGTTGGACGCCCATTGCTTTTGTTGCTGCTCGACTGGGTTTGAGGGTACGAGATTCTCGAACGTCTGGATACGAACAAGGTCGTCTAACATCCACGTTTTACCAATGGAGAATGAGCCGTCGCCGTTCTCTCGAGCCTTGTGCATTCGTACCCTTCCGGATTTCCGCACCGCAACGATGATAACTCTCGGTTTCTTGTTTTCCGGGGGAGAGGTCGGCGGTGGCGGATTTGATGGATAGGCGCCATCTTCGGTGACGCGAATATGCGTGATATATGATTCGACAACTGTCAAAAAGATGTAAATAAAATGCACGATGAATATGTAGGAGTCGCGGGCGAACGTGGCTCTCAGGGAATGACCTACCGGAACCATCTGGCTCCTTCTTGGAGAAACAGCTCTGAACGATCCGTTGCTTTTCATCCTCGAACTTTTCTGCTCTCGATAGGCCCGATGCTCCAGGCATTGGGCTTCCACCATTCCGAGGATCGCCAGCAGGCCGACGTTCTTTCTGCGGCGATATATTGGGGGGATACCCTCTATGACGATCGCGACCACTCATCGTGCCTAAAATCGAAGCGGTCCTGCGAACAGGTTAGGATGTTAAGTAGGACAGTCTCCGGAGGCGTTGCTGTCCATAGCCCAAGCCGTACTTCGCAAAAGAAGACCGCGGTCTGCGACTCCAGAAGTAGAATCGATCCCGCAAGCAAGTTCATTCATCCGGTCTTGAAGTCGCAGTGCATTATGTAATCGTGGTATTGTCAGGCTGTCACTCCATTACGGGTAATCTTACGCGGTCAGATACAGCGCGTTGATTGGTCGCACTAAATATTACATAAGGTCTCTCCTATTGGCTGTATCTTTAGTGCCTGTCACGACGGCCGCCTTCCCCAACTAGGCCTAGCCCTGTTTTCTGCCTTTTTCAGAATTTTGTTTTCACTCGAAATTCTTCGTAAAAGAATGTCAAGCCTCACACAACGCAGCCTCCTTCGTCCCTACAGCGAGCAATGGCCCCTTCAAAGGCAAGCAAGGCCTCTTCCAAGGCCAAAGATGTGTCCTCGAAAAATAGCAAAGATAAGGGGGTTTGTATCTCCTGCTCCCACGTGCCTCACTCAAAAAGCTGACTTGGCTGGGATTGAGCAGGGGAAAGATGCCGCGAAGGGGGATTCCGCTCCAAAAAGAACCATCTCTCCAGTCATACTTGCGATGATTGGAAGTTTCCTCTCTGCCTATGGCCTATACCTAACGAAAAGTGCCTTCGACTCCGAGGTGGCCTCCAAAGGAGTTGCGGAGAAATCAAAGTCCAAGCAAGTTAAAGACCACCCGTCGATGGACGAGCTTATTGAAAACTGGGAGCGATCGAACCAATCGGCAAAGTCGGCCAAGGCGAAGTCAAAGGAGCCTAAAAAGTCGTCAGCAATGGAGGATGATATGGGCGATGGGAGCTCCAGCTCGGAGAGCGATTCATCCGAATCCGACCAGGAGAGCGATTCCGACGTCTCCATGCAAGATGCTGCTAGTGTTTCCAGTAGCTCATCGTCTTCCGACTCTTCCTCATCCGAAGACGAAACCGATTCAACTGGAAGCTCCAGCAAGGGAAAGCGCAACGAAAGGATTTCAGGCCCGTCAAACCAGCCTCTGAAACGAAAATATGAATCGTCTCCCAGCCCGTCCTCCTCCAGCTCTACCTCGGATTCCCCTGACACGAAAAGACCCAAATTAGACACTGGGAAGGCAAAAAAACCGGGAGAGTTAACTTCGTCTTCCGAATCTGAAGCTTCATCTGACTCTGACGCCTCGTCTTCGTCCCAATCCTCACCTTCAGGTGACTCTGAATCCGAATCTGAATCTGAATCTGAATCTGAATCTGAATCCGATTCCTCATCTGCCTCATCCTCCTCTTCGTCCTGTTCTTCCTCATCTTCCTCTGCCTCGTCGTCTTCCTCCTCTTCTTCTTCCTCGTCCTCGTCTTCTTCTTCGTCTTCGTCCGATGGCTCGTCTAATTCTTCTAGCTCGGACGCACGCAAATCGACCAAAGCCAAAAAGGCATCTGCAAAGGAGAAGAAAATTGCGAGAAAGGCAGCAAAAATTCCACTTCCCGAGTCCGACAGTGACAGCGACTCGGGTGACTCATCTTCTGCCGAGTCTTCCGGTTCTGATTCGGAGGATAAAAGTCCATTTCTAGCTGCCACCAGCCGCGAATTATCAGCTAGTTCCGGCACAACCGTGCGTGCAACATCCTCAGATTCCTCTAGTGCCAAAGTCGAGAATGGTGCGGGTACCGGTCGCAAACATACCGGTGCAAAGTCCACCCCCCTTGCCATTGCTAGCGAGCTTCCACACAATCATCCTTCCAACGCTTACGTCCCCTATGCCTACGCCGAACGTGCCCATCAGGACTTATCGGTCACCCGCGGCAAAGGTTTCACGAAAGAGAAGAACAAAAAGAAACGTGGCTCGTACCGCGGTGGCCCGATTGATATCGGTCCTGGAAAAAGCTTCAAATTCGAAGATTAAACGTTTATGTATGGCTTGGTTTTTAGGGATTGATTCGAGAGAGTTCACTCAATATGACATGGCGTCGCTATTGCCTTCCGGTTTTGCGGGTCTATCATTTACCCCCTGCTTTGCATGAGACGGGCGGTATTGCTGAGTACTGCTATCATCCATTCGACTGGGGTTTCATTTGAACGCTTTAAAGAGGCCTTCGAGATCACATTCAGGCGGTATCAGCCGTTTATGACCTATCTCCCCGAGCCTCTTCATTATCCTTAGCGAGGAGTTTCAGGCGGTTATCTCACTTCCCTAAGAGTTCTCTCAAGACTACACACCTAAGTAGAGTACTATTAATCCCATTCTTAGATTCCAATTATCCCTCGTTAGTTATTTGCTCCCACCCAGTTGACAAGAGTGTTTCGTGAACCGCAACCCTGTCATAAGATAGACAACAACATCTCTGCTCTGTTCAGCGGTTTACACCAAAAGACCTTTCCACCACTAGTATTCTGTAGTCAATCGTGTAACTACATATTGGCCGACCAAGACTCTACGGAAAGCTGTGTACTCCTGAACTCTGCTTCTGCTACTCCAAAGAACTTCTGCCGATTTTTCCCGGCCAGCACGATTCTTAGTAGTAGAGCTGCGCACCGTGACGTCCTTCTGAGAGCCAATCTCCTTCAGAGTGTTTTCCACCATCACAGTAGCATGGGCAGTCTGCTATGATAGCTGCATTCCATTGGTTACCCAATAACAAATTGAACAGAAAAGCTCGATACTCAAACCGCGTCTTAACATAGGCTACTAGCTTACCGTTTTGATTCCTTAAACAACTGACAGGCGCTAGACCAGCAGAGGCATGGAAAAAGCAGGGAATAACTAGTGGTTATTGTCACCAACAAATAGATTTCTACCAACCGGGACGAAATGTAACTACTTCGGACTATTATCAACTAAGTATTAACTGATTAAAGACGGAGTGCTTATATCAAGTCTAACAAAAACCGTAATGACTTTTCGGTGCAATCCTCAATATTTATGAAGGCCTTCTCCATGGACCTACCGCTCTCTTATTCCGTGAAACCCAAGGCTGGAACCATCGTGAATCCCATCCACAAACTGTCTTTCTATCCGAGCTTACCTGATTGCCCGCTTGCTCCTCCAGGGCTGTCCAAAATGAATCCTGCATCATAAGCCTGACACCCCTTCCTTGGTCCTTGGGAAACGGCCGCTCATAACACGAAAGCTCCAAGGGTCGACAATCGGGGCCGCCGTGCGGGTCTAACCCCAGATCAAGATTCCGTTGACACCATGCACTGTTTTTACCGGCTAAATCATCGGTTGATACCATGTCGAGGCGGAGGACGCTGTCTTCAACGCCGATATAGAGGGTCGACGAGGATGGGGAAGGATGGGAGATGGTATAGATAGGACCTCGGTAGCGGTGGGGTTCGCGGAAACGGTTCATCGCTCGACCCGCAACGCTTTGAATTCGATTGGATAGAAAGACGGATATATCTTTGCTTGGGAATAGCCCCATGTCCGATGGCGGATGGGGGGTATGGTTATTGTCGGGGTGTGGATAAGCGTTTGTTGGTGGAAGGTTGGCGTCCAGGTAGCTATATCGTCCCATGCGCATATCAAATATCTTCAGCAGAGCATGGACGCCACTGCCGACAACGAAGCGTTCGCGACCAATTGGCTTGATGCTATAGATTGGGCTATCGTCTACCGTATCTGTAAACGTTGACACAACAGAATTTGGAGAGCGAAAATCATGCAGCCTGGTTTTTTTATTCAGAAATCGTACCAATGACGCTTGCTGCCAAAAAGGGGCGTACCTTGTCACGCTGTCCTCCCAACCAGACAAGAAGAGATTCCCGGGATTAGTACTGGAGAAGCGCGTCACGGTTAAAGGTTCAATAGTAGTCGCTTTGGCCTTTCTAGAATCGTCATCAACATCGATCCTAAGATCGCGGAGTTTAGTCACGCCGTCTGGGCAAAATCCAAAAACTGTGATTTTGTTCGTCTCTCCATCAGAACCAACCGCAAATCTCTCATTGCACAGAAGCCTGGAGCATCTATGACTTGCCACTCCGTGTGTAACGGTTTTCAGTGTGGCAAATGGGTGGACTTCATCCCCTTCAGCATCAGCTTTGAAGAATGATATTGATTTTCTGCCCATGGATGCAGCGAGGACAGGGCCAGGCCCCGTACTGATGTCAGTACTTTCAAGATCTTTCCCTCCAGTGACATAGGTTTTTAGTAGCTTGCTTGAGCCAGTATCAACGGAAACATACATGCGCACCAGCTTGCCATTTCGCCGCCCGAAAATAATATCTTCCTCAGCCGTCCAGTGCGAGTAATCCGACCCTAGTAAATGTACGCCGGATATGTCGTCCCAACTATCCACCCCGTGCAAATCATTGAACGTCGCCCAGGCGACACAGTCCTGAGGAGTCCCACTGGACCTTCTTCGCGACGCATCAACCGGCCTCTCCGGGTCGTTGGCATCTCTGAGATATTTTCGGCCAAAGTCCTTGACTCGAATGACCAGGTCGGCCCCGGCGCCCCAGACGAGTACCTCCTTCCTAGCTGACCAGGAAAACCCGTACCACACTTCATAGCTATCGATCACCGGACGATATCCTAGGGTAGGATGGTCCGTTCGGATCGTCCTTGGATGGCCGATGCGCCTAGCGTTATCGGGCGGGAGCACGAACCGCGCGATTATGGCTCTGCGATCAAACGCCCGAGATCGCGTTGTCAGCGCTCGGGCTGCATCGATCCAAAAGGGAGGGGTGTCCACTGCGGGGAATTGGTTTTGGACAAAGGCTCGAAATATGCGACAATTGTCATTGAAGATAACTGCATGCAGGTAGCGACATGTTTGGGCAAGGTTTGTCAGGGAATGGAGGGAAGGCAGATAGCTGACGATATCGTAGATGATTTCCACAGGTAGTTCTGCTAGATGAGCTCCAGCTCTATGGTCCATGTTGTGCAACCAAGTGCAGTCCGTCAAAACGAGATAATCTACGATCGCAGTCTTGAATTCCCTCGGGATTGGCGGTGATGTTGCTGACGTCATCAATGTCCTGGAATCATCACCACGAGCCGCGAGGATACGGTTGGCACCTGATGGAATAGACTTAGTAGGCGAGCGGAAAATAATAGTCTAGCTTTCTAGCCGGAGCAACGTTCGAGGGAGGTTCATCTCATCTACGCTGCTCCTGCAGCATTCCATCTGTGAAGCTCTGCTGCTAAACTCTACGGCTGCTAAATTGATAGTAGATCGGTCAACCCGAGACTCATGCAATTGAACGATAAGTTCTCCTCTTATGAAAGCTATATAATGTCTCGCTGTTGTGGGAATAGAAGCTATTAAATGAGCGACTTTGAGAAATTCGAGGTTACGGGATAGTGAAAGCGATATATCCCTTGTCCCTGGTTGTATAAAAAATACCCGAATACGGATCAAGTTGACCCCTGAAATGAGATCGCGAAGAGCCGCCTCTTATTCTGGCCTGGTGCTGGGACTGATACCCATTTCTGTGTAAAAATGGCGCGGTAACATTTCTTTCTGCGCCTGTCGTAACTCCCATTTAAATTGCTCCACGTGGTTCGTACGGCCCGTGAGGGAAACATTGTCTTGTCGTTTCCTCTTTTTCGTCACGGAAGCTTGCCCGTCAAGGATCCTCGCCCGTTCAAGATCAACGACCATCACCCGCTGGTTTTCTGCATTCCAAAACATATTCCCGCCATGAGCATCCCGATGCAGTACCGCATGTTTATGGATTGCTTGAAGGGACTCAACCGCAGAGGCTACCACGGTTTGAAAATTGTCCCTGTTGGCGTGAAACTTGACGAGTCTCCCTGCGTGGCTTAGAAATAGCAAGTGAACAACCTCGAAGATACCATCGTACCACAATGGCCGAGGGGATATATCAATACCTCCGAGGCAAACTGGTATATAGACACCCTGAATCGGCTGAAGATGTTGGTACAAATATTCTTCGTACTTTGCACGGGCAACTGTCTCCACAGGTAGTGCCTTCGCTACGAGAGAGTATCGGTACGGGAAGAGGGTAAGCCAGAACAAAGCCCCAGAGGTCCCGTGGCGGTGCATGGATTCGCAGCCAGAAGGGCCAGCTTTGGCCAGGATTTGCGCGCGAGCTAACCTGCAAAATTCGCGATCATCAATTGCGTGCCGTACGATCCCATGGCTAGCCACATTTGGGCAATCCGGGTCAAGGGGGCCTCGATCTCGCAGGCCGAGGAGGCATTTCTGGGTGCACCATTGCGGGGGTTGTCCCGGGTAGTCCGTACTACCCCTTCCCCCCGTCGATGGCGGACGAGGAGCTGTAATGTTGGAGCTATGCCGAGGAAGCCCCGCGCTGGGACTGCCAGAGTCGAATTCACTTCCGCTACTATCATCATTTTCACTTCTCCGTGTTGCCTCGGTGTCGCGACAAGAGGAGGCAGCAACCAGCCGTTTTGACCTCGTCTTAATAGGTGAGACACGGATATATTCGTTTCTACTCCTCCAATTCTGTTTATAATCCGAGAGTTTCTTGCTGCCGCTCTCCTCAATGTCCGACCCAAAGAGGATGTCGTCATGTTCGATCTCCCACCTCTTCAGCTGCGATTCTGCGTTATTACGCCAGATCTGGCCGAATGGTCGCGTTTTCAAGGCACGGAGGGTAAAGGCGAGAACCTGCCCGACCGCCGTAAGGTGTAGCTTGTTGTCACTGTCCGAGCCATCAACCCAACCGGTGTTCATTCCGACGTCGTCGTTTGGAACGGAAAGATAGTAGTAGACCGTGGTAGGATCCTTGGGGTCCACTCGGAGAAATATGAACGCTTGCCCGGTACAAACATATCCAAACTCGAGCTCGGCGTAAATCATGTAGGAAAACAATTGAGTGATAACGGCGGCAACTCTCCGGCGAGCAAGCTTCACAGCGTCATCGTTCTCGCTGCAAACGACCACATCGTCCACTTCTATTTCCATGAGCCCGGCCTCTACTGTGCCCAAAGTAAGCTTATGTGGTGCCTTATATTCGATGATGAAGGCGGGTATTGTTTCTTCGCGGCCCGTGTTATACACACAAAACTGGTCGGCGCGAGGGCGAGACGACCTTGACCGCACGGTGGGTGTTACAGGGAGCGAATCCCCATGTACGTCGGCCTTTTTTTGCCGCTTCTGCACCGGTGATACTTGCGGGCCGGCGCTCCTTTCATTCTCGGTTATAGTATTCCCGTGATTTTCGAACATCACCTCCCCCTTCAGGTTGAATATGTCACGAAGCCTACGATTGGAATAGAGTCTGCGTATAACAAGCGAGACACGATCCTCGACGGCATGACGTTGGTAATAACCTAAATCTAGCTCGGAGCCTATTAACCTGAGCTGCATCTCGTTGCCCCAGTCTTTTACTGTGCTTAGGGATGTAAAATGGCGCTCTGAAGCGAAGTCGACGTCAAATAGGTCTTTCCACACGGCCGACTGTTCTTGAGGAAATGTGGTCCATTCTCGGATGTGGTTCGGCCGAAGTTTTGAACCAGCATTCTCCGGGTTTCCTTGGGTTCCGGTCTTGTAATTCACACGGGAGGAGATGCCCACAGACAGGTGGACATGACAGGCGTCTAAGTGTTCGGGGAGGGTACTTGGCTGCAATTGCTTTTCGAGACTTTTTTTGTCCTCTTCGGCCTTCTCTTTATCCCTTTCGGCCTTCTCTTTGTCTGCCTCTGCCTGTTGACGAAGGCGCCTCTGCTCCTCTAGTGCTCGCAGGAGCTCCTCGCGAGACAATGTGCTTAACTCAGGGGCCATGATTGTAGTCTGGATCGTAGCCCGAGGGTACTGCCGTGTCAATTTAGTCACTGGCGGGTCTCCGGCCGCTGCTGTGAAGCTCAATAGCTTATACAAATATCGTAAAAGTATTTAGCTATTTTGGAAGGATTTGACTGATCGTTCTTGAACGGAAATTGAGGAAAGGGGTGAAATTGAGATATATGCCTGAAGTTAGGCAACCACCGCCCCCATCCCCTGACCGGGGCGGGTCAACCTTGATCTGAGGCAGTGTCACCCTGCTGCTGCTTCAATTGATATTGCTCTGTAGAGCCATGCGGATTCGTGGTTTCCTGGGCTTCCGTGCATGTAAAAGAGCTACCAAGGTTGAAGTGGCAGCCGCGGCGGTAACGAGCTCTAACTAACTAGTTAGATACCTGAGCATTGGTCACCATGCCGGCGAGAACGGCTCCTTCAGTAGCCAGGAAAGGGCATGCAAGTGGTATCGAGGAGCATTGGGTATCTCTGGTTCAAACGATTCTTTCGCCTCCATGGTGCAAACATTAACACGATATACATCTATCGTGGTTGGAAAGGGGCTCTTCGCGGTGAGCCCGACGAAGAGCAAAGATTGATGTGTGCTGAGTTGACCAAATCTGATGACCGAGGACCGAGTCAGGTGATTAACTAGTTAGTTAGCTAGTTTCACCAGAACGTTCACTCTCTCTGTCTCTTGAAATGCGCCTGTAGTGAGCGATCAGAGTAGTAATGGCCTCCTGTCTGTTGGGAGTGAAATCTGATCTGGATAATGGCCTTGGTATCACCCACTGTGTTGGCGATTTCCGCTGTCTGCTTTCTGGTTGTGGCAGTCTATAAATTTATCATCTTTCCTGCATTCCTATCCCCGCTCTCCAAAGTTCCAAATGCGCATTTTACGTCCTCCATTGCGCCCTTTTGGATATTATGGAAACGTTTTCAGATGACAGGAAATCGGACAATACATGAAGCCCATCAAAAACATGGACCTATTGTCCGGTTAGCCCCAACAGAACTGTCCATTAACTGTGTTGATGGTGGCATCCGTACTGTATATGCCGGTGGCTTTGAAAAACATGCGTGGTATCCGAGAGTCTTTGGCGCCTTTGGGTATGCCTCTCTCGTGTTTCCACTTCAAAGAATGGACATTCTAACAGGACGATAGGACTATTAGCATGTTTTCGATGGTTGCCAGCAGGCCTCATTCCATACGCAAGCGAATGATGTCTAATATATATTCCAAGTCTTACTTACAGACCTCTACCCAACTCTCGGCCGTGTCCCGCAAGATTTTATTCCAGCGGCTATTTCGAATCCTTGAACACCATGTCAAAGCCGTGGATCAGGTCGAAGTTCATGAACTTAACAACGCTATCACCATGGACTTTGTAACCGCGTATATTTTTGGACTGTCTGCTGCAACGAACTTTTTGGAAGACACAACCACACGAAAACAATGGCTGGATGCGTATCAATCCCGGAAACCCTTTGAATTTTATCACCAGGAAGTACCGAATCTTGTTGCTTGGGCAGAAAAGCTGAAGCTTCCTCTGATTCCAAGCTGGTGCAAAAAAGCGAACGACGACATGGAGAACTGGGGGCTTGAACTATGCGATAAGGCTGAAGAACACCTATCGACAGCAGACATTGAGTCTCAGCCAACCGTCTACAAACAGCTCAAGATGTCAATGATTAAGCAGCTGGGGTTGAAGAATGAAAAAGCTGTTCCTGAGCATATGTCGAACCAATTACGAATGGATATTGCCTGTGAGTTATATGATCAACTCACTGCTGGCCACGAGACGAGCGCTGTTGCTTTAACCTATCTATACTGGGAGCTCTCAAGGAACCCTGAATTGCAACGTGAGCTACGAAAGGAGCTACGAGGCCTCTCCCCTTCCATCAACTTTCCAATACACTCCGAAACTGTGCCCAACCTTCCTTCACCGAAGGATATCGATGCCTTACCACTCTTAAACGCAGTTATCACGGAAACGCTTCGCTTGCACGCTCCCATACCAGGCCTTCAACCCCGTGTTACACCGTCGCCAATGTCTAGTCTCGGAGGATACCACCAGATACCCCCCAATACAAGAGTGAATGCTCAAGCATATTCCTTGCATCGGAATCTAGATGTTTTCCCTGAGCCAGAATTGTGGCTCCCGAAACGCTGGCTTAAACCCGGCGATTCCCCCGAAATGGAAAACATGAAACGATGGTTCTGGGCGTTTGGTAGCGGAGGAAGGATGTGTGTTGGCAGCAATTTTGCGTTACAAGGTAAGCCGCCCCAACTGGGATTGATATTGGTTCGGATAATATGTACTTACAGTCGATCAGAAATGAAACTTGTCGTGGCGGCCATTTATTCCAATTACACAACCACCATTGTCGATGACGATGGAATTGAAGCTATTGATGCATATACGGTCCGGCCTACAAGCAATAGACTGGTGTTGGAGTTTCATCGCGCCGATATATAATGGTACCGTCGCTCGACAGCCTTTTTTTGAAGGTAGGAGATATCTCCTTACCTTATCCATGGTGTGACTGACTCGCAGGTCTGGCACCGTCTGGGGTCCATTCACCGGCTCGAAATGCCCACCAAAACCCCCTCCCATAGCACCATGACTATTCTACGGTTGCTTGTCACGTAAATATCTTCAAATCGCGTATATATTGTTTTTTCTTCAGGATAACGAGTATAGTCAACAAACAATAGCTGATTCTCCAAAAGCGGAGTCCAAAACCTTCCCATCGAACTCCATCCATATGCTAAATTGTACAATTGGGTGGTAAATTCACACCCGAATGGAACCAAAGCCCATCGGCCCATCCCATATTCGCTGCGCTCCATATTCTTTCGAAAAATCTTGCCCATAACCAGCCGGGGAGCACACAGCAATGTCATTATTGCCGGCGAACGCAAAGGTGGACATAAGTTTATTTCTTCTTTCGTGGCGAGATCATCTTCTTGAACATGCGTGAAATATGGAAATTGACCAAGCTCTTTGGCGGTTTTTGGTATTTCTATCCCACAGAAAATATAAAGTCAGCGACCGGAGTCATCAATTGGGACGAAGGTGAAATGCGACAATGGGTATGTGACGACATACCGTCGTGTCTGCGCAATGCCTAAGCTGCTGTTCTAGCGCATGGCATCCTCCGATACCGTAGCCCGAGGACGCCCAACAATCTAATTTTCAAGAAGAAAGAGTAGTGTTAGTTTTCGCGATTCTGAACAACGCCCAAGCGCGCCGGTTTTGACGGGATATTTTCGAACAAGAAAGGTCTTGGACTTACTCAAAACGGAGCTCAAGGCAGTCTGGCATGGATCAGGCTCAATCTTCCCTGGCCTTCGGATCCTTAAAGTGTCGACAGTCTGCAGCCGGATAGGCTTGATGCGAGTCGACATTCCCTTTGGACGCATGGTGGATGGTTTGAAGCACAAATAGTAGGATTGCGGCTCAGTAGGGATTAGGCAAGCCAGTCAAAAATCTAACAGTCGTATCACACTTTCACTAACTCGATTCGAACAGATATTTTTCCAACAGCGGGCCCAATTCACCTCTCCGCCGAACAAATCGATGCCCTCGAATCTCCAGGCGAACGAACTTTTGAAGACGCCAAGCCTGGAGTAACTAGTTAAACCTTATTAAGTCGGCAATGCTGACATAAGCATAATGGATTGATCATGATGCCCACCAGAGAAGAGCAGTGGTTGAGGTTGTTCATAAGTGTTGCAGGAGGTTTGGCTATTGATACCCGTTACCCGAGATGAGATGCCAGTCCCGACTTGATTTAGTATATCGATGTGCTCTGTCTGCGCGGCCAAAACCTTCGGTCCATGAACTGCATCACTCAATTCGAGCATCATCAACGCGGGCAGGTTCTGAGCGGCAACAGAAGAACAACTCTAAGGAGGATGGCCTCCGAAATGATGAGTCCCCGAAAGAAGAAGAAGAAGGCGCGATGACGAGACGAATGAAGGAGTTGTCTGAAGACGCCATGTTAGGAGGCAAATCCGCAATGAAGAATATGCAACAAGCGGGGTTTTCGGATGAATTAAAGAAACAACTAGAAGAAAGGATAGCTGCCACTTCGTTTAAGAACGAGCATGCTCAAGCCTTTTCGGTTGCAAATATGCCTGTATGACCTATCCCTCGCGATCTATAGCGCCTGTATTGAGTCCTAACCCTCAAGCATGTTGCAGAGGAGTGCCGGAAGAGGGACACAGGATCTTGCCGCTGCAGCTCCCTGGACTGGCGATGAAACCGCCCATGACGCTGCTCTCCGAATGCTTAGCGACTCAAAGAAGCCGCTGCGAGTGCCATTTAAACCGCCAAACCCGTCACCAGTTAATCTCCAGCCCAGGGTTCGAGCGTCCCAATCCTCCGGAACCCGCCTCGCACAAGCGCGAGACCGCAAAGAAGTTTATGAACTGAGTCAGGACGCCCATATCTCCGAAGAAGAGCGCGAGGCGTATCGTCGGGAACTTCGTGACCGATTCACTCCCGGCGCCCGAGCGTTCCCTATGAGCCTGCAGGGCCTGAGCTCCCTCGCAAACGAACGCATCGAAGACGCCATAGCAAAAGGACAGTTCCGAAATATCCCCAGAGGAAAGGGCAAAAACGTCGAGCGCGACCATGCCGCGGGCAGCCCGTACCTAGATACCACGGAATACTTCATGAATCGGATCATGCAGAAGCAGGAAGTTACTCCCGAGTGGATCCAAAAGCAACAGGACCTACAACGGGAGATCCGTCGGTTCCGTGCCCAATTGAGAAGTGATTGGAAGAGCCATGCCGCGCGGTTGATTTCTAGGCAAGGCGGGACTCTGCAGACGCAGGTCCGGCGTGCGAGGGCCTACGCAGCGGCCGAGGCGAGACATAACAGGTTCGCTCAAACCCCTGCCGAAAAGGAGGAGAAGAACGCGACAGGCGTCAAGCCCATGACACAAATCGACCACGAGGGGAGGTTATCCCGGATCCCGGTATCCTTGTCCAATAATTCTCCGGTATCACAAACCGAAAGTGTGACCAGCACTTCCACAGAATCGATTGAACATGAACCTCTTCCGGACGTGTCGTGCTTACGCGACCCGCAGTACCTCGCAATTGAAAAAGAGTATCACGAATTAAAAGTGAAGAAGCTAAACGAGCTTCTTCGTTCTTACAATTTGCAAGCCCCGCGAATAGCCCAGAAACCATACCTGAATCTACAGCGTGAACTAGATCTGTGCTATGCCGAAGTAGCTCCGTCGCTAGCAGAAGAGGTTTACAACAGAGCTACACAAAAGGCTCACGATTCCAGTTATGTGCCTACGAAAGGAGATGCGGGCGCATTGCAGCAAGTGTTAGGCTTAGGCCAAAATGCTCGTGTTCACGATGAAGACACATCCAAGGGCTATGGGCTGAAGCAATTTTGGCGCGATCTTTGGAGCCGGGGCGCAACAACTTAGTGACTAATAATACATCAAGTGTAAGATATTATCGAATACTGTGCCGCCAGTATACTCAGTGTTTGCTATATTTATACGCAAAGTTTGCCCCTCCGTCATCGCAACTTTGGCCCTTTTTTCAATGAAGTCGCTCACTGCACCCTAAGTAAGAGATAAAGCAGTAACAAAGTGCAAAGGGATATGGGAATAGCGCTTTCGTCTCATGCCTCTTTACACAGGAGCAAGAAGCCAGAAATGTGTGGGATTCGACCTCCGCTTGAGGCATCGACAAACAGGCGGCTAACAAAGCCGATTTGGCCCATCAGCGATACTATCGTGGTTAGCTGTGTGGCGTGCAAGTAGTTGACCTCTGATGCTGGCGTGTTAACAACGATTTGAAACGGATTCTATTCGAAAAAGAGCCCATGTAAGTCGAAGGTTGCAATAGGCGCACAAGGTCGCTAAAAGAAAATAGAGCGTCTCTTCGACTCCAACGGGGCCAAAGCGACCAAGGCTATTTTTTGTTTCACCCGGTTCAAGGACAAGCAGACAGAAACCCATAACCGTGAAAAGATTTGAGAAAATCGCACGAAGATATATTCCATGGCGTCTGAATCGCGGTTGAAAAGCCACCTCTGTGTCCTCGCCGGCTTCGAGACATGGAATGGCGACTATGCCCTGAGTTAAATCGTTTGGGCCAAAATGGAGAAGAATTGGGAGTATAAAGAACGGAATAGAAGTCATTCGCTCCACAACCCAGAACCAGCGGTTCCAATCCACTTTGGATATCACGTCCACCAATGCTGGCCATCCGCATTTGCCCGATGCCTCTGAAGCAGGAGAAGTTATGGATCGTGCCATTTTGCCAAACGACGCCCGGAGCGGAATAATGAACGGACGCCATGGGATCTTAGGATAGTCCCCTTTAGGCCAGCCTGCTTGTGCCATATCTGAATCGCCGAAGGGAAGACGGGATATGATTTCAAGCTTGCCGATCCAGACCTCGTTGACTGCGTTTCCTGGCTCGAAGAAGTTTGGGGATCGTACGCCATTGACAGCAGAGATCTTGTTTCCCATAACTGGAAAAACTGTGAGGTAGTATACTAGAAGATAAGCAGTGCAACACAGACTGATGGATAGATCAAGGATGTTTAAACTGTGCGTAGCATCGGCCTCGGCTAGAAACGCGCTGAAGTACTAGATATGAACGTTGTTGATATGCCATAACCGACAGGACACGCATATTGTAATCAGCCTGCTGGGTTAGTACGAAGGGCTTACCCAGATATCGGTCCTCAGAAAGCCTATGTCTCTTTCCTAAATATCAAAGGTAAGAGCGTACGCATCACAGATGGAAAGTACTGCTAGCTGGTGATTTCGAAGACGACAGTCAGTCATTTGAAATAAAAGGGGTACGTAGGCCCAAAGTGATAGTGGCAACGTGCTTAGTCGAGTAGAAACCGAGGCCGCTTGCCACCTCCCAATCTGTATGCATGCGCAGCTTTGCAAGGGCTATACGAGATTAACCGTCAAATGCCACAGAAAGAGAGCCGATGTTCGCAGAACCCGAATTATATGAAACAATAGTGTCAAAACAAACTTTGCGACCTGCATACACAAGACGGCGTTCATATTTCAAGGGTGAAGTTGAAAATATTTCCCTCTATATATCTGCGGCGGGGTTGCCTCCCGCGTCTTCAGAGGACGAAATTTTGAGAAGATCTCCTCCACCCTCAAGGCTCGAGGGTTTGCTGGGCGGGACATGTTGAATTGACAGACGCAATTATTCTTGAGAGGGGCCAGTTTCGTCTTGTTTGTCCGCTCGATTCGCCGTGTGACCTACTATACATAACACCATATATATCTCCTCGAAACCGGTATCCGGGGATCCATTATATAAACCACATACACAACGCGCTGGGGGAGACTCATAAACGATTTTGGTTAAGGCTGGACCCACGGGGATTGATAATTGTGCCGAAAGTCCTTGATAACAGGCAAACTTTGTCCCGATGCATTCGATAGCGGTGGTCACGGGAGGGGGAGGCGATATTGGCAGTGCCATTGCCAACAAACTCGCAGGGAGCCATGATCATGTTGTCCTAGTAGACATTGATGAGGGTAGAACGAAAGCTGTGGCAGAGGCGTTGGGCAGTGGAAAGGCGTACACCATGCTCTGCGATATCACCGACAACAGCCAAGTCCAGGAAATGGCGCAAAAGGTGTTAGCACTGGGTGAGGTCCATACCTTGGTCAACAATGCCGGTGCAGCTTGGGCTGGGTCCCTACAAGATATGTCCCCCGAACTCTGGAAGCGAGAGATCACCCTTAACCTCGATGCCGGCTTTTTCTGTTTCCATGCGTTTGAGGAATCCTTGAAGCGAACTCGGGGTTCAGTAGTCAACATTGCCTCAGTCAATGGTTTGTCTATTTTCGGGAACCCGGCATACAGCTCTGCCAAAGCCGGGCTCATCCATCTCACGAGGTCCATCGCAGTGGAATATGGGAAGTTTGGTATTCGTGCCAACGCCGTGGCTCCGGGAACGGTTCGTACGCGTGCGTGGGAGACTCGAGTCGAAGCGAATCCACAGGTGTTCGAGCAGGCCATGCGATGGTATCCCTTGAAACACGTTATTGAGCCGGAGGATGTCGCCAACGCAGTGGGATTTCTCAGCAGTAAGCAGGCGGCCGCCATCACTGGAGTGTGCCTCCCAGTTGATTCTGGGCTGACTGCAGGTCAAACATGCCTTGCACGGAGCTTTTCACAGTCAGAACACTATTGAATGGGGTCGAAGGAGTTGTTTGGATATCGGAAACATATAACTAGTGCACCAGCTTGTAAAATAGAGAAACAAAACAAACGTAGTCAGCTAGCAGTCAAAACATGTCTCAGTTCAGATGGCTGCTTGGAGTCCGGAGTCGTTTGTCGTTTATTGTCCGCTGCGCACCGTTTTTCGTCTCCATCGGATATCAAACTTCCGGATGGGCTGCACTCCTCGATACGGGAAATGGAGCAGGATGGCAAAAGCAACGCTGGAGTGCACGAACAGAATGTCTCACGGGTCCTGATCGCACATCTCGCTACCACAGTTGCTTTTCCTGCATTGGATCTCGACATCCGACTCCGTCTCTCGAGCACAGGCTGCACCACCGCCATCCACCTTGCGGAAAGCGCATGAACGCTGAATAATCGAAATGTGATTCAAGAGTGACCAAGTGTGATGGGGCTTGATGGCGTGCAGCAATGACGGCACTGTTTGGAGACCGGGATGGCCATCGTGAGCGGCCGCCGCTGATTCGACCTTCGCACTTCTTCTGTGCATCCCGGGCGCTTAGCAGCCAGCAAATCATCCTTGCAGGATTCGCAACCCCCTCACCATAGTGCGGACACGAGCGAGATTTCTCTTCGAATCACGGACTGATACCCAGCCACCATTGGGCCCTTGTTGATTCCGCCCCTCGGACCCCAATGCCAAAGTCCGAGACGGGCGGCCTGTGGGATTGTCATTGGGCCCCCATATACCGCTCAGTCTCTCCAGCTTCTCGAGGGACGGCCTTGAAATCACTGCAATCTCCCCCTCTACTGCGCACGAACAGATGGATTGGACGTGGATCTACAGCATCAATTGATAGCTCGGTTTCGACCCCCCTAGAAGTGGCAATAATCGGCTCTCCCCGTGTCACAGGAGATGCTGCTGGCCATATATGCAACAGAGGGCATGAAATAATCAAAAATCGTACAATTGCGGCATGTCAAGTCCTCGTTTGACCCTTATTTCCCTCCTCACGTCGTCCATGCTCACGCTCCTTCCGATCCTCTTCGCCGTCCCGACCGCAGGCCGACCTTCGTTTGAAATCTTTAATGGTCCTGCTCCTCCGCCCGACGAGGGTCCGCCGCTCTCAGCGTCTGCAGTCCGGGATCTAAGCCTGCTTTGGCGCGAGATTGTTGCTATTATTGGAGCTTACCTTTTTATTGTCTTTGTGTTCCTCGGCTGCCTGCTTACTGTGGGAAGACGCCTTCGGCGAAGTGCACAGCAGTCGAATCGGACACTGGAGATGGAAATGCTGAAGCCGCTCGCACCGGCAGCGAACAACATCTCGCTCCAAGTTCCTCAGTCGCCGCAAAACACCTGGCCGAGCCCAATGAGCGGAACAGAATCTCATGAGTGGCCCAGTCCACAAAAGTCCAAAGCTCGATCCTTTAGTTTGCCCTGGTCGAAAGGACAAGTTCCCATCTCGAGAACCGATAGCGTGTCGACGGTGGACGAGAATGTCGTTCGAGCGGATCGGATGAGAGCCCAGGAAGAGATGGAACGACTATATGCTGCCGTGATGGAACACGACGAAGCCAAGTCAAACGGTGGCACCTCGCCTGCAAAGTCACCTCGTCAGACTCGCTCTCCTTTTGAGGCTCCACCTGATTTCAGGCAGCTCAGACAGCGCCAGCAATCGCTGCAGTCTCTCTCACCTGTGTCGCCGATGTCACCACTGTCCCGAGAACTTCCCTCGCCTGTTTACCCTGAACCTCAATCTGCACGTATGCAAGAAAGGCATCAGCAGCTCCAGCTTCAACTACAGCCGCAGTCGCCACAATTCTCCTACCAGGAAACCCCCGAATGGTCTCCGACTTCGCCTCGCAGTGATAAACCATCTAGACTTTCCGCCCTCTCCTTCTTGAGCTCGAAGAGCTCCAAGTCTCGTGGTCCTAAAAAGCTCCGCAGAGAATCAGTTCGAAATCTCCCAATCTCTCCGCCAATTTTATCACCAGAAGCTGTGTCGCCAGGCTTTTCTGAGACCCAGCCCCTTTCGCCACGCATCTATCACCCAGGACCTCCACCACTCAATCCTCTACAGCAACAGCAAAAGCAGCAATTAAAGGTGATGTCCAGAACCCCGCAACTTCGCAATCCATCCGTGGACACCAATTTTAGCGGGCCTCCACACTTGCACCTACGTAGTGCAGGAAGTAGCACTTCCACCCTTCCGTTTCGTGTAGCGTTCGATAACGGACCCATGAGCGCTCCGCTGACAAAAACAACCCTCGTCGAAAGACGAGAAAGTATTCTTGGCCCCCTGGGCCCCAGAACAGGCATCCCTAGGACGCCGTACAGTCCATACATGCCTTTTACCCCTATTACCCCGTTGACCCCGAGTCGTATGATTACGCGTGAGGAGCGGAAGCAAATGAAGAAGAAAAATGGGGTGTCTGTACAAACAGAAAATGATCTAGTAATGAGCGATGAAGAGATGTGGTCCTAAGGGTCCTTGGTGATAGAATGACGGGAAGTTTGTCCTTTTTTGTTGGTCCTAACGATTGATTCTCTGTGATTGTGACTACCGTATATTTTTCCTGACGTTTTCCTCTAATGGGTTTTTACGAGGATTTCCGGTACCTGTTAATGTTCCTTGCAGTGTTGGGAGATCCTAGATCTGCTCTATTAGTTATACCCAAGTGTTGTCGCAAGCATGGTTTTTAAGAAAAATGTTGCAGCACTGTGGTAAATAATTCTAGTTTATATTGTTCTATTTATTCGAATTAGATGCTTGAGATTCTGGCTCACCATTCTTAGCCATTGCTCTTGGGTAAAATAACTACAACGGGGCCTTGGTTGACGCAGATTCAATTCAAGTCCAAGTTGCGTTTCGCCATTCAAACCCTTTAGTAGATTCCCACAGCTGTATAATCAAAAAGCAGCCCTTCAGTAGTACCTTGTTCGAAGTTTGCCAGAGAATACAACGCGGGCGTCAAGAGTTGTTGATCAATGCAGTCGTACTGGGTCTAGTTAGTTGACGAGGTCGCTTCAGGCACGTGTTCGCTCAACCACGGTCCATCACCACAAGAACCTCGACGTTGACTCGTCTTCAATTGGAACAGACAAGCTTCCCGCCACAAGTTCTGCTTTTGTCCCTTTACATTTGTGTGTTGATATGCGTTGAGTGACTGCCTAGATATCCGTGTTGTCCACGCCATTCAAAGTGAGGAGGAATAGGCTGATTCTTTGAAGATGCCTTTAACCGTCCTGAGCAACCGTGATGTACGGTCCCTCCTCCTTTCACTGACAGGAGACGAAGTACGGGAATTGCGAGCCAATCTTGCAGAAGCACTAAGGGAGTACTCGTCGGGGAATCAAAATTCTGGATGCTTCTCGGAGTACCAGCCAAAGAGTACAACGATATCGAAAAGAAATGGATTGACCACAATGTTCTTGCCCGCAAGTACGGAATCGAGCCTTGGATTCAAGATAATGACTGTGGCGGATGCTCCGAGTAAACCTGGACCTCAGCGGCGATTATCGGCCTCGGAAGCTTCAATAGCACTACCCGCAACGCTGGATTCCAAAAGCACCCTTGATTCTATGGCATCAAAACTCAGCCGGACAGCGCTTGCGCCCGCTGCCACACGGCTTTCACAGTCGCGTGCGGCGAGTCCACGACCTGCACCAGCGGCAGACCAAGAAACCAATGTCACTTCTCCCTCGGGAAGTCTAACTCTACTCGATCCGACAGGATCACCCTTTGGCATCGTCAACGCCCAAGAATTGACTGCGTTTCGCACGGCGTTAACCTCCATGATGCTCCTCTACCGGCGTGAGAAGATCAGCACGATCACTGTTTTCGGCGCAGGCCGCCAAGCATACTGGCACATCCGGCTTGCTCTCCTGCTACGATGCAAGGACATCAAACGGGTGAACATCATAAATCGCTCTTTTGAACGAGCTACAGGACTACTTCGAAAGTTCTACGCCGCGGACCACGTGGAATGGCGGCAGAACGTCAAGTTTTCGGCGTTCAGCCGGGATTTTGTGGAATATGACCGACTACTGCGGGAATGTGTGGTAAAGGCGGATGTTATATTTTGTTGCACGCCGTCGCCCGATCCACTCTTTCCTGCAGACATCCTGACCGACTCGGATGGGCGCCGCAAGGGCCGGTTTATCAGTGCTATTGGGTCCTATCGGCCTAATATGACGGAGTTGGACCCGGATCTGATCAAGCATGCTATAAAGTCTCATACTCACCACAAGCACCCGCCTTATGGGGGCGTCATCGTTGTGGATACCCTTGAGGCGAGTCTGCATAATGCCGGAGAAGTTGTCATGGCGGGATTGAAACCACGCCAATTGGTCGAAGTTGGGGAATTACTTATGGTGAAAGATGCAACCGAAAAGCAGGGAGATCCACCCGACAAGAGTCTTGTTGACTGGCTTCAAAGGGGCAATGTTATCTACAAGTGCGCTGGGCTAGGGTTGATGGATTTAGTTGTTGGCGGCGATATCATTAAACTCGCGAAAGAAAGACATATTGGGACAACAATATCGGAGTTTTAGGCGACGGCAATTAAATGTTATGATCCAGTTGCATTAACTATAGGGCTAAGGACACCGGTCAGCGCCAATAAGAATAAGCTGGGAGCCTCAACACCTGTCGCGCCTCGAAATTATGATGGACGGGGCCAAAATTCAACAACGGGTTTCTAGCACCGGGAGTGCAAGCTCTCAAGTCCCCACGATGCGGTTACTTCGGAAGGGAACATCAGCAACCATACACAACAGGGGCGTCTGGTCCGGTAAGAGTAGCTCTGCTCGAATTCGATACAACCCATCCTCTATTGTCTCGTCGACCAGCATGTTTTCGGCAATCAACTCTGCCCACCCCGGAGCCATAAACTTGCGGATCAAAAAGTTTTCCCGAATGTATATCCATGGGACATCACTAAGACGGTAGTCGTACCGGCCATGCTGCCCGGAGTGGTTGGACCAAATCGTAAAAGATAACCTGACCACGTCGAGACCTCGGATGTGGGGAGCCCAGCCAGTGAGATAGATGAAATGTTGCAAGGAGCTATTGGAAAGATCAATGTTAGCTTCATGGCGAGAACGTCAGTCCTCGAAACTAGGACGTTGACAGCATGGAGTACAGGCAAGGAAAGGGGTACTGTTTACGGCTTTGGAGGATTCGGAAGGACAAAGAATTCTTTGACGCGAAACAGCTGGCTCTCCGACCCGGAACCGCAATAGAATGCTGGGTTGTTTCCCGGAACCTTTTCCAAACGATCCAGACGCTCCAGGGCCGAGTTATCCTCGAACACAGCTTGGTGACGGCTGTCCGCACCAACCCAGACCCGCAACCACGGGGCTACAAAAGCAGCAAAGAAAAGGCAGAGTGCTCGAAGATCCATCCTGTTGGCGCAGTTCATGGATATCAAAACACCGGAAAGCGACAATCGCGACTCTTCGCCGCGTGATTTCCACTTCCCGCCGAGGATTACATAAGGCGGCCTTCGGGCATGACGTCAGGGTGTTATCGTCTGATCCCGCTCCGACGAAATTTTTCCTTCCGCTCGGAGGAGATCAAGGATAGAAAACATAGATTTCGCTCACGGCATTGTTACAGCAGTGCAGCTTCTAAACACCCAAGAATCATTGAGCTCTTTTGACACTCTGTGCTGATGCCCACTGAACCGATTCACCTTCCTAACGGCTATGTCTTCACCGTCGTCCCCGTTTTTGGGGGCATGACGTTCAAGAACAACGACATTAATGTCAGTCACTCCGTCCTACCGCCAGGATGGAATATAGTCATCAACACGGAGAGGACTTCTCCCCCGGACGAACATTGCCGGCCCTCATCCCCCATGCGCTCCCCTTTTTCCGGTGCCTCTTCCTCCCCCCGTTCGTCGTCCGCCTCCAGGGTCCATAGCCCTTCTAGAGATAGCAAGCGCTCTTCTCGAGGCAATGCGTACCGTTTCACGAAGCCAACCGTAGATCGCGATACCTTTTTTATTTCCTCCATATTTCTCCCTCCTAGCGCCGACTTTAAACCGCCAACCTCCCCCACCCGCCAGATCGCGATGATGCTTTGGGCCACTCTTTGGTGGTATTTTCATTTACCGGAGCCGAATCGACATCTCTACACGCCTGAATCTGCGTTGACACCCGAGGCTGGGCGCCCGAAGGGGGATTGGCGCGTGTACATCAAGCAGGAGGGCGTTTTGAAAGGTCGCAATCTGATGCAAAAGCTGGAGCGTATGGGCCTGGTGACGAGTGAAGATTCGTCTGTCGGTCTTGATCCTGCCGACCCCGAAACGCAAAATACTTGGGGAGAGGTGTTTGTGAGCCGTCGCACCTTTTGGCAGTTGGATCCACGCATTTTCCTGTTCACTTTACAACCCGTCTCCATTCCGAACTCGCTGGACTCACCGCGCATGTCTCGACCGACTTCTCCCTCCAGAGATGGCCCAACTTCTTCTCCTAGTTCTGCAACTGTCGCACTTTACCCCGAGGGTCCTGCTTTCAGCCGTGGCCCATTCGACTCTTCGAGTCACCTGCCTACCTATTTCCCACCAGCTCCTCCGACCTATACTGTCACAAACGGAGTACGTCACCCCAAGCGTCCGAGGCCGCCTAGACAAGGCGAAACATTCTATGTCCGATACATCCGAAGCGTGGGACAAACCCTCTCTTTCCGAGTCCCAGTCCTTCGAGCGAAAGAGTCCGTAATGCTAAGAGATTTGAATATCGGCCGTCGCAAATCCGCGAGCACCACTTCTCTTTTCGCAGATTTGGGGTCATCGGGCTGCCGGACTCCCAAAACTGAGAACGAATCGGACCTTGATATTTTGCATAGATGGATGAACGACCCCCGGATTAATGCTGCCTGGGGCGTAGCGGGACCACGTTCGACCCAAGAGGGTTTCCTACGCAAACAGCTTACCTCCTGTTTCTCCTTTCCCGCACTTGGTTGCTGGGATGGAAAACCCTTTGGATACTTTGAGATCTACTGGATCAAAGAGGCTAATATCGCAAAATTGGTTCCCTCTCCGGTAGGCAATTGGGATCGCGGATTCCACTGCTTGATTGGCGAAGAGGAATACCGGAGTTCTCATCGAGTGCAAGTGTGGCTTACTGCGCTGGTACATTTCTGCTGGCTTGCGGATAACAGGACGGAAAACGTGATTTTAGAGCCAAGAGTCGACAATGAGAAGTAAGAATTGCCCCTTTAAGTAAAACCCTTTGCGACCCTTAGACTCTTCCTTGTCTACCATATCGTGCCCTCATACTCCCCCTTATCATGACCTCCTACCCTTGCCTCCAATGCCTCCCTATTCTTCTCACTATTCTCCTCGTATCCATCCACTTTTACGGCCTTCTGCCTCAATCCCTTTCTACCCCGGACAATTCCACCCCGCTAACACACAATCAATATAGGTTAATTTCCAGCCTTCGTGCAGCAGGCTTCTACAAAGAAGGCGAAGTGAGCTTCCCACATAAACAAGCTGCGGTGATGAAGATAAACCGCGATAATTGGGAAGCTCCGGTGATATGATCCAAAGACAATCCACCAGCTTCCGGTAATTGACCTTTCTAACCCACGCTCAACAATCTTCCGTGAGGTTTCTATTCAACTTCACACTTCTTTCTTTTTTCCGAACTCCCCCCGTCATCTGTTTATATCTCTCCTCTCACCTACCACTAATCGAGTAAATACATCCATTCTGCCTTCTCGGGATTTGACATCTAAAAGCAGGTTGTTTTTTACGAAGCGACGAGTTTCTTTCCCCTTTCTGCCTATGTTTACTTTTCCATATGGGAACTTTGGAGTCTAAAAACTGGGCATGTCTTGACATTTAGAATTTTGTTTCTACATATATATTGCATTTGGTTTCTGTCGCAATCAGCATGATCGTTGTCAATGTGAATATTTCTTCCCTTTGCTGTATAAAAGACACATGTCCGAATCCAGAAAAAGGTATCACTTTACTGAAACTAAAAGCCAAAGTCTTTAAAACAGCTAAAGTTGAAATTCATTCATTACAATATCATCATATCAGCAAAGAAGATCATTATCTTTATCATTCTCTGCTATCTTATTTAGATTCCATATCAAACCCACGCACATGTAATGGGGCGACCAGGCAGCCGATAACTTTTTCCCAGCAAGCGGAAAATTTGAAAAAAAGTCGCATACACGCCCATAAAACCCCACTCCACCAAAGTAACGAAATACAAAAGTAAGACGTTACGTTTATCTGTATCTCCAGAGGCTGAGGGTGTTGTGTCGCTTCCAGGTCTTCCGTCTGCCGGCGGTGGTCTTGTTGTAGCGATGTCCCTTGTTGAGACCACGGGATTTCTTGCCAGTTGCAGTGAGACCACGGCATTCGCGGTGCTAGAGATTTATAATTAGTCTTCAATTTGTTTTTTTTTTTTTTTTCGCATGATGCATAGCATTTCCAGTCGTACCTTGTGCACTGGCTTGACGATCCAGTTGATGCGAGGATCACGGCGGATAGCCTTGTGTTGAGGATCGATGAGGATAACTTCATAGTACTTGTAGGTAGAATCCTGGTTGATCCAGTAGGAATTGAGGACACGGAGGTTACCGCAGCGCTTGCCAACACGTTCTTCAGCGGTAGACTTGAGGGATCGCTGGTACTTGAGCTGGTTGACACCGTGATTGGTGGGTTTTCCTGAATAGAGTGAAATTTAGAATCGATGTCCAACTCGAGCAAGTCACTTGCTGAAAAGCTCTGATAGCTTACCATAGGTAGCGCCCTTGGGAACTGGTCGCTTGCGTCCACCACGTCTCACACGCACACGGTAAATAACGTAGCCCTGCTTGGCTTTGTATCCGAGACGGCGAGCCTTGTCGGGACGAGAAGGACGGGAAGCACGATGGATCACATTGAGTTGACGGAGCTATATTATTGCACTCTCAGCAAAGTTCAACGAGTGTATAGCAAGACACACCGAGAGACAAGGGGAAAACCAAGGGGTTTTCTCCATTCTTCTCTTCGTGTGTGCCACACAGCAATTTGTGTTTTGAATTTTCGAAGGGAAAGAGGCGGCCCGGCTCAGAAAAAGAAGATCTCTCTCTTTTTTCGCTCTCGGAGTCGCGGTTGGGAATTTATCTCACCTCCCAGCATCGGACGCGCAACAAGAAGCGCATCACATCGGATTGCTTCTTGCGCTGAAGCTCTTCAACATATTTAAGAGCACCCATCTGTACGGTTCCAATTCAAGTGTCAGCAAGCTTAACTAACGCCCGGATTTTCAGTGTCAACAAGAATCTCGATGCTAATTGCAGGATCTCACCTTGTCGTCGTGAATTCGTCGTCCGTGGTTGTCGTTGTACTTCGAGGTCTCCAGCCGAAGAAATCTGTGGGAACGAAATTCGGCCTAAGCGAGTTGCAGCCCGGGCTTGGCGAGACCATGCCACGTGACTATTTTACACCTGCTTAGTAATAATCGCTATCAGACAGCACCTCTTATTCTTGCTCAATTCAAATCTACGAGAAATAGCAGTGTTCACTAAACTACTACTTCGTACTTCACTCTAACACGTTCTTCTCTTTTTACTTTTATTATCTTCCGGCAATGCCCTCAGCAGCGCCTTTAATCCCTTCTCAAGTCGATGCGCCACGTTCCCCCACCCGCAAATCTCCTTCTCCCCGTCATTCCCATCTTCACTGTTTTGCTCTTTGCCCATCTCAAGCATAGCTTTCAGATTTTGATCGTCCTCAAAGGCTCCTTTTCTCTTCCTGGGGTTTAGTCTCCAGCTATTGATTCCACCACCCCGAGCCTTATCGTAGGTGATCAACTTCTCAATTTCCGCAATAGAAGCTTCACGCCCGGCTGTAATAAGCCGCTGTGCTTCTGCATAATCATGTTTCCATTCTTCCAGAATGTCAGGAAGCGGTTTGATGTTGCCAATATAGTCGTTGAGCTCATCGCATGAATCGAGCAGAGCGTGCGAACGTTCAAGGAGCGCTTTAGTTGCGGAATGCAGAGGGTGGTTCTCAAAAGACACATCTGCTTGCATTTTCATGTTCTCTCCTTTTATAGGAGTGTCCTGCGTTGTGCTTTCCGTTGTGGACAGTGGTCCCAGTGCTGATGTAAAAAGCTCGGTGAATCGGGCGCGAAACTGCTCTGATTCGGCCTGCCTTTTTTTTCAAACTGTTGAGCCTAGTCGTTTATCAAGCAACATGACGACATACAGTTTAGCCTGTTCCGCATCCAGCATTTGCAGCAACCGCTTCTCCTCGTCCCGGACCTTTTTCTCAAATTCTTTCGCAAAATTATCTTTCCTTTCCGCACGACCCATAGCAGCCTGTAGTGCACTCAAGGCCAACCTAAAAATAACTCGTTAGTCACGCCTTGATATTTACCCGCTGCTTTGTTTCTCCTGGCGATTACATACTTTGCTTCTTCCAGCCCTTCGATACTCTCCTGCGAAGCCTCACAGCTTTCAGGGACGACATCGTCAATGTCATCCTCGCCAGCCACATCAGACGCCGTAACCCGACGTGAAGCCGCACCACTAGCTCTCGACCTTTTAGCTAGTGAGCTTCCCGCCTTGCTCCGTTTCCCTGCTCTCATGCTCAGCTCTGCACGGCTTGAGATGTGTTAACTGCTTACCACCTTGCTTAGTACGGTGCATCGCGTCAATAGGGAAAGCCTGTGTCTAGTCTTTAGGGACGTCTTTTGAACGTCGTTACAGGTCGAATCCAGTGGGGGAGATGGGTGGGAGTTGTACAAATCGGGAAAGCCATCTGGATCATGTGATTTAAGTACATCCATATTTCTAGACTCAATAGAAAGAAAATGCAGTTTATGTATACCGATACTACCTGAAAAAAACACTTGCGTGACTAAAACGATAATATATCAATTTGAAGCGGGCTGGGAGAAGAGGAATAGTCATAAGGATGCAGGAAAGCCAGTTTTCAAAGACGACAGACCATAAAGAGAAAAATTCGGAGGCCTAGGCAGCAAGTACAAATTCCGGAAAGGACCGCGGCACCGTGATTTCAGAGGGTCAACTCCCTATGATGTTGGCCAGCATTCGGCAGGAATGGAAAAGAACGAGTGTGCTAAGTCGGTGGGAGCGAAGAAAAGGGGCTTGCTTCCGAAGTCAATTCCAATAAACCATCGGCATCAGCATTAGCATCCGCAGATGGTAAAGGAAAAGGTAGGTATACAGGAATAATAATATAGTTACACGCAAAAGAGATTAAAAACCAGAGTATTAAGGAAAGCAAGCGCATCGACGACCCTCGAAAGCATTATCCAGTTCCGATACTAAAAATGAGGCGATTTCCTGGCTGCCGTAGAATCCATGTCCAGTGCGAGCAAATTGATATATCAAAGAAATCTCCTGGCTGTATCACAAAAATAAAAGAAAGTCCAGTTCCATCGCCAATAGTGCATCTCAATTTGCCCATTATCCATTTTCGAAGCCGTTTATCCTTAGTTTTGTTCCAAATTCAAGGGATTTCCCGGCGAGTGTGAGTGTTTTCATAGGAGAACGCGAATCAAGGTAAGGGGTAAAAAATCCAATTTAGATTACAGAAGATAGAAGCAGCGATTTGTATCTGCAGTCCATCTGCTGGGCGTCGATATTTTCCTTTTCCTTTCCAATCCATAAACGGACAGCTTTGAAAGGTAACGCGACGAGAGAAATCATGGTTAAAACGAGGGTTTGTACCACAACGCAATTGAAGTATAAGGTCGAGTGCTGTGATGGAAATTGTCGAAAAGAGGTAAATGTCAATCCGTTAGTCGTGAGCCGGGGGGTTAAATCTATCGAGTTCCGCGGGCGATGGAAAGTCAAGAAAGCCGTTTAAAAATATCCGTATCCTAAGCTCCTTGCACGCCAGCCTGTTGCCAAGTGTATGTCTAGTTTCACCTGTATGTCGAGAATCGATATAAACGCGATGGCATGGTACAAACGCGCAATAAAATGATACCGTAAAACATAAGAAAACCAGCAAGTGCAAAACGCGTAAATAGATGAAAGAAAGGCGGACGATCACCAGTAATAGTCGGTCCATTTTGAATCAAAAAAATTATTTTGAAACGAGATAGTTATTCGAGGCATTTCATTTCATGATCGCTCATTTGCGACTACGAGCCGAGTGAAAGGCCTTGGAATCGGTTCATCCATTCTTCCTGGCCAGGATAGCCACTGCGAACGCCCGTTGCGCCGAAGCCTGTCGCGTTCGGGTCGGAAGTGCCGTAATTGGTTTGGTAGGAGCCGAAGGGATCCGCTTGATGCTGCAGACCAGGTGTATAACTGCTATATCCAGCTTCAGGCTGTCTGGCACCTCCAAGTGATTGGTACGGATCTAGGTAAGGAGAACGGACGCCGGCTTGAGTGGACATATCTCTATTCAGCGGCTCTGCGAAGATTCCTGGAGACAGCCCTTGATTGATTCCGGTTCCATATTGCTTATAATCATGCTGGCGACGGCGATCACTATGCGGATCTTGACTTAGACTCAAAGAGGACGAGGGCCCAAGAGCACCGGGGGGCTGCAAGCCCGCCGTCGGCGTGACAAATGACGCAGGATTGATCGCAGACATCCAAATCCTAGTCTTGTAAATTTTGAATAAATCCGTGACCAGCGAATTAAAATTGATATATGTATCAGCGAAATAATAGAAGGTAAGCTTTTTCCAATCCCTAGTTAAAGCAAGTTAGCAAGATTGTAACGGGCAGTCAAGAACATCGGGACCTCGTACATTTGAAATTCAGCATCAAGAATTTCCATATTCAATCTATGCTCGACAACTTTCTGCTGGCAAACGCGTTTGGCCTTGGCTTCATTCCCTTCCTTATCACGTAGTGTTTGGATTTCATGATTCTGTGCAAGTCGCTTAATCAACTTTGGTTTTATATCCGCTCCTTGGGCTTCTTGTCCGGTGTGTGGGCTTTGCGGACCCATACCACCGACTGCGCTTCCACTTAATCCTGAAGGGCCATTAGGGTTCACTGCATGGGGGGTTCCCGACTGGTTCTGGCGTGAAAACAGCATCAACCACTTGTAGTGCTCCTCTGCAAAACGGTCTTTCAGTTCCCGTGCCTTTTGCCAGCTCACGTTGGCCTGAGCAACTGTACCGAGGTCGGTCCCGCGGTCGGCTTCGACAATAACGAGGTCACCAGGTTTAACTTGCAATCCAGTATCCTCCTGAATATAAAAGACATCCGCCCTGCAACATTTGAACGTAACGACAAATAGCTGCTGGTTTTGATGCGGTTGGGCCAGGGCTGCATGTTGGCGACCATAGGCGTTGGGCATAACATAAGCTTGATGCAAAGCAGTGGAAATTCCTGATGTAGCAGGTTCAGTTGCACGGGTTGAAATATCATGTCCTGAAAAGTAGGAAGCTGCAAATTGACGAGCACGTAAACCTTCCAGTTCCTTTGCACGTTCGGCAAGGGACTGATTGTTACGAGACTTGAGATACTCACGGTTATCTCCAGATGGGGCATTCATACCAGCCTCCGCATAAGTTCCAGTGCCATCATCTTGTTTCTGGAAAGCTGCACCGACAAGTGGTTGAGACTCTGCGGCGCCGGAAAACGATGAGGCTTGTCTAGTGGGGACGTCAGCGAAAGAGTGGCGACGACTCTGCGGAACGTCGTTAACACCGCCAAAACCCAGAGAGCTTTGCCATTGTGCTCGCTTGATATTGTCCAAGGAAGCAAAATTAGGGAACTGCTTTTCCAAATTAGCGGAATGCAAACTGAATCGCCTCCTCGCGTTACTACGCGTAGTATTGTATCCGGGAAATTCGCCTAGCTCGTCGGTGTCTTCGACCGCCAAATCGGACTCCTCCGGGACGCTTCCATGGATGGGATGTAATTTATGACCCTGAGCAATAGAATATCCACTGTTAGCCGACGTAGACGAAAGAGTTCGATCCCGAAGTCGTGCGCTTTCAGGCTGGTTTGACGCAGCTTGGCGCAAGAGTGTATTCTCTAAAGTCAGTTGCTCGATAGTACGTGCCTGATTAGAAGACCAATTGCTATTGCCTTCAGAATCATTCGGGCTAATATCATCTTCGTCTTCTCGAACGCGCCCCAAGTCTCCAAGCATACTAGGGCGGGAGGAGCGACGCTGGACAGAGTATTGGGCACTGTTTCTGCTCCGAGCACCGGATACTGGTGCAGCAGCTTTGACTGGCATTACGTTCGTAGTCTCCGGGTCGAGTTGTCCAACTGAATACGATTGAGACCGGTAGGTTTTAGGAGTCGGGTGTAGAGGGATTGCGAACGGTATAGTTGCTTCTGTAGCGGAGCGTGCGGTCGGGCTGATCACATCGTCCGCAGGACCGAAGCTTGAAGTGGGCGGGTGCATAGAGGTGGGAGACTGGAGGACTTCACTCAATCTCGACGGTGGTTCTTTCCGATTCTCAGTATTCCAAATCCCAGTGCCCCATGGAAACGATCCATTGCCTGAAGAACCCCAGTTGATTGAACTGGTTAATCCTGGGCTTGTCGCAGATGCCCATGTAACTTGGTCGGCTGCCGGTGTCGTGGGATTGGAATTCACGGGTGAAAACGAGCTTGAAGCGGTCAAGGATGCCTTTCGCGGCAATGAGCTGGGGATTTCGTTCAACCATGAGGTGCGTCTCGCAGGTTTTGGAACAGGAGTGGGCTGTGACTGGTTGCGTCCGTGATGATCGTTTTCATCTTCGGAGGAGGCAAGTGCCTCTGAATCAGGCGTGGAACGACGAGCACCCTGACGGTTCTTCTCCAGTAGTATCGAAGCATTGTTATTATTATGTGAAGCCGGAGAATACATAGGGTGCGGAGGTTTGGTCGCCCTACTAGACGCGGCCATCTTGAAGGGTGAAAATCAACGGCACACGACGGTCTGAAGAAGGGAGAAACACCATCCACTGGAAATAATGATGGGGAAGAACGGGTTCAGCAACGACTCTCCGGCCTAGACTAGAAATGAAGATTCGTCTCAGACCTAATACGTTAGTCAGGCTGTACGATTCACCCAAGGTCCAGATAAGATAGCTTTGGTTGAAGTAGAATGGGTGTCCAAATATTATGGTATGGTGTCATGTGTTGATAGGACAGACGCGGCTTCGCGGTTCCTGTCAACGGATAAATGGTGAGCAAGCGTAAAGGTCATGACAGATTTGGGTTGATAAAGTAAGGTGACGCGACATAAGAGCGGTGGAATGATACAGTACATACCCAATGCTGGCAGCCGATGCGAGAGTTTGAAACCGTGAACTTGACAGGGTTTGAGCGCGAGAGACTGGCCCAAACAATATCACCATATGCCACTGGCGAGATCTGTGCAACCAGAGTGACTGAGCAGAAACTGAGGTGAAATATGCGACGAAAAGAGTTGTGAAAAGAAGCGACGAAAGGGGATGTGACGAAAAAAGATACGACGAAAAGAGCTGCAATAAAAGATAAAGCGAGGTAATGATAAATAGTAGAGAGGTGAGAAAATGAGAATCTAAAAGAGAAACAATGTTAGCTCACTTGCTCAAGATATAAAAGTTGAGTTTGAGTGAAAAGAAAGGAGGGAGTGAAAGTAAAGTATGTGAGAAAGGGAGAGAGGAGTCAATAGTAGTGAATTTATTGGAGACGCAAAAGACAGTCCGCATCCGGTGAAACAGGATGTTGTGGATAGCTACCGTGCATAAACAACAACGGGACGACACAAGCACGGCCAAACTGCTGGTCAATGCTTTTGGCAATATGGTAATAAAAGGGCCACTTTTGAATAACTGAGGGGTTTGTTCCAGAGATGTCCGATAAGCAAGCAGCCAGTCAATCTCAACAGAGCCACCCAATGACAGGAGATCAGGCTGACAATCATGAATCTGTAGCCATGCGTTTCTCAAGTTTGTCAAAAGAAATCCGGGTGTCCGTCGCGCCGCTGCACAGACATCTGTTTTATCATATTCGCCCAGGATCCCAATTGAGAACAGACAATCTCCAGAAGAGAGGATGAAGCGCGCACCGGTTAGACAGATGTCAACTGAATTCTGACTCCGGTTTGGCCAAATGATGTGTGAGGGGCTTGACGGGGCAGAAATAGGAATCCGAGTATCCAACGAAATAACGGCCTTACCTTATGCCACTCTAAAACGATGCAAGGGCTGGCGGGTATTGGTGAACGAACAGCCGTCTCTAGCTGCAACGCGACGAGTCTGAAGATCAGCAGATCATGTCAGTTCAGCAGCCAATGTAGGTACAGCAAAGGCCTGTTGGGCAACGGGGGATCCCACCTGTCTAGCTATGTAGTCTTATCTGAACAATCTTTCCTCTCTGATGTTCCCCAACGCCACCAAGCGCTCAAAGCCGATCGGGAACAGGAGTCTTCGCGTTCAGAGTAAATCCACGGAGCCAAAAACGCTCAGTTTCAAAACGCGCGACGTCTAGGGCGCTCGCAGGCCACTGAAGCGGCGCGCAAGGAAAAAAAGGTAGGTTGTTCAAAGGAGGAAAATGAGCCTCGAGCTCGAATAGGACCACGGCAATATCGTACACAAGCTGGGTGGATGAAGGCGGGATGGCGACCGTCAAGGGGCGGGCATCAAGGAACGTACGGGGAGGCGAAGCGTGAAGATGAAGGGAGCGTGTTCTCCGCGATGAGGGTTGCGTCGAGGCGAAAGAGAAATAAGATGCTGCGATGACGAAGATCAAAGGTGCAGGAGACGAACTCTCCAGAGCATCAGCAAGGCCCATGCGCCGTCTCTAACCATTTAGCGCATGTCAACCGAACCAGAGTCCAGGTCAATCGGCCGTGTGTTGATCAATGGAACGATGGGGGAGGGGGCAATTCACCTGCGAACGGGTGGGTGGCGGAGAGGGAACTAGAGTTGGGATTCTGATCTGGGGACAAGATCCAAAACAACCGCCTCAGCGAACACAAAGTCGACGACGTATGAAAAGTAAGTTGTGGCTCTAACTTTGCGGAGAAAGGACACGAGCGCTTTGGAACTCTGTTCGAGAGGCCTTCTGGGACCGTTTGGAGCCTATCCACAGACGCAGCGGACTTAACTAGGCGATTTGCAGCTAGGGTTTCCGTTGTTCTAGGCGAGATGGCAAAAACCAAAAAAGGACGAGGAGCAAAACAGCAGAAACGAGCAGGTAAATCTAGTAACTATAGGAATCAGAGGGCAGAGTGCAATCGATGGTTATAACTATTGCCATGAGCCCCCTCTGAAGTGGATTCCACACCGGCATGCAAGATAAAAAGACATGCAACGCCAAAGACCCTCTCCGTGGTCTCGAACACTTCCCTGCGCTTCCTGGCGGGATACGTTCGGGCTGATTTGGTAACCAGAAGTGTGCTCGCTGGATACGGAACTAATAACTATTACTAGCCGACTCGCCTCTGACAATACTCCTGGAGCTTCGTCTGCGATTGAACTACCCGCGTCGCTGCTCCATGGCCAGCAGGGTGAGAGGGAGATTGATGCGGAGTGGGAGTGAAACAGATATGAGGACCGAGGGCAGCGATCACCAGCAGGAGGACTGCATGAACCATGTCGTCCCATCCTGCACTCACTGGTGGTACATACATACATTCAATACTCTGCTGCCGTTGATGGAGTCTCTAACAAGCAGCTATATTAGAAGAATATGATCACTAGTTAGTTACCTGGCTTGACCGCCTGGATAATAGAACGATAGGTATAGCAGCACTAGAGTCCTACCAATGGCAATCATCCAGCAGGGAAGCCGTTAAGTATCCGGTATTCGCACAGAGCTAGTTAAGCAAATATTTTGGTGTATATGTGAGATCTCTCCATCTTGATCCTTGGTTCAGCAGGAAACCCGTCATCAGCATCTCATACCCTTTCTCCATGTGAGGAGCAATCGTCTTTTCCACAGAGGCTTCGGTGGTTTATTAGCTGCAGTGGGCTTTGACAAGGAATCCTCAGTATGATCCTGGTTGCTGCATGGAAGCGACAATTTCCAGAACGTGCTCCTCATCGCCTGCTCGACCCTCAAGACTCTCAAGTGGGAATTCTCATAAGCTGCTGTGGAGACCACTCTGTCTCCTCCCAATCAGCATGCCGTCCAGCGTCGTGATACGAGAGATATCCATGGATTCCAGTGCAAGGACAAGCCCCTCTTTGAACTGACGGAAGCCAACCCTCACCCCACACAGCAGATTGATCCGCCTGGGAGCCGAGTCCGAACAGCCCAGAATTCGTCGGAGCATCGGTCTTGGTATCGCATGCCAACCATATCCTGGGAAAGCCAGCGCTGCCAGGAAAGGTGTAGGGGCCTGTGTATTGGTTGGACAAAGCAGCAACAGAGTTTCGTCGCAAATCAATCTTCCTTCACTGGCTGATTGAATCGACAAGCTCGGTCATCATCGACCCCAGGACCATGGATGGGTCGGAGCCTGGTCGAAGCTTCAGAGCGAACTAGAACTCATCCTGTTGCTTCTCTCTCAAGGGTCACCACCACCACCGAAAAAAAAAGGCACATGGCGACCAAGACGGTTGGAAGATGCAACAGATGCCGCTTGCCGCCGAACACCGTTACCTACCTATTACAATCATCGATCTTGATCCGTTGGTTACCATCCCGTCGCTTGCCTGTATGTCCAGAGCGATAGCAGGCTGAGCCACACCACAAGGTCGTATTGTTCCAAAGTCCAAGAGGACAGTCGAGTTGAGCATGCTGATCTTTCACTCTCTGCAGATCCTTCATGTTTGATAGTTTTCGATGTTGTTTGTCTGTTGGTCTAATTGTACGGCCCCAAGGGCAACCCCCATGACTCAAAGTAATACATGGTTAACGACCGATGCCTAGGACAGCCCTTGTGAAATAGGAGAGCTTTTCACCAGCCACCAAGCTTGCAGTCTCGCCCCTTGGCCTGGAAAGAGGCGCCCAGGTACTCCGTACTTGCTCCCAACAAGAGAACGATGCACGTTATTAAGACAAGGATTAAAAAACACTCAAACCTGAGACCGCTCTTGTGTGCCACCAGACGGCAGAGAGTAACCGGCGATACGGGAGATCAATCTGCTTCGTGAGGTAAATGCAAGCAAACAAGCATTAGCCCGGCATGCAGTGATGAATCAGTCAATCGTGAAGCACGTCATGTGCGTAAAGCTCAACTCTCGAGTCATCAACATCAAGGGAGGAAAAGAGGCTGCAGTAACTAGTTTAGTTACTCTGTACATTTCTTATGTTGTCCATCCATTACATGCGTCCGCCCTCAAGAATCGGCGTAAGTTTCCAACGCTCGAGCTACACTGCATTCTTCGCCTTCTGCGCCCTGATCCCTTTCAGGGGCCAATTTGGGGACTGAGGGTTCAAAATTTCCCAGCATCTGACTTCACTCTGCCCATGGATCTTTTGGTTACACCAAGCCCTACGAGTGACAGGTACGAATCATCTGATCATGCCCTTTCTATCCTTCTTTTTTTTTTTTCTTGCGCAATCTGGCCTCTGCATAATAGCCGTACGTACTCTGTACATACAGAAAACAGGAGACCTTCCGTTGGGTTTGCAACAAGTAGCTGCCCACCTCAGGCGAAGAGCTTTGAAAAACAAAGGCCCTTTTCCACCATGAATCTCGAGGACAACAGGGGTCATGAGATATGCATGCTCGTAACATTCACGGGCCTCAAGAGCAGAGCAAATTGCGAGATTTATTTTACTCTTCTTCCTCCCAGAAAAGGCATTCCCGTTTTCTTTCCCATGCACACTTAGATTCCGAAATAGTTCCGGCCTGGGTGATGTGGAGAATCGTTTCCCGTGTTTTTCTCAATCACATGAGGACTTGAGCCGTGCATACATGATGTCTTCTCCTCCCTCAACCTTGCATATTTTTCATTCCTTGGGAGTATGTGTGGCTGAGATTAGAGCAGAGAAACATGTGAGGGAAAAAAAAGGATGGGCTATCCTACGATCTGGACCAGATACAGCCAGCCAACCCCGATGAAAAAGACATATCATGAAGTGTTATTATACAGAGTATTTTATGGATTTTCTGCAAACGACGTCGAGGACAAAGAACTGGGGGTGGCGTATGGAGGCTTATAGCGGCCAATCAGCCAAAAATCCTTGCCGCCTTTCTCACTGTGCTAAACTAGTTGATAACAGATTCTACACTAGAAATCTCACAATCGAGTAGTCAAAGCTTAGCTTGCTACTCATAGCATTTGCCATATAGATTTCCTAGATAAGGAACAGAACTCGGGGCATGAAAACTCATAGAATAGAGAGCGCTTCAGGAACCACGTAATTGCACTCAGAGCAATGCCATGCCAATGCCCTTCTCTCTTCAGCAGAGAGTCTCTATCAAGATCTCCTTTCCAGTGTTTTGATCCGCTCTGCTGTCAACCGTTCACCTCACTCTAATTCACAGAGTCTCAAACGAGCTTTTCCGCGAAATTCTCACAGCATTTATCCGCGTTTCCTGGAGCTTCGCCATCCGCGCTCAGTATATGAACTGCACTTCCACAAGATCTATATCGCGGCCATACTAGCCCCAGTAGGCACCAAAATGCACCTCTATGCCGCAAACTAGGAGTCATCTTCCTGTGTGTTTGTACTTCTCCATTGAACAGACCCACTCAGCTCACTGAACTAGGCCCGAATCTCTCCTTGGCCAGTCTGTTAAATTCTCAGAGTTCCGAATGGCCCTCCAGACGTACCACGCAAGGTCCCCAACGCGGAGCTGGGTCTATTCGCCGCTCATATCGATCACGGCAGATATTCAGGTCCCTAAAAGCGTGATAGTGGTCGATTTCCCTAGCTTCGGGTTCAGGGACAAAGGGAACAGTAATCTGCTCCTCATGTTGCTCGTCCTGGGAACCAAGTCGGCAGGATCTTTGGAGTTGGCTTTCGGAGAGCTGGAACAACAGGTCGGGGTGCGGAGGAGGGATATATGCTCCGTGGCACTGAAGGAAATCCTGCTTAGCCATGTACAGAATCAGCAACCCCACGTATGGGTGCTACTCGCGTTCAACTACTGTCAAACGCAGTGTTGGAGAGCTGCGTCCGCACTTACCCGTCTTGCCCCTTCTTCACGTCCTCGATCAAATACTACAACACCGCCAAATATGTGTGTTTCTGCCCAATAGCCGACCACATCTGGAAAACCACGCGGGTAACGAGCAGGTGTAGCGTATTTCGGATTCAGCTTTAGATTATCGAGCATCTCCAGGGAACCACAGAATTGCTGAGATAGGATTCGTGCCTGTTATGATGGTTCAGGTCGGGAAAGCAAATCAAACCGATGGGTTATGGTGAGCTCGTACGTTCGCATTTGTGGGAAGGCCATCAATAACCGGCGCCAGAACATCCTTTGCAGCATCACTGCGCATAACCATGGACAGTATGTTTATGACAAAAAGTCGATCTCTCCTGATCAATGTCTGCGATGGTGATCATGGTGGGAGGGAACGCAACAGCCAAATAAAAGATAAGTCGAGCAGGCAGTCTTTATCCTTGGATTCTTTGTCCAGGATTGAGATGATTGGAATCATGACAACCCCAAGAGAATTTCAAAGACAGACTCATTCTCATAAATATTTGAGATGAACCACAAGAATACATTGTTTACCTACTCATGAGTAAAGAGTTAGTGACAGTAAATATAATAGGGCAGGTCAAATCTCACTCACAATATGTGTACAAATCTGTGAGAGAATAAAGAATGAAATCTAATCCCATAGTTAACCCAGCAAAGAAATCTACAATATGTTTTACTCAATGCTAGACTCTTGTTCGGTTGAGACCCAAGAGAGTCTGTCAACCATTCAATCAAGACTAATCATTTGATCAAAGCTGGTTGGTATTTGATATGTTTGCGATATAGTTATCTGAGGAGCTAGATCTAATGAGCATTGTGATTGGTAACAGAGAGCTACTCCGTTAACTCCTGCGTAGATGTCAGTAATAGGATATAGTTATAAACTTCAACCATGAACTTGGCGAAAATCTTCAGTGGCAATTGTTTGCACAGGCCTCATAGTGGCCCTGGGAAGCTTAAACTCCCACGATGATTGAACGATGCTCCCGACAACCGACCCCATGGATGCAGAACCCTCCGGTAATTAGAAATGAGACTGAGCACCAGCTGGGGGGAACAATGAATCTTAAGCTTTTCACTTGTTCAGCTCGCTTCTGGGCCGTCTTTTCCCTGGCGCGCAGCATTCTATTGGAGGCGTTCGCGCCGCAGATGTAATCGATTTGGTGGTGGAGAGCTGAATCATAAAGGCTAAGAAGCCTTTTTGGTCTTTTGTTAGCTTTGACTCGATCGGGCTGTCGCATAGCGTGCTGCAAAAAGAAAAATATTGGAGCATGAAGTTCTATCCATGACGATGAGAGAGAAGCCACTACTGGGCACATAATATGGTATCATACATGTCTAAACCACCATTGGACTCAGATCCGAGGGAAAACATAAAGAGCAAATGAGCAAGAAATGCCAGAAACGTTAAAGATCTAACGTCACGCATCGACGGTGTCAAGACTCCCCTTGCCAATGGTCGATGGAGCGGCATCTGGGCCCTTTTGCTGCCGTAACTTCTCTTCAAACCTTTCGAATTCCTTCATAGCAACCTCCTCCTCTTGGTCAAGGACTTGCGTGACACTTGTCACTTCCTCAATCTGAACCACACCCCAACCGAATCAGTAAACCGCCAAATCCAAGCGGGTAAAGGAAACAAAACCAGGGACGGGAAACTCACATAATGCATCAACATCGACTCAATCCCATTCTTTAACGTCACCGTACTCGAATCACACGTCCTACACGCCCCTCTCAACTTCAACATCACATTTCCATCCTTAAACCCTCTAAACTCAATATCCCCACCGTCCTCCTGAATCGCCGGTCGGATCCTCGTCTCCAGTAACTCCTGTATCATCCCAACAATCTCCTCATCCTCCTCCGCATATTCCGGCGCCTCTTCCGCGCTGCCCTCCTGCCCAGGCTCGGCACCATCCTTGGCCGCTACGGTGTTGACTAATTGCTCGCCAGAAGTCACAGCCTCGGTGATCAGGCTGAATACTTCAGGTTTGATGTGAGCCCAACTGGCATCGCCGGCTTTGGTTATGGTTATGAAATCCGGTCCGTAAAAGACGGACGAGACGCCGTCGACGTTGAAGAGTTTGGCGGCGAGCGGAGATGGATGGGGCGGAGCGAGGGTGGAGCGCGGGGAGAGATACTCGAGGAACGGGGTTGGGAAGTCTTTCGGAAGCACAGTGAAGTTAGGGATGAATTTAAGAGCCTGTATCACCGTTGTTCCCGTTAGTTGATTGTTCGCCACAAGTATAATTCGTTATTCGTGAATATCCCGATTGGGAGTTCACCTGCAGTAGCCAGAAAGAAACTCACATCGGCATTCGGAGTCGTCTCCGTCTGGATGAAAATCGTCCTACTGCTCGCAGGTATATTTGTCGGAACCTGCGTCGCCGTAGGTTGGTGCTGCCTCAACAATGTCGGCCTGTACCGTGACCGCGAGGACGTTATCGCCGGAACTCTGGCGGCTGGAGTGAACAAGCTCCTCGAACTCGATACCATCCATCTCGGATGCGGTCGTGTGACTGCCCTGCAGAAAGAGCGGGATGCCGTCCGTGTAGCCATGATTGCAACGCTTTGCGATATCGACCGTAAGGAAGACAAGCTGTGGTTTCTCCTTTGGCGGAAAGAATCACCAGCGGAAACTTTTGCGGTGAATTCTGACGTAATATTGATAATCAAAATGGATCAACTCCTCGGAGCTAGTTTAGCCGACACCGTCCCGGCTAGACTTGCCGGCTGGAATTGACCGGATGCTTGGCATATTGTTCGGGCTCAAAACAAAACTGGCTGTGATGAAGGACGGGAAGAGTTGAAACAGAATCTTACTATTGATGAGAAATGACCGATGAACTATAACGAGCCAGGAGGCTACATAAACATGTCAATCCGCCTCTTTGCTGGCAATCAAAAAGCTCAAAAGTTGCAACCATACCACCCGCGCAGCAAAACGGAAACGCACCACCCGAAAACACAGAGTGAAGAGAAGGCACAGGGGCAGTTTATTCTCTCAAACGCCTAATCGCCTAATATTTTTTAAAAACTGGGCCTTAGTCAATGGGGGTATATTAAAACAGAACAAGCCTTAAAGAGCAAAGTCAGAAACTCCGAAGGGCTGGTGAATTAGAAAGTCATTATTTTCAAAAACAGATACACCAGCACAATACGGAGACATTGGACAGGTGAGGGTATTTTCTTGCGGTATCCTCCGAGAAAGTCGGGTTGAGGAAGAGATAGAAACGACGAGAGAGGTGAGGAGAAGGGGTAACCATATCCAAATCTATGACCATAGAATAGTATATATCAACATATCATCGTTAAAATCGTGATCCTTGATAGCATCAATTTCGTCGCCATCCAAAACGTTTATGCGCGTGATCTCGCCCTCCGCCTACAACGGCGGAGGGTTCAACCTGCAAGCTTCGACTGTAAAGCTCCTGGTGCAAATTAGCTCCCATCCAGCTCCCTCTTCAATGGAACAAGATACTCACTTCGTCATCCCCTTCGAATCTCGCCCCCAACACCAGGCGCCGAACTATTTCGTTGATGTGAAACGACGGGAACGGCGTCCTTTGGCTTTGCTGGATTCCGAGGATTACATCACCCATTATTTCGAACTTGCGCCAGTTAATGCGATCGCCAACAAACGTTTTGTTCCCTTCTTCCGCTGATACCAGGTCTCGAAGGTGGAGCGGCAGGAAGGGTATCCGTTCCCCAAAGGAGTTTTCCCAAGCAAGTCGATAAGCGAAGTGGCTCTTCTGGGTACCCATCAAAATCACCAAACTCATAAATTGCTTCTGAACATTGTGCGAAACCAGTTCTCGGGTTTGGGCCAGTCGGAAGATAGGGGTTCCGTTCAGCCCTGCAATGATAGCGCCGAGGGAATTATAATTAAACAATTGGCGTAATTTCTAGAAGACAGCAGAGCGGTCAGCCAATGATCAACAAACCCGACAGTGTTACCGACCCAAGAGATATTCATAAATTTTTCTAATGCCTGTGCCCTATGCTTGGCTTTATCGCGAAGCAATACCATGCTCGCAGCAAAATATGCAAGGTGATTAAAATGCTTTATCATCCGATTCACGTTTTCTAAATGACTAGCCGGTTTGTCCTTGTCCTCAGAAGCTGTGCTCACGTGGCGAATAAGCTCCCGGGGTCTAAATGCGGTGTACATCACCCAGTCAATCCGGGTAAGTTCTCGAGCAAAGTCTTCGTCCGGTATCTCCATAAAAATGCGCCATTGTGTTTTTCCTAGGTTATGGCGCGGTATTATCTCAAGACGCTGTGCTTCTCGCTGTGCTGTTTCTATATTCAATAGTGTTTTAAACGATTGGCTGGATATGCTTCCCGATCTATTCAGAGTGGACGCCGTTGATATGTTTGAATATTGAGATTCGTGATCGACAATTTCTTCGTTTAGGTCTAAAGCAGTCATTGCCGGGACATTGTCGTCAGTACTTTGTATGATGGAAGTGGCGGGAGAGCTCTGGGCAGAAGTATCCAAGAATGTTTCCACGTTTTCAGACTCGGCTTTATCCTCCTTGACGGCCCAGGACGCATCATCATCTTCGACAAATTTCTCAAGCGATGAGCTCATCTCCTTCGCCGCAAACGCAAAGACTATGTTTTTCTCCAGGTGGGAAATAAATTCCGTAAGCTGTTTTCGGGGCATCGCGCTTGCAAAATCTCCGGGGTATTCAGCCACCCATTGCGCCAGGACGTTGAGCATCATTAACTGGTCTGCATGGCGCCTTAGTCGCGGCACGTCGCTGTTTTCCAACTGTTCGAACCGTCCGACGATGGACGACAAAAGCTGGGTGGGCGTCGCAAACTTTCGGTACAGGCAAAAGAATATCGCGGGAAACTTCGCATCCTGCTTGGTTAACGGCATGGACACCAGGCGATCAACGAGCTCATCGAAGGTAAAACCGGGATCCTCCGTCCTTTCTTTCGACGTCCTCGGGCTTGACGGACTAGGCAGTTGGTGCGGCGAGTCCTCCGTTTCATCTTCCATATCCAGGAACGAATTGAAGGCGTCAGAACCGGCGCTATGCCTCCACTGTGTACGGAGCCGTTGGTGTGCAAAGTTGCCGGGCGACGACTCTTCAGGCACTGGATCAACCGTCAATGAAGACCCACGGTTCATCCGATTTCCAGGAGGCGTCCGTGGCGGAACAGGCTGGGAGTTACTCCGTCCATATCTTGCACCGTGCACATTGAGCGCCAGGTTTGAATCGATTGCGGAGTCGCGATGGACTCCTTCGCTGGGATAAGGATCGGCGGGGTTGAGAGTAGTGCCTTTGGGCGTTTCAGAATGAGCTCGAGTATGCTGGCGGCTCGGATAGAGGTGCTGGCGTGAGGGAATATTTCCGGCAGAAGCTCGTTTCGGGGGGGACCTCTGCTTTTCACAAGCTACATCTGCAGAAATAACGGCCGAGATTAGCGGGTAGATAAGATTGAGCCGCGATACTCAGTGTTCTGTTCAAAACAGAGAGAAAAGAGAAAAAGCCGAAACATAGATGTCCAATCGCAGCCAAATCGAAGCTAGATATCAGACATTAAAATTCGAGGCCTCCGTTCAACAAGGATCAGTTGGAACGCATGCAATAATCGGGTAGTGGTAAGATGTGAACGGTGCAGATTGAGTGGATGGGCATGCGGGTGGAGAACGGCAAAACCACGATGTACTAGCGTGATGGGAGCAGGGGACCAACTGATTAACGGATGGCCATCCTCCGCACCGAATCGCTAGCCGGCAATCCCAGGGGAGGTGGAAATTAGTCCAGCTTGTGTAATTAAACCGGATGGAAAGAGAAAGGGGAGAAACGACATTAAAACAGGTACTATAGGCGTCGCAAGGGAGAGAATGCAACATAAGCGGGCAGGGCCGCCAATCTGAGATGTTGACTCCCGGCCAGGTCGCCAGTCGGCCCTGTCCAGATGCACGACAAATTCAGGTGGAGACCAACGCACGACAGAAGTTGTTGTCCAGCACCCGATGATAGGTGAAAATATCCTTACCAGAGGTTTGCACGATGATCGCCCGGAGCACGATAGAAATGCATTTCTTGTAAGAATCTGAAACACGGACAGACGTCTGTAATGCCTCAGTTCCCGCGAGGATTCGATTCGCCTGTTCGAGCACCGCCGGGTCATGTTGGGAGGAGCGTCGCGGAGTGTCGCATTTACAAGCCACGACAAGAAACGGTATATTACCTGTCGTCTGCAGTGCACCTATATATCAAGGATCTGAGTATCAGCCTTTTGTTATGCATGCAATCCTGTAAATAGGCCTGGGCAAACTTTTTCTCGTCCAAAATTCCCATAGGAAGTTAGAAAAAGCAGGGTTTGGCTTTTCTGATCCTGAGCAGCACGAGAATATCTTGCTCCACACTGGCGGCTAACCGGGTTGCGTTGCAGAAAACAAAAAGCAGGGCGGAGGACTTCTTCTTCTTCTTCTTCTCGCGACTTACTGAGGAGTTGGGCCAGCTGCGTAAGGGTGTGAGGATCGGCGGAGTCGAACAGCGCGAGAACCCCATCAATGGGAGGCAGCGCCTGCTCTCCCAGAGACCGCGGCCATGTAATCCTCCCGTGCTTATCGACAGTGATTTTATGGATGCCAATCTCCAGCAGTCGAACCAGGTAGATCGTTCCGTCGAGCGACATCTTCTTAACCGACGAGCGAGCGATCGGGGTCTGCTTCAGGTCCAACGCATATTTTACAAGCGTAGATTTCCCTACTCCGTGTGCCCCGACAACAGCCATGTTCACCTGCGGCAGCCGGTGCTGTGACGGCATGCTGGCCTACAGATCGGAAACCAAAGAGACGAAAAAACAAGTCAACCCCGGTGAATCGAGAAACGGAACGTGGGCCATTGAATCGCGGCGGGGACGGAGATTGAAGGGGAGAACACGGAACTCGCACGTACCACACATGAGGTTTCGTTTGGGGTCTGCCCTGGAGCGTCCTGACCGGAGGACAAGGGATCGCGTTCATCAATTGCAGCAATTGTCGCATCCGGCTGCTTCGACGCGCGATAATGGGGGATTTCGCCGGCGGGAGCAGAGTATGTGCGACTTTGTAGGGAGGGACGCTGAGGCGGAGGCACGGGTTGGTTTTTGACCACGTCTCCCACCGACCGGTTCCTGAGATGCTGGGGCGACATTTTTCTCGAGCGAAGCGGGCAAACGGGCAGTTCGTGTCGAGAGGCAGGGCTAGTACGGAGGCGCGACAACGCGGACGGGGACGGGGTATGACGTTTGCATTCTGCGGTAGGGCCCTGCTGTTCGCTCAGTGCATGGTAATTGTACGTCAATTGCTAACGCAGACAGTGTTGGGATCGAATTGCGGCGAGAAAATAGACTTGTCTTCGGGTTTCAGCGTGAGATGTCGTCCTTAAAGAACGAAGCCACAGCAGGATGAAACGGCGAACTAGCGGATTGCACTTGGACGCCAACAACGTCAAAATGTGGGTGAAGGCTGCGATAGCTCACAAGCTTGTTACATCATGGGTTCCGGTCGACTTGGAGGCCAGAGAGCTACGGAGGCCTGCGTGCTGACGGCTACAGTGCTGCAACTGAGCAGTGGGATTGCGCGATGAGCAAATGCAGTCTTTGATCGATGCTGCTCCCAACCCGCAGCTTGACTCTTGAGATGGACGCTTTCAGATGGGTTCAGGTGATGAGGAGGTTTGCTACCACATGAAACGAGCAAGCGAGGTGCCAGAGAGAACAGAGTGCGCATCGAACGAACTCTCTCTGACAGGCTAATGTCGCCTCGCTGTTCCAGACCTCAACCAGCGTCCATCCTCTTCCTCTTCACTTGCTGAAAAGCGAAAACGGAGTGTCTGTACTATCAGCGGCGCTCTGGCATGTCTTCGCCCATCTGTTCCTCGAGTGCCTAAGAAAGCCAGGGCCAATTGTTAAACCGACCGTCTGCATTAGATCTCCAGAATCGTCAATATTGAAATAACTGGAAGGGAAGATCTCGGGGCTGAGATAGATCTATGACGAGATAATCGGGTCTCAAATTTGATCTACTCTGCCTATGAGACCGATTCCAAATCAATTCTTGCTGGCCCCCATAACTACTCCGTAGACCTAACTAAGCTTCATGGCTCCGCACAAGACGCTGCGTTGCTCAAATGCTGTACAACTCACTGTCTTCCGAGTAGCATTTTCAGACGCAAACGATAAGTTCGCGATTATGATGTATCCCTTTCCCAAGGACCACGCCTTGAGATTGTGCGCTATTGAATTGATTGCGCCAAAGTCCAGGGAAAAGTATTCGAGTCATGAAGCCGTCGCCTCACTGCCAGGGCACTTTTTTACTTCGGACCGTACTAGTGCCACGAAGGACCTTCGACAACATATCTTGAAAGTCGCACGAGCAACGTTTTGGTTTGGGCGACCAAGATTTCGGGGAAACACAAATTGCTTGTGTTCAACTTATCCACTTAGATCACCCCTTTATCCTCAATTGTTCCCAAAAACCAGCAGAGCACAATGCTGCTTTGCATCGACCCGTCATTGAAGTCGGAACAAAATAGCCGGAGCGCCAAAGATCATCACAGCCTCACTTCTTTTCCTTTCCCTTCAAAGAGAAGTTGCATGGCCTCATGTGAAACCTCCCAGCTGACTGTCTGTTGGCCTCGCTCCAGCAGCAGCATTATCTTGACCCAGCACATGAGCTATAAAGCTCATAAATGCAGCCGCATCGGGTCCACCATCCCCATTCTCGCAGCGTTCTCTCCATTTCCGAACTCGACCCAGGCCCCTGGTAAATCCCTTTTCGACAGTCCATGGACCTCTACTCGTTCCCATTCTTTGGCCATGACCGTCTCTGCCCCGACCGCGCTTCCGGCCCTGAGCTGGAGGCCTCATTTCCACCCATTCTTCTTCCAGCGTGAGTTTGTGAATATCCCGAAGTCGAGAACGGAGCGTGGGATACTTGATAAACAGATCTTGTAGCTCCTGCGGCTTATCAATTCCAGCGAATGGCAGGCCATTTTTCGACGGCCGGGTATCGCGGTTACCTAGATCCTTGCTCTGGCTGGAGTCGGCGGTAGGAATGTATTTTGAGGCTTCATCCTGAGGGGCTTCGACTGCTGGATTTGGGGTGCAGTTTGATTTATGTGCTTGTGAGCACCCTAGAGAACAGCTAAAAAAAAATAGTGTTAGATTTGTTGAACGGAGAGGTTGAACGACGTCAGATTGCTTACCTGTGAAGCCCACACGCAGGACAGCGGTATTTGAATGGCTCGCTATTGCAAACCTGGCACAATGACATTCTAACGGGGCCGTGGATCTCAGGAGCAATATGTTGAGCTCGGATGTTGTAGCTGAATCGTTTGAGGCCGAGGAGATAAATACCTTGACGCAGTTGGCATGAGTAGCCTTCCGTAGTTGAATTAACTCACTAACTAGCTAGTTAACTAGTTAACTGACTAGTTAATGCCACGGAATATAGCACAACTTCAACCGCAATATCAGCACAACGAACTGTGAATCTCGAAACTCTACAAACAAAATCATTTTCACAATTCATTCCAACTCCACCATTCCACCATTCACACCAACTCTACCATGTCCGCCCGCACCCCCCTCCAAGCCCGCTCCATCTACCGCTCCCTCCTCCGCGAATTCCCCCAGCGGCCACTCTCTTCTCCCTCCCCGCTCCAGAAGCGGATTCGCACCTACCTATCGAATCCCGACGGACCGCCTTCCCACACCGCCCAAACACGTCTCGAGGAGGCGGAGCAATTCGCCCAGTATCTGCGGGCCCAGCGGCAGTACACGACGCTGCTGGAGCGGTATAACCCCGGCGCCGACATGGATGAGCAGGAACGGGTGCGGTTGACGGCTAGACGGGTGGGAATGAATTTGCCGGTGGAGATGAAGGATGGGAAGGGGTCGTGAGGAGAAGGAGGAGGAGCGAGGGAAGGGATTGGCGTTTTTGCCCATTATCTAAAATAACGGGGAAATTGTACAGGGGTTTCTTTTTCCTCCTTCAGGCGTTCGTCGTGCGATGCGCTCGAATTTTCTCCAGAGAGGAGGGTCGGAGTTCAAAAACGGAGTCTGGCTGGGACTGTGGTGGATTTTGCTTCGCGTTTTACGGAGGTATCCCGTGTCTAGGGTGCTTTGCGCCTCGAAGGTCTCAGTCCTTGTTCTCCCGTTCAGATTGAGAGGCGTGCTTTTGCATTTGCCGACAGGAGTTTGGGGAGCCGGCGAACAATTTGACGCAAGCATACCGCAACGAGAGTGCATTAATTGTATGCCTCCATATCCGTTTCTCGCGCTTTTCGATTAAACTCCGATTGGTGATCACGTCTAAAAGTCAGGAGATGGCACCGATTTGAAGGATGGAGACGATTCATTATCCGGCTTTTAACAAAGAGCCATCGAGATTGAGGGTGTTTTCATTTCCAATGCCAAATATATAGGTAGATGGTATCATGTCTATGCTAGGGTGAGAAAAAGCCAATATAACCTCATCAAGGACTGCGGGAACGCCATAATTAGATGCCAAATGCTAAATGCCAAAACATAAACAGAATAAATCCCAGTGTACGCCGCGGGCACTCCTGTAGGATGTCTTCCCGCTCAAAAAAATCACCAGGCCCAAACATGTAGATTACACCCTGGCAGCTCGAGCCATCCGTTTTTCCACGTACGAACTCGCTGCTGAGTTGAAAAACCTCGAAAACAAGTTCCCGTTGGCGCTCATTCCATGGCCCTTGGTAGGTCTCAAATGTTGCTGGGGGCCATGGGTCGGGAACACGTGGGGTTTGATTTTCGGCTGATGTTGAATAGTGACATAGCTTGACAACATTGACGGACTCTGCTTGCCTTCGTCGACGACAAAATCCGCGGTCGAGTGCGTGCTGAAACTTGCTGGAGTTCCTCGAGAGCTTGGAGCAATGCTAGAGGACCGGGATGAGGAACCACGGATGCTGGCCTCGTAACTTAGACCGGGGACATCTTTGAGAGAGGGGGGAGAGAGGGAGCGACCGCTGCTGTAAGAGGATTGACGACGCTTGTGATGCGACCCAGCTCTGCTAGAAACGGACCGGGGAGAATCGTAGACACCTCCAGTTGGCATGCAACTGGGCGGCGACAGGTTTCGAGACTGGGATTTTTGTAGCAAGGCCAATTGGCGCTGCCACTCATTCCCGCGAACGGTTTCTATTTCATCCCGCAACTTGAGGCGATCCCTAATTGGCGCGAGGAACGGCTCAAAATGTTCCAGAATATCGCTTTCCGTGACTCGAGTCTCCCAATTCAGCAACGCGAGCAGCTGACGTTCCATCAAATTGACTTCGGTCAATGCGAATCCGAATCCTTCGTAATTGTCCACAATAGTATAACGTGCCCAATGTTTGTTTTTGGGACTCGAATCGTTGAGGTTCTTGGCGGCAAGTATGAGGGACGCCAAAAATATCCGGTGAGGCGTACACCGCATGCCTTTCGACATCGGAGGCAGCTTGGCACGCAATCTGGCGAGGAACACCAGCGAAGTCATCAATGTGGGTACCTCGACGTGCGATCGCCTGACGAGGTTGCGGATAAACGTCTCGACTGATGGAAGAGGAGCGAGGTCGGGATTGGGGCTGTCGGGTGGAGTGAGGGGCTGCCCCTGGCTGTATGTAGACAGCATAACTTCGTCTTCGCAGCGGAGGACCTGGGTTGCTTTCTGGGCCAAATATCGGATCATATCATTGGAGACCGGCGACATGATGAATTCATTCATGGCCTCTCGATCGTAAGAGGAAGCGGATCTCGTCATGGCTGCGGGCATGATTCCGGGAAAGCGAGGAAGCAAAACTCGATGTTGCAGAACCCCCCTTGAAGCAAGTTGAAAAGGGGCTGGAGCTTGTGGAACGTGAACGAATATGCTCAAAAGCAAGCAGACAGCCGCAGACCAGTGTGGTAATTGCCCGGGCGAAAGAGCTTCGCCAAATGGTGGACGGAAGCAGAAGTGTAGATTATTAGATTATTAGATTCAGCGTGGTATACTAAAGCTTCAATGCTAGTATCCGGCCAGCGGAATGATTCGAAGGTGTGATCGTGCAGCGAGGGAAGAGCCTTGAACAAGCTAGAGTGCACGGCAATGATAGTTAGCGACATGAACCAGAGAGAAGCTGTGACCATGATAGCGGTCAGGAGAGGCTATACTCGACGAACCTAAAACTTTTGTATTCAAAAGAAAGAAGCAAAGCGACTGACTGTACCAGTTGGTCCTGGCAGGCGTTTTCAAAAACGAACAAATTGCGGGGGAGTATACCGGATACACCACGCAAAGCTTTTGGAGTAGCAAATGATCAAGAAGAAAGAAAGAGAGAACGATAAGGAAATTCGTTAGGAAAAGGTACCTTTAGGATGAAAAGGCACATGAGATGAAAGCATGCGGTCAGCTCTCGTGAAAGAGCGAGTGGACGAGGTCAGACACGCCCACAATATATATCTGCATCCAACGAAGAAACACACCGACTGGAGGCTCCGTCGGGTCATCAACAGTTCCCGTCTGGACCAGGATCACGTTCTGCAGACAAAGCCAGGCATGGGGCCGGGCGGCTGCTGGATCACGGCCAGCGCCAAAGTCATCGCAGCCAACAGCCAGTGGCGGACGCGGTGGGCGAGTGCGCGACCTCAGGAAGTCCGCGGGAGTGGCAGCGTGATTGGGACAGAAGCAGCACAACTACGCGCCGTGGTGGGAATCCCCAGGCCGGGCCCAGGGGGGTTCGTGTTAGGGGAGTGTTTGACCCGGCCTATTAATAAGTGCCATCACGCGTTGTCGTTGACCGAGAGCTTCGCGCCGTGACCACGCACGGCATTCATTCGTCCACTGGCTGGACGCAGGGGTCGGGTCTGTTTCACGCCTGGGATATTTTCAGCTCGCGCCGGCCAACAGAATCCTGGAGATGCAGGGGAGCACAGGCCAGACGGGGGCACCAAGGCTCTGATCAGCGAGCTCTGCGTTGACTGGGCTGCCAGAAGGCCCAATCAGCCTGGCTGGCTTCGACGGTTGCACGCTGTCCTGTGACGGATTTATTTATTTAGTGAGTGGCGCCTAGCCGCCCAGCACAAAGACTGGCTGCCAGTGTGCTCGAATCATCCCCAGCACCCGACTGGCGGTCGAAACACTCTGCTTCGAAGCACATCTTCAGCACCAATCAATCTCCCTCGAGAAACTAATATCGCAAGTCCCTGCACGCCCGAAACACCACGTCTGAACTGGTCAACCCAACCGATGATTCGGCCCCCTTCGCAGGTTTATCTGTCCCAACCTCCGAGAGTCAATCCAGTGATTGTCTACAATGATCACAAGTCGACTCAGTGGTCTGCTGAGTAGCTAACTAGTTTAGTCTGACAGTCGCGAGCCACATCCAACTGTCCTCGGGACTTTCATGGATCTGTATATTAATGTCTCCAACCTTCACAAGACATGCCCCCAAGATCTCAGCATTGTGGGAGCAGTTGATCACTAATACTCCAAATCTGTTGGATGTATATTCCCCAATAAATAACCTGGTTTGACTTCTACTTTCAACTAATATGCAACACCCGGAGCTAGCTACACATGATGCATCCACATGCAGAATTGAAAATATTGCAGCAATGCTAGCAGACATGAACACAAAGCCAATAAGGATCAGGAAACAAGACTAGAGTCAAAACAGCATTGCAAAACAAAACAACATCAAAGCACAGCAGCGCAAAAGACAGACAGAGCAGAGAGAGATGCAGAAATACACGGCAAAGCATGGCAAAACAGAATAGCAAGTTGGATGAGTGCAAGGTGAAGAAACACAACAGGATTCAAAAGAGAAGACCATCCAGTGAACTAAGAATGCAAAAAAGCTGCAGAATCAGACCTTGTTATGGCAGGGAACCGATGCATTGCAAGAAGAGAAAGCAAGACACAACGATAAGACTTCAGGAACACGATTGGTTGCAGTCGGAGTTTTGGTCTCAGTTCGCAAATGATCTGAGTCGCTCATAGCTTTCCTTATTTAAAAAGATGGGAGAATTTGGACATATCCAGTTTGCCGGGCGTCCTCATTGTTGGGCGTCGACTCTCGAATTTGGCATCGATTTTCCCGGTGTACTGCGCGTCGGCGCCGCGTCTTGGGATCCAAGACCGTCCGTCCTTTTTGAGACGTGCGGCGACTTCCCGGGACGGAAGCTCTCTGTTATCCATCCAGTATTCGCGGGTCCCACGAGGAACTATGTTTGCGTCCTCAAGAGCGCCAACAGACCCGAGCACCCAATCTCGACAGTTCGCACCATCAACAGGTAGGTTGTCTACATTCTCGCCATATTCGTCCAGCACTTTTGCAGCGCGTTGCCTGCCTGAGCGAGACAGCCTTGTCAACTCGCTTCGACCGTACGATGATTTCGATCCGAGCGGAAATCGTTTGCGTTCGTACTGGAAGTCACTATTGTTCGCTGCTTTCCGCACATGGAAGAGATCCCCTTGGGTAGATCCGCGGCTAGAGGTCGTTAGGCCCCAATGGGCTCCTGGACGCTGCGGTCCCGTATCGCCTCTGCCCCAGATATTCAAGCTCAAAGCCTGATCGTCGTCACTTGCAGGACTTTCTCTGCCTCTGAGGCGGCTGCTGGAATTAGATCGAGAATGGGGCGTGATCTCCACATATTGACGACTTAACGACTGTCGTCTTGAGCCCGGACCGTTTCCTCCGCTTCTCTCGCTCTCAATGGAACTAGATCGAGTATGAGGCGTGATTTCTATATATCGGCGTGAAGACATATGCCAACTTGGCGAACGCTGTGAATCGAAGTGGATCGACTATCTGACCCCCGAAAGATCCTAGGCTAACTACAAATAAGTACAGCTTTGGCGGCTTTCGGGGGTCAGACGTCGATATGCTCGTGATCTAGACTCGATAGAAACGAGTATAGGCAGGGGAAATGAATAGTATTGAAGGTTTGGTTCTGCAAGGAACTGATTGTCTGAATCCTCGTTGAAGTAGATCAGATCAGACTTTTATATCTTTGGGCTCAGGGGGGGATTTTGATAATTCCCTTGTCATAGGGGATTATCGGCCCCCGTTTGCCTGCATTGTTGATTTACTCTAAGCGCCGCATTATTCTCTGGAACTGGTCCAGAAAGTCAGGCATGAGTCTCGCTGTATTCTATTTTGATATCCACGGAGACTCCTGCAGTTCCTGCATGATAACGATTGGCGGTGGCTATCAGTTCGGTAACTCGGTTTCCAAACCCATGTTTCAGAGCTAGGCAGATTGAGCATACGTCAAGTTCGAACTCCACCTGCAGGGGCTGGTAATCGAAACGGCTTTCTCGAAGCACGATAACGACTGCCTCCTGAGGATCAAGCCATTTTAAAATTTTCCTATATCTTCATGAAATTGCAATGCAGGGCCCATGAAGCTCAGGCGTCAATGAAACATCAACAGGGAACGGCTTTACCGATTGGTAACCAAGTATTCTTGAAGTCGTAGCCCTTGTCAAAACTGCCTTTCACGCACGGTTAAGGCTGCAAGGGAGCAAGGGATTTTTGGAACTGATCGCAGGTGGCCAACCTTCGCAGGATCATCGCAATCATTCGTCGGTTTCATGCTATATGGAAATCGATTAGCCGGTGCATTTGTGCTGTACTATTTTTGGATGGACTACACCTTCATGCACCCGTTAGATAACTCAACGACTTTAAGCGCCCAGCTATCGCGGCATGACGTGCGATGCGCAGGCTCCAGCATAACGCTCTCCAGGGCCACCTGTAATCACTTGCTGCGGCCCTAAATTTAGGCACTCAAATTCTTCGAGAATGGCCAAAAGCCCATTCATGTCGCGATGTACAATTTGATCTTTCGTCTAAATGCAGTCGAGCGGCCAAACCTCTGCGAAAATGAAGCAGCCAGAAAACCTGGAGAATTCTATCTCGCAATATCTCAACCAGCATTCCTTGTCCGTACCATTCAACGATCTTCTATCGCTACTCCCGTCTCTCCTAAAAGAGGCCAGATACTCTGAAATTTGGGGCATTGATTTGGCCAACGGCAGACGCGATCATGTCCACGCAATTCTTGCAAAGGTACGCATTACCAGCGATCGAGCTCCTCAAGCAAAGTCTAAAGAGTAAATAGTTCCTCATCAAGGCCTCCGTGATGCCCTCGTTGCTTGTCGAAAGGACTCAGTGGGCACTTCTTAAGACATTGAAATTGAGAGCCCTGGTGAAGCCTGCAAAGTTCGCTTTTTCCAACGCGCCGCAGTTGGCCGAATTTGTCTATATCACCCGTTATCAAAACCTCCATGTGATGTGGATTCTCCTGGACGAGAAGAAATTGAAACGGTATCGTCATCTAGTTCCGCGACTGAACTCACAGAATCAGCTCATGAACATAGCCCAGGGATTTGTCGAGACACTTGTAGATATCCTCTTTAAAGCTGCCTCTACTTTTAGCGAACTCCAAGCCGCGGTCGTCATAGACTGCTATCCACATCAATATGAAAAAGGCCGCAAGATCGAGCATGGCTATCGCACCGTGCTTAGAAACGGCATTAACGACCTTATTCCCCGGCTTGTCTCAGGCTACCCAGAACTTTTGTCCCGGCTTTTTATTATCAACCCATGCCCCAATGTTTTCTGCACCCTCCCGTTGCCTGACCACGTTCTCCAGTGCACTTGGATTCTGGGAGAACCCAAAGAAGTCGCACAGCATCTGGGTGACGAAGTGCCGCCCCGATATGGAGGCAGGGGCAAATCGCTTAGCGAAAACGATTGCCTCGCGGACGAAAGATCCAAAGGCATCATTGCTCTAGGCAGCAATGTGTCGCTCCAGGAACCTATACCCGTTGGACAAGCTATCGCGCATTCCTCTGAGCAATGGAGTTCCGATTTGGATACTCCGGAAAAGGAAATCAAAATACCTTTCAGCTTCTCTGAACGGATCGGTTTTCCTACGTTTATTCTAGACCCAAAGGATTTAGAGACCTTTCCCGAGCTTTATCCGGGCAAAGGGGGCGCACGTATCGTTCCCATAGCCGATGGAATGCTGGTGAAATATGGGCCTGGTGTACGGCTGGCTGAAGCTGAAGCGTTGCACCTGGCCTCGACATCTACCACCATTGTTACTCCGCAGTTGATAGCCGCCTATATCCTAGAGGACGTATGCTACATCATTATGTCCTACGAAGAAGGGGCAGTGCTGAGTGACCTTTGGGAACGAACAACTCAGGAACAGCAAGATAAGATCGTTTCCCAATTGCGGGACGCAGTGAACCAGATGCGTGCTATTAAAGGAGACTATATCGGCGGGATTGGCCATGTCGCATGCCAGGATCCTATTTTTGACGCTGGCTGGGCCCCTCAGGGTTGTGTCTACGGCCCATACGAGTCGGAAGAGGCGTTCAACGAAGGGATCGTCAAGGCAATGGAAGATAGGTTCGCACCAAAACCAGGGGAGCAAGCATCAACATCAAGTATTCCCGTATCCGAGTACCTAACTCGTCAAACCCTTCGGAGCTTAAAGGGACACGAAATTGTTTTTGCTCACGGGGACCTCAGCCCGGACAACATTATAGTCCGGCCGGATTACACGATAGTGATTGTTGATTGGGGACTGGCTGGATTCTGGCCGGAATACTGGGAGTATTTTCGAGCAACAGTGACGATTCCGATTACAGAAGATTGGGATTTGGTGGTGGAGAAATTCGTCCCGCCGTATTACATCGAAAGTACTATCATGTCGAATACTGCAGCAGTCATATGGAACTGAATGTCGTGTGCAGGCATTTCTGCCGATTGGGGCCTGCCATTGAATAATTTGTGCTTTACGTCTCATGTCGAAAACCAGAGCTCAAAATATGCCGTCAGTTAACAGACATCGCCTCGCTGAAAGTCGGACTACACAAGGGCTTCCATACAGTCGGCTGATACTGGGTTACTTTCCCAATTTCTCTCTTTCTGCGATTAGAGAGCCGTGCATCAGGGGCACCCTCATACGGCATGCTACCGGGTCCATCAATCCAGGCCCTCCTGCTCACGCAACATTTTTCTTTGGATAAATTAATCACCTCCGTCCAGAACTATCTCTCCTCTTTTGCAATATCCAAGCTTCCCGCCCTCCTCTGTTGCCTTCGCACCCGCGATTTAACCTCGACAATTTCCAACATCGGCTTCCGGAATGTTAGCCGCAACACGTCTAAAGCACGTCAGCAGATTTATAACAGAGGCAAAGAACTGGGCTAATATGCAATGAGGGAGTGTTCAAGAGGTTACGCGACTCATGTCCTAGACATATGCGGCATCCTGGGGATAGCGGATATGGGCATTTCGCACGTGAATGAGCGCGAGCTTGTAAACCACGGTCCTGGAAGCTATTTATATGACAGCTGATCGCAATGGAGCAGTTTCCTAGCGCGTTCGATGTTGACGGACATGACGTGAGTTGGAAGGCCTTGTTACTATTCGTTTTCTGCTTTCCCTTTCTCCATTCTTTTCCTATTAATGAATTGTGTACTTTTATAGCTTTAGAAGCAGGGGATTTGTTTGTTTGCAGGTATATTTTTGATGAAATGAACTACATCGTAGTCTTCATTAGTGTGATTCTAATCTTTAATCTTTTAATTCTAAGCTGGTTTGCTGTTATGAGACTTACAGAGATGATTCCTCTCGTTATGTTGCATCCTGATATGATATCAAACTCAAAATGTGAGTTGCATGGCCCAAAGTAAATGAATGATTCAGTGGGTTTGATGTTTAAGCCAGGCTTTCTGTAGGCACGGTCATTTGTCCTTTATTTTAACAATATTATCAGGTTAAGATAGTTCAATATAGACAAGTGTTTGTATTCTATCTAAACCGGTGTCATATATATAAAAAGGAAAAGATGGTAGATAACTGTAGAAGTCAATGCGATAAGGCGCGTAAAGGAGAGACCAAGTGAGCATAGCGGCCGTAATATCAAATTTAACCAGTAGGAAAGAGTAGATAGGAGCAAAACAAAACCAAGATGCAATGCAAGTGCGGGCGGCAAATCCAATTTCCATCGCATAACCAACAATTCAAAAAAACAGCAAGTTGAAAAAGCCAGATTCTATAGACATATCAAGGAATGACGATAGGGGATATGAAACTTGAGCGGTGAGCTGCGAGCGTAAGAGCAGGACCAAGAACCACAACAAAGGAAAACATTTGGTCAACTATACTGTAATATAATGAGGCTCTCTTGTTGGGGGTATCGGGTGAACTGCCAGCGGTAGATCCTTATTCTCCGACAAAGGAGATTTTCTTAAGCTCCTCCAAGCACTTTTGCGCGGTCCAGCGTTTATCGGGGTTTTGTTCAAGCATACCAGCCAATAAAGGTCGGAAGGAAGAATCGAATCTTTTCAAGAGTTTATATATACCCCGAATATATGACTTGGCGGCTTCGATATTGTCAAAATGGTCAAAAATCTCGGTTGCTCCGTAGGGACTCCCCTTTCTCAGCACCAACATACTGAGCGCAAGCGCCCAAATGTCTGCTGCCGGCGTATATGGACGTCCGTGGAAGAGCTCGGGTGCGTAAAAGGGAACATTTCCGTAGTTGGACCTGGTAAGCGTCTTCTTGGTGGCTCTACTGAAGCCAACCAACTTCACTTGGCTAGGGCAAATGGAGTTGATCACAATATGGGAGGGCGTAATGTTCCCGTGGGTGATACCGCGGTCGTGGAGGTATTCAAGTGCGCTGAGGGTGTGGCGTAAGATGTCCCTGATACCAACTAAAGGCACGTCGTAATCATCAACGGGGCCATGGGGAAGGTGTTCCATGACAATGTAGTGCAGCCCATCCTCGGCCTGAAATTCCTCCACGAACTTGACAATGTTTGGCTGTTGCATCCGATAAATTAGCAATGCCATAAGCAGTTGATAGGAATGGGTCTGACTTACGTGTGAAAGGTCCTTGAGAAGTGCAGCCTGGTCGTCGGCAATGAGCATACCCCTCTTTGCCGCATATATGTGTCCGGTTTTGGTATCGACGAGTTTGGTCACTAGCAGGTGAACAGGATCAAGTAGTCCAACCTCCACGTACTGTCTAATCCTTTTGCGACTTTCAATTGCGGTTGGATGGAAAGTTGCCTGGCGGCCAGTGGACTTCTTAATGGGGTTTTCCAGATATTCTTTCAGGTTACATCCGTAGGCCATCCGGTCGCAGTCGTTACGCTGAGGAACGATGGCCCAGAATGAAAAATTCCCGCACTCGATGAGAGATTCCTGCTCAATTATGCGGGTGTCGCCCGGCTTCAACAACATGTAGTCGCCCACAACGGTACCGTGCTCGGACAAGTTCTTGAGCATTAGGACGCCCGCCGCGCTGAAGTCGATGGAGAAATGGGTCTCCGATATCTTCTCCGATGACAGAACAACGTCACAGCTTTGGCTGTGCGATCCAAAAACAAAGCCTTTGGCTGCATCGTTGGGCGCGACGAGAAAGCTTAGACAAATGGCTCGACTTTTCCCAAAATCGAAGGTTTGTTTGACAAGGCGATCCGCGTTCTTGGGCGGAATTAGAGAGGCTCTCGTATAGAGGTTGCGCGGCACAAGAAAAAGGATAACCTTGGAGGGATCCATAACGAATGGTGTTTGAAATGTAATCAAATATCGATGCGCCTGAAGTTTGAAGAGGTTCAGAATAAGACGAAAGGGTCACAGATCAGATGTTTGTCGAAATTGGGACTTGGAGCAAATGAAGGTAGAATGTTTGCGTGATGGATAGTAGATATCAAACAGCAAATTTTGGGGGGGTTTTACCGCTATTTATCCCCTGGAAAACCGAAGTCCAAGGCAGTTCTCAACGGCGGCTCAACTTCTGATAGAGCGCAACCACATCCCCCAATTTCGGTTCTTTGCACAGGGCCGCAGGAAAGAAACGATTATTGACCAGTCTTTTCACAGTAGCCTACTGACTCCCAGGCACCCAGCAGCGCTACGCGCAAAACATCAGTAAACGTCGCAGTCACCAAGGCAGAATTTAGGAAACCACTATATGGCCTAAACGATTCCCGTCTAGACGAAGGCTTAGACTGAATTGGACGTCTTCCCTTCGGACAGCTCTGACTGCTACCGTATACATCAGTCTGCGGCGTAGAAACACCCGCGTTTCATACGCAGGCATCAAGGCAGTAACAGGGAGGAAATGCCAATCAGAGCCAGAAAGAATTTCGTTGTCCACCATGAACGGCGGGAAAGGGCGATTCGCCAGGCTCCAAAATCCATTCAATGCTTGTATATGACGCAATGCAGCTCTTTAGTCTCATGAGCGCAGCTATCAGGAGGAAAACTAAGGCAGATTTGACAAGTATATCTAGCCAAGGACTATGGGAGAACCCTTTGGTGCCTGGTATGAGCTTGTCCCGACAAAAGGAAACGTGTCTCCTGGCGCTAGGGAAGTGCTTGACTGTGGCACAAGAGTTCAAGAACGAGGGCCTTGAAGAAAAAGTGCAAGAAAGGGTTGGATAGCCGTAACAGCCTATCACGGAGGCTGAAATGGTTGGACTGAATCGACCATTGTAGGAACGGTTCTTAGAAATGACTAGGAGGCTTGATGCGGCGAACGGGATCCAGATGAAATCAAGCAGATGGCTCTGGGTTTCAAACATTTTGAACCGCCGACAGTTGAGGCAGATTTGGGTAGAATCTGCTAGACGCCACACCAGGGTGTGGTTCCCAGAACCTATGAAGATTCCGAAACACTTTGGGAGAAACTTGATAATAGAGCCAATGGATTTTGCGGGGTTCGCTCGTCCATCCGGCGTCTATGACGGGGAGTAGAGCTGAATCCGCCAGCTTTCTTCCACGGTATATTGATAGGGTTTCAGTTGATGGAACAAAAGCGACAAGCAAATCGCTAATGAGTTGTACCCTAACTAGCAGGGGTCCATAGAAACAATCTCAATGCTCGCATGCTGCGCATGAAAGGGTGCCTGTTGAGGCGCTGTGGTTCAGGATGAACCAAGAGGTCAAATGGGATGTTGGGATGAAGCGCCGAGGATGAGGCTGGGCAGGTCTTGGTTTGCCAGTTGGGTGGTGAACTAACTAGTGTGTCCCTTCAACTGTGCCCATCATGCCAAACATCCATCTCTTAAGGCTTGGGAGTCTTCTCTGCGCATCACTGAAATGGAAAATGACGAGTCTGCCTGGAGCCATGGGATATTTAAGTATCCCCAGTTCGCTTTGTCGGGGAATGGCTCAGAATCATTTTACATATTCATCTATCCGACTCCCTTCCACATCCAAACCTGATATTACGTGACTAGTTAATTGTTGCTCCGAAGAGATCAAGAGTTTCTCCTCTTTATATTTTATCCAAACATGTCTATGGTAGCCGTTACACCCTTTGTAGAAGGCGGTGTTCATCCCCTCCAGTTGACGAGAGCGCTTGAGAAAGTCGCAGCAATGCCCCAGCACCGGCCCGATGAGAAGGAAGATGACACTGCACTCCTATCAGAAGGATATACAGAGTCCCAAGAAGAAAAAGGGAAAGAGAAAGATTCTGGCTACGTTCCGCCTTGGTCGACGGAGACCCCGAAAGTCCCAGTCATCTTCCCGGGTGATGATTCCGAGTACGTAGCAACAACTGTTCTGGTATCCGAGTTTTTGATGCTAATGAATTGTTGCGATCAGAGATATGACTCTAGAATACAGACAATTCTTCCGCAACCTCGCAATGAAGGAATCAATCAGAATGCTCCTGCCCAAGTATGGGCCAAACGACGGAAGATACGAAGGAAAGCCTGAACAACCCAAGCCGTCAGGTCCGCTAAAATTATCCAAAGAACTCAGTGACCAGCTAGGAGAAAGTATGAAGAGAATGGGGATACTTGATCATCCGGAGCTGCTGGCTTCGGACTCGAGCGATGAAAGCACCGCTTCGAAGAAACGCACGCCGTCGTCAATGCTGCCCCATGGAAAGTCATCTCGGAAGAAAGATCGCCAGCGAAATGCGAATGACGCCAATGTCAACATTGACATCCGACTGAGCCTTGACCATGCCTTTTCCGCGCTGGTGCAAGGCGCGAAGCAAGGAGCCGATGATAGTTCCAAACCCGTGAAGAGCAAAGCCGTTTTTAATGGTAGGTCCTTATTCCACGGGTGGTATAGATTACCAGCGCTGACTTGAAATATTAGTGCACGAGTATATTGGCCCTCCGAAAATGGGAGGCCTCGTTGCAACCGTTGGTGTTGCTGCTGCCGCTTTTGGGTTTTCTTTGGGGGCTATTTTTTGTCGTTTTGCTTGATATCCCATCTGTTAGTAGTTAACTAGTTAGTTATGGAGTAGCTTCTGGAGTAATTGAAATTCAGCGTTTGTATTCCTTGCTCACAGTTCGCCTTGATAATGTTACTAGTAGGGCAGAATCGAGCGAAAGAGATTCCCAAGTCTCATAGGATCCGGAGTACATTGTCTAGCCGTAAAATTTGGACTGATTATTCTCTGGTTTAAAGTAAGGCGGTACCTCGCAACCACTCTCATAAATCAATTTTCAAGGCCCGTTTGTATGGCTGCGAAGAGTTCTTGTCTCCCATGAGCGTTTGTTTCATGTAGAGACCAGGTTCAGTCCAAATCTCAATCATCCCTTGCTGGCCAGGCCCACTGGCGCCCTGATCTTCCACACGAAGCTGCACTAAAAAGCTTAAGCCAATAAATCTGCGGCTTGAAAGCTGGCGCCTATCATGCAAAACCTCATCGGACCCGTCAAACTGATTCCCAGGAGAATGGGGGAGAGCGAAACGAAACAAATATGCCAAATTACGTCAAGCCATGGGACTCTTTGTCAAATGTGGCGCGTGTGTTTACCTTGAACTAAATCGACAGGGAAGATGGTCCAATGGAGCATATCGTGTGTCTACCTAAGAAATGAAGCATGAAACTGGCAGGCGGTGTTGTGGCATAGAATCGCAAGGGGGCATATGGACGATAGGACGTAGACCACATATTCAAGCTAGTCAAAGGCATCAGGCGTCTCTACCCATATGAAACAACTGGAGACTTGCCAGGCTGACCGTCGCTACGTCCAAGCATAATGCGAGCATCAGGCACCAGAGCTAAATATGCGGCGCTTCTGCACTTGAAGCTCGAATCCAGATGGCCGCCTCTGCGCAGCAAAGAGTTGTTCGACTTCTGAATGCGCCTGATTGTAGGGGCAGGGCTTATAAATACCTCGCTGTTCTCACACCTAGCCCGTTGAAATTCCTGTGAAAGCAAAACCGCCAACTACCTAGCAGAGGTTGCGCTGCAAGTTTTTTGATAATCCTGTGCTCCCCTATCAATTTCTCTGGTGGTTGATTTCTTCTGCCTCCCTCGAACGACCAAATGTCTCGTGGATTCAGTCAGTGGTTTGGAGCTGGCGTTAATCCCTTCGCGTTGAAGGGACGGCTCAAAAATGTTCAGCGCAAAGCCCAACAGAAACAGCAAGAGCGGAAACAGCGAAAACAACAGCAAAAGGACCAGCTTGCTCCTGAAGCGGTGCCACAAAAGGACATAGATGTGGTGCTCGCTGTGGTTTGCGAAGATGAAGGAGAAGATGCCGCCAACGAGAAGCATGCCGAGGATGCCCACGCGAACGAAGCAGCGTTGCAGAAGATTGGGGTATCTCTAGATTTGAATAAACCGGTTTCCTGCGAGCATTTCTCGGAAACACCCGAAAGAATGACAGAAAACAGTGATGCAGGATGTGCCTCTCAACCTGGCTCGTCTCTTTGCTTAGCTCCTTTGGAGCCCAACACAGAACCATCGGCAGCCCCTGACGAGGACAAAGAGGTTTTCGAGGGCTTTGACGGGTAAGTCTTTAATCTCTAGGCAAATAACTCCCAAGTTTGGTTCTGATGATCATCGTCGCAGAGAACATTTTCAAGAACCAGACAAACCGACCTGCGATGCAGACGTTTCAGAGGCACTGGAAAAGAAGACGGAAGAGGATGACCCAGGATGTAACGCTCCTCCCGGAACCGCTCCCAGATCACCATCTCCAGAACCCATCCTAGAACCTCCAAAAGAGTCTGACGACACCGAAACAAAGCCCCCCGAAGTCCCCTTAGAGTATGTATTTCAATACCCCATATCCACGTTTAAGATGCTAATTATTCCGCCTCGCAGGGAGCAGCCTCACGAGCCCAAAAAATCGCCCGGAGACATCCAAACAGGAACTCCGATGAAGGAAGCCATACCTTGCCCGCCGAGTCCTCGTGAACGTGTCGAATCGAGCGATTCAGAATCCGACATCAAGCGAATATTCGCACAAAGGCGCAGATCGAAACGCACGGCACGACAGACACGCGACACTCAAGTCAAAGTCAACGTCCGGCTGACCCTTGACGACGCGCTGTGCGCGGCTGTGCAAGGAAGAATGGGCGAGACTAATACAGCAAAAACTGACCCCGACCCGGAGTCTTCGAGGAGAAACGAGGTCCGTGCCAGCGGAGAATTTACGGAGGATATAGATGCTGGTGATGGGTTACACCCAGTCGAGCAAAGGCGCTGGTTTGAAACCCCGGTGGACTTGTTTAGCCCTTTGGGGATCGGTAGCCTTGTTGCCGTGGGAGTGGTCGCGGCTGCGTTCGGGTTTACTGCGAGGCTTGTCTATGGCCGTTTCGATTAATGAGAACAGATATTTCAGAGCATTTGCAGGGAGTTTAGGTTAACTTGGTAGTTATTGCAATTGAATCAACTTTTATGATTGTCAGACGAGACTTGTCTAACAAGAGAGCAAAAACTCTTGACCAAGCTCTTCGGGGTTATGAGGATAGAAGTACTCCGTAGACGCTTCCCATAGAAACTTGTAGCCATGCAGAGTTAATAATAACAAAAAAACACCTTTCGTTCTTCGGTGAAAACCCTTGGAAGATCAAGGGTTTTTTTGGAGGTTTTTTTTTTCAGGTGATGGCTTCCCCAGGCAAGAGAACCACCGGAAACTACCCCGGTAACCTACTAGCTAGTTGCTAGCTAGCAAGATTACTCGAGCTTTTAGCGCCTGGCAACACAATCTGCTACCAGGTGCCCTCGGCACCCCGCGGGGGATGGCAGTGGGGGATTCGAACCCCGGCTCTTGCGAGTCACCCTCCATGGACTACCGCTCGTCCATGGCACCACACATCAAAATCTCTTGCACAGTTGATGCTTTATCTAGCATGTTCTAATTATCACAAAATGGCCAGCGCCGAAGATGGTTAAAAAATAATGCATGACAGAAAAGTGCAAAAAACACCACTGTGTTGTGGTGAAAACCCCTGTGGAGTTTTTTTGGTAGAGATGCCACCCCTTTTATTTTTCAAAGCATGGAATCCCATGGAGAGGATCCCACGGGGATCGCAGGAGTATGTTATTCTCCGTACCCAGTAGTTCTATGAAGAACCCACTTGAGGAACCCTGTTACTCCGAGCTCAAGAGCCGGCCCCGTGCCAAGTGTGGTCCTTCTCCCATCTTTAGCTGCCGTGAGATCACTTGTTTGGCGATCCAGCACTATTTGGCTAACGGAGCGTCCGCGTGGGAGCGCGGGCCTTAGGCAAGGAAATCCGCGGATTAGATGGCCTTGGGGAGATTCGAACTCCCGTCTCTGTGAGACTCCCTCCAGTGGGTATGCCGTTCACCCATGGCACTGGTCATCCAATTTTATCTAGGTTAACTAAGTTATCATCCCCATTTCTTCTGGTCATTTTCACACCCATGACTTTTATTCAAGATCTAGCCTACAGAGTACTCCGTACTAGCTGGGGCTGCGCATTTCTGGTGCATACGCCCCGTGTATCGAGGAAGTTGGGATTCATGGTCTCACTTTTTTCTATAGCTGTCAGGCAGAATGCAGGAAGGACAGAGTCTTCTAGCCCAAGTGGCGATTATTAATGGAGATACAGCACAAGACACCGACTTTCTTTATTTCAAACGACACAATTTCTTTTCTACTACAAGAGTAGTAAAACGGAATCGTTGCTCCCACAGGCTGTTGTTTGTGGTGCACTTTTGGGATGGAAACCTTAACAAGCAAATGGAAAAATCCTCCAGCCAATCAGCATGGGGGAGTGACATCTCGCCTGGGATTAAAGGTAGAAATCGCGAGTATTTATTCGGGTTGATGCAAGGAGTCGGGTACGGACACTGTATCTTTGGCTGTCAAAGCATATTGCAGGATTGAAGCCGTCAGCCCATTCCAACCAAGAAGGCTCAATTGCTTGTTCCCATAGCTACCCACCCGCATCTCACAATGCCTCCGAGAGACCCAGAATCCAACGGCGATGCTGAAAAGCAAGGCGAGACGCTTATCAAGGAAAGATCCACGGCGGAATCCGTATTCAAAGGACTCGGGATCTTGGATCGGTTCCTGGCGCTTTGGATATTCCTCGCTATGGCAGTTGGCATCATTCTCGGAAACTTCGTGCCAAACACCGGGCCGGCGTTGCAAAAGGGAACCTTTGTCGGAGTCTCGATTCCCATAGGTTGGTAAATCCCTTGTCATTCAAATTCAAGCTTCAAATATTTTGGGCTGACTTGACGTAGCGGTCGGCCTGCTGGTTATGATGTACCCGATCCTGTGCAAGGTGCAATATGAGTCTTTGCATCGAGTGTTCAAAACACGAGAAATCTGGATCCAAATGTGGTTTAGTATTATTGTCAATTGGATCATTGCACCCTTTTTTATGGTAAGCGGTATAGACACTTATAAAGTGGAAATCTAGCTGACCGGCCTACCAGCTGGGATTGGCATGGGCCTTTCTTCCCGATGAGCCTGCGCTCAGAGAAGGGCTTATTCTCGTGGGATTAGCACGATGCATTGCAATGGTAAGTCCTCGGACCAGATCCTGCACGTTTTCGACAATACTGACCATTGCCAACCATCAGGTCTTGATCTGGACTGGCCTTGCTGGCGGCGACAACGACTATTGCGCGATCCTCGTGGCCATAAACTCGCTGCTCCAAATGGTTCTTTTCGCACCTCTGGCCATCCTATTCATACGAGTAATTAGTCACTCGGAGGATCAAGTCAGCGTTTCCTATTCCGTCGTTGCCAAAAGCGTCGCTGTATTTTTGGGTATCCCTCTCGGTGCCGCCATCGTCACCCGGTTCAGTCTTCGAACTCTTGCTGGGCCAAAGTGGTTTGATAATGTCTTCCTTAGATGGGCGGGGCCATGGTCTCTCATTGGACTCTTGTTCACCATTCTCATCCTCTTTGCGTCTCAGGGGGAGCAAGTCGTACACCAAATCGTCTCCGTCGTCCGCGTTGCCGCACCTTTGATTGTTTATTTTGTCGTGATTTTCTTTTGCACTCTGCTGGTCGCGTATCGGTTGGGTTTTGGGTACAGGTTGTCTGCGACTCAAAGTTTCACGGCTGCGAGCAACAATTTCGAGCTCGCCATTGCCGTGGCCGTGGCGACCTTTGGCGCACAGAGTGACCAAGCCCTGGCATCCACAGTTGGTCCCCTGATCGAGGTTCCAGTGCTCTTGGGCCTGGTATATGTCGTCAAGTTCATTGCAAGAAGGGTGGGATGGCAAGCCTAATACCAAGTAGTAATAGTTGATACAAGTGCCATTATCGGCATCGCGACGCGTCACCTGAGATCTATGGCTCCAAGCATACAAAAGTGTAGAACGTGTGCAGGACAAAGGGCTCGGCACTAGTTTTTCCGACATGCTGTGCCCGCCCGCCATCGCAAGCGTCCCTCGAGCGAATCCTAGACCTTCATGCTGAACGTCCTTACGTGTAAGGCTTGCCCGTGAGTCAACATGGTTGGGAAGATTATAAAGATAAACTGAAGTGAGGTCCTGTTGGGACCTCTCTTATTTTATTAATAGTGTCATGCAATGTTCATGGTTGATCCGTTCACTACAATGCTTGTTCCTGATGACTCAGAACTGATGTCATCCCATCGTGAATTTTCTCTGTTTTGCCCCTCTCTTCTCCTTGATGTGCTCTTGTTTGTTCGGCTTTGCTCTCGGTGTTTTTACTTCGACGGATGTTTTGTGGGGGATAGATATCCTTGAGTCAACGTAATGCCTCCCACACAGTGCTTTAACTGTGAATCCGCTCGCGCAGTGATCATCAGACCAAAGAACCGCCACAAGCTCTGCAAGCCTTGCTTCCTCCAAATTTTTGAGACCGAAATCCACGAGACGATTACCCAAAGCTCCTTATTCTATCCCGGCGAGCGAGTTGCCATAGGAGCTAGTGGCGGGAAGGATAGTACCGTGCTTGCCTCTGTTTTAAAGACGCTAAATGAACGATACAACTACGGACTCGACCTCGTGCTCCTATCTATCGACGAAGGGATCAAGGGATACCGAGATGACAGTCTTGAAACTGTGAAGCGAAATGCGGTGCAGTATGATATGCCTTTGGAGATAGTGAGTTATGGCGACCTATACGGATGGACGATGGATCAAGTGGTCGCAGAAATTGGCAAGAAGGGCAACTGCACATACTGCGGAGTATTTCGACGGCAGGCACTGGATCGAGGAGCTGCGAAATTAGATATAAAACATGTCGTTACTGGGCATAATGCCGACGATGTCGCGGAAACCGTGATGATGAACCTCCTTCGCGGTGATTTACCTCGCTTAGCAAGGGGCACATTCATCGTCACGGGGTCATCAGCCAGTGAAATAAAACGCAGCAAGCCGTTAAAATATGCCTATGAGAAGGAAATCGTTTTGTACGCACACCACAAGAAACTTGATTATTTCAGTACCGGAATGCATATACTCGCCTGAGGCGTTCCGGGGAAGCGCTCGGACTCTAATCAAAGATTTGGAAAAGATACGGCCCAGCTCGATCTTGGATATCGTTAAAAGCGGCGAAGATATGGCCGAGTTGGTGCCGCCAGAAATCAGTGGCTCTGCCAGTTGCGCGTCTAAAAACGCGACTTCTGCGAATGCCACAGAAGACTACTCAACAGGTGGATGTGGAAGTCAGAATGGAAGGACTGGTGGCAATGAAATGGCAGAGATGGAGAAGCGACTGGCTGAAAACGAAATAGCCGAGTCTCGCGAGACTGAAATCACGCTTGCCCCCATTACAAAGACCAAGAAACAGCAACTTGCACGAACCAGCCATCGGAATGGTTCAGGTAGCCAAAAGGCAGTGAAGGTTCAGACTATGGGCCAGTGCGAACGCTGTGGTTATCTTTCCAGTCAAAAGATTTGCAAGGCCTGCACTTTACTGGAAGGCTTAAACAAAAGTCGGCCCCAAATGTCGGTAGAAATAGGTGTCGAGGAAGAAGAGGGCAGCTCTACTCTAATGCGTCAGATGGAACGGATTCAAATCTCCAGTGGCTGAGGACGACGTACAGCGTTATATCAAGACACTCACTTACCGGTACGCCATTTCAGGGATGGAAATAAGTGTTTCGGCACAAGGAGCCATGACAGAGTGCTTGATTGGCTCGTCCAAACATGTCTGGGTACCGAAATTCCTAAGAATTCTCGTGGCTGACCTAGAAGGAGGCACCTGCTACTTAGAATTGAGGATTTCAACTGGAAGCCGGACATACTCCTATACGTGACCGCCATCGAGGCCCTCTCTTCCCGTTCACACCGCCCGCAACCGCCAAATGCGATGAGATGGATGAGGTGACTTGCAAGGGGGCTCGAAGATCGATTTATGCATAATGGCATAACAAGGCTGCGGCTGAAAACCGATCGAGGTTGCAGAACGCACTGATATTTGCACTGGGCGATATTGAGCTTAGCCTGCGCGAATTTTAAACGACGTTGATATCCTCAATAGTGAGAGCGCCAAGTGTACACCGTAGAATTTTATCATATGAGATAGCTTTGATTAAATCAGATTATGGTAGCTAGCCTTTGACCTTCGTGTCACTTTTCGTAGCTGCGGAAGTCAATAATGGAGAACGATCAAATCACAGCCTGGAGACAAGCGATGGCACCGGCTGGGCGATTCGTCATCCGCAGTGTGGCTTCCGGATCCTGGATTGCGGCTTCCATCAGGCTGGCCGGAAACCGTCAGCGTTGGGCATCGGAAAGACCACCATCATGTTTGCACTTCGCTCAAGAACATCTCGCAGGGACGGTTCTGATGACCAGAAGCCATCGCTGCCTGTCAGCAAGTTGACCCTTGTCGATCAGTTCAGCCTTAGTTACCGGCAAACAAACATTTTCTCGACTTCCAGCCACGAAAGTCCTTTTTTCCCCAAGACGACAGGCAAAATCGGCTAGGAGACATGAGCTGAAGCAGGGTCATTGTCTACTGAGGTTTACTGCCACAGGGTTGACTATCCTGGATGCGATCCCAACCAGTATCACACTGACGTTGAACGTCTCTCGAGTGAACAACGTCTGCCTGGATTGTCGCGTGTGGGACCCGTACCAGCCATCAGCACCTCCAAGACCTTCAAGGGAGGCGTGGAATCAAAATAAGCATGCCGTGGACTTCGTATACCGGTGTTTCTACGCCAGGTTCTGCATCTGAAACCGCCTCGACGCCGAGCCCAAAGAGCTCCAACCGCACTCATGGGTCTTTTCTGAATCCGAACGACAACATCCCACACGCTCACACCCATCGAGGCTCGTCACCGTCAATGTCCCGTCGTACGCATTCACGGTCCTTCAGCAATCCGTTTCCGTCTCTCTTTGGCGGGAAGAAGAAGCTAGATCAGCACGCCAGCCGAAACCCACTCCTAGACGTCATAGACCATGAGCCTAGCCTTCAACAAGGACTCTCTCGATCATTAAGCCCTGGCAGGCATCGAGGCTCACCGGCGCCTGTACCTCCGGATCACCATGTAATTCGGAGATGTATGACTTGCGACCATTCAAATTCCTTTCCTTATGGCAAAAAGGGCTTCCGATGCGGGAAGTGTACAATGATGAATGATTTAGAGCTCTCTGGCTCCTCTCAGCTCCGAGTCCCGTCATGTGATGGAATGGGAACCCCTGATCTGCTTGCGCAAGGAAGAGGTCTGCTTTTCCCTTGTCACAGGAGTATTTGATGAGTACTGACTGAGTATAGTCTCTGTGGAAAGAACGCGCAAAATCATTAGTAACTGCATTCGATCCTATTTGACTGCCCAGCTTGAAAGCTCTGAGAAACTTACTCCACCGCCAAATCCGGGGGAACCTTTGATCCCAGGGCGTGAGGTGTCGGAAGGTGGTTTAAATTGTCCTCGTGAACCATTTCTTGCCGAGAAGACTCTACCCAAAGTTGACGAGCATCCTGCTGAGCTGGCAGAGCCGGCAGTCAAACCCGACGACTTTATTGGCGACGTCAAGCAAACTGGCGCA